ATCTCTTCCTCGTCTCCATATTCATACATTGATATCTCGACCGGCCAGTCACTCCAAATTATCCATACATCGACTGAAGGACATCGTCTCCTTCAACAAGGACATATACTGTCTTCTGTCCAAGAATCCTGGCAGACGGAGTTCCGGCGTCTACCAAGACGTATCTCCTCTCTCCACAACTGCCATCCTAAAAGTCCCCCATAATTCTATAATATCTACAACCTCTAAATATATTTTGGTTTCTTAATACCTAAATGTAAAATCCTACGGCTACGTAAAATAAATTGATAACTAGTTGCTATGTAAAAACAATAACTCTCGGGGTGACGCATATTATATTTCGGTGACCGATTTCGAGTGCTAAATCCGATAAAACATTAACTTTCGTGTATCTCACATCATAAGTGGGGCTGCCGATCGTACATACGGCCTTACGCCCCCAAACTGTGTGGTGACCTTCCGGAACATTCATCCCAGTCCGTCCCGACTGCACTCACCTCTGACCTACCAAGCGCCCACCGGAAGACCAACGCCCACAGTCTGTGCATGTTAATTAAATTATTGCCTTATCTATCCTACCGTGTTAATGTCCCCACGACTTCCGCGGCCAATTTATATACAAATCTAGTTGAAGCATGCTTTATGGGTGAAAGATGTGAATGATTTGTTAAGACGTTAGATACATACTCTTAAAAATAATTTTACTTTTTTTAAAGTAAGCGTTACTCTGGATTTAGTATAGTTTACTTCATTTCGAGTTTAAAGTGCTGTTACTTTTCAAAATTTAAAATTATTGCATTCCGGATTCTTTAAATGAGACAGGTTTCTGTCCCAAAATGAGACAGGCGTGCGATGGGACAGAATTTCAGTGTGCGTCGAACGAAAACATTCAACTGGAAACCGCAGCCTGCATCGGTCCGCAGTCTGACGATTTCGACGAAGTGTGCCGCGCCACGCGAGAAGGTTGTTCAGTTCAAACAGAAGTTAGCATTGGGTCAGAAGGGGTTGGGAATTTGTGTACCTGCCCCAATCTGGACTTTGTAATTTTTAATCCTTGAGGAAATTTCTTGATGGTAATAAGTAAACCTGAGCAAAAATCAAATAAATCAAATTGAGCAATACTATTTGATGTGTGCAAGACTGACTGTCGTTATTTCTTAAAAAAGTTTAAGATAGATGTGGCATTGGCGAAGTAAGAAGTGCAAATTACTAGGGATTTGGGCGACGTAGATTTGTAATTACTGATGGGGACTTTGTACATCGGTGCTAACGACTGTAAAGAATTGCATACATACATATGTTGCATCATTTAGCATTTCATATTATCGACGACGAAAGTTAAGTAAATATGTACATATATGTACATATGCATCTCGTTGATTATTTACAGGTTAGAATTCAAATGACCTCATCGCCAGTTTTGAGCCATGGGAAAAAGATGACGAAGTAGTTTGTAAATTTATGAGCTTAATATCTGAGAGTAGAGATATGCATGCCATTGGAAAAAACTGCATGTGTAATGAGACATTAGATACTGAGAAAGCATTGCAATTTCTTGAATTACATAATGTTAGCGAAGATTTATGCAGCGAGTTTGGAGAGAATGATTTTGAAACGATAAGCACATTGGAATGGGATTCAAATAAATACATATAAATATGGTCACATAGATACATTTATAATGTTCAGGCATTGTTATTCTCATCAACATATGAAAAGTGCGAAATGGATTTACTTCCGATGGAAAGATGTGCAATTGTAATCCATTTAATTTAATTCTCTACTTCGGCTATATACTTTTTTTGATGAATACCACCACCACCCACTAACTAAGGACGACACTAATTCACATCCACATGATTTTGTTCAGAGTTCTGAATAAAGTAAAATTATTATTAATTAATATTAAGAATTTGAACGCCAGAGCTCTTCGCAATCTCCGAGTCGCAGGCTTTGTCGTTTGGGTCCACTCTCAACCGTGGTCACCCGCTCGTCATAAATATCGTCACAGATTGGCGAAAAGTGCAGAAACCATGATTTTTGCACGTAAATTCGCTCACTTTACGTCATAAATCGCATTTTGGTATATGTGGGAACCCTGGATTCAACCGGCACCTCGGAGGTACATATCCCTTGTTAAATAGATATTATTAAGTACTTATACTGTACCTCGAAACGTCTGCATATTTTTTGGAACACCTTATTTCATCGGTATGAATTGATGTTGTACATACTTCAACTTTGCACTCATTTCGTTCGTGATGACATAAGTACATACATACATATTTATATTTGCATAAGTCATGATCAAAGTACTGACTCTTTCCGGTACCAAACGCGCCATTAACAACCGGTTGATGTTTTAGGAAATTCATAAAACTTTGTGATTCGTATTTAAGATACATATGTATGTATACACAAATTGAAACCAACTTTCTTTAGCGTGTTCATACCTATAGGTATGAACACGAAAGTTGGTTACAATTTGAAATAGTTACATATTTATCCGAAAATGGTAAAGTTTACTCATTGTTGGTCGAAAATCTAAAAATTTTGGATACATTTTACATACTCCTCAGTTGTGTCATCTCAAATTTTACTAAACCTGGATTAAAATTTTTAATCAAATTTATTTCCAGTGGAGAATATAGAAATGACACTAATCCGATAATGAATGTCCAAAAATTTGAAGTGTTGCGGTTAATAATCTTATTCCAGTTCATGCCACGGCGCAAGAATTGCACGCTAGAATATAGATAATTTTATTTAGCATTACGAAACCCTTCTTAACTCAAATTTGCGAGTGGAAGTACAAATAAATTACTGAATTGACAAAGATGTCTATTCTTTAGATTTATTAAGCTATGCTACTACAAACGCCTAGATAATTGCACGTATTTAATATAAATAATTGTACATATTGTCATAAGTGTAATAATAGTTGCTAATTTGAGTCTACCTGGCCGGGTATAAAAATAAGCCTCATTTCCATTTGAAAATCATTCCAAATCTTCCCGTCAATCCATCCATCAAGTAAGTGCATTAATCTTTACTCGCGATTTCGTCTACATCTTACAGAAATATGTTTTATTATTCATTTGATTTTGGAAATTTAATTGTCGTTCTTATATATATTTCCTAGGAAAACTTTGATTCCCACATTGAAAATCGCTAAAATGAAAATCGGGCTTGTCGTCATTTTCGTCATGTCACTGATCTTCGCAACGGCTGCTCAGGATCCAGAAGGTAAAATATTGACGCTTGAGCCCCCCAAGTTTTTTTAGCATGGGGCAAAGTGCCAATTTTGATGAGTGCAGTATTAAAAATCCACGAGTAAAATTATACCTATCTGTATTCATGTGTTTATGACTTCACCAAAGTAGTACCTATTTATTTTTCTTTTATTTTGAAAACATTTGACGTGCGGTCTCCCTTGATTTGTTTGCCATTCGAAAGATATGCATAATTTATGAAAACCATAATTTTCTAAAATTCCGAACTCTTCTAAATAGATTTCTGCTCCCAAGTGAGACCAGCCTGCGATGGGATAAGACTTGCGTGCCAAGTTGATTCGATGATTTGTCTCAATCCGGCGACTGACAATTTCGACCGAACGTGCCGCGCCTTTGGACCAAACTGTTCAGTCACAATTTTAGACGGGATTTCCCACAACTGCAGATGCCCCAGTGCATAACCAATTAAATATATTTCGAATTTGGAATTTTTAGAGGATTAATGGCAATAAGTAAATCTGAACAAGAATAAAATAAATCAAATCAAATTCAGCAATACAATTCGAGAATTATATGTACATATGCATGTCTGCATTTATTTACAATAGAAACCTTTTGGGGGATGTGGCACTGCATTTCGATGAAAAAAATGCACCTATATAGAGATGATTTAAATTGATGTTTGTATGAAACTACTCGAATGTTTTTTTTTGCATGTGCTTTACCGGCTTTTCTGCACGTTCAGAGGGAGGTTCCCTTTCCATAATAGGGGTATTTTTAGTAATTGGTCTGGAAGAGGAAAAAAGGAATATTTATTTGCTCAATCGGAGAATATCAAGATGTTCAGAATAATTAAAATGGGATTGATGACCCATATGTCATGATAAAAACTGGTTGAGAACAGGCGTAAGCAAATGGGTTGTTTACAAGACATCACTAAATCAGACATTAATCATCTTAAGTATTACTCTTGCTAATTTACATATTTATATATGTATGTACATATGTATGTAGATGCCAGTCAGTCCGGTCTAGTTACACCAAACAATTGTATTTTACATATGTGTGTATGTAACTACAGGCATATGTAAATACATACACACTTAAATATGAATTCACATTTATGTATGTATTTATTCATATAAACGTATATTTATAGTGACAGCTTAATGTTTTCTCGGAAATTGATACATACTTATCTCTACTTTTATCCTCCGCTGTTTTATTTTTAGCTGAATACGGCAGAATTATTTTTATAAGATATTCCGCTACTCTATTTTGTTATTGCTTATTGATAAGCATATGTACATAGTATGGATAGAAAGCATCTAAGCATTTGTTACCAAATAATTATGTGCATCCATATATGTACAAATATGGAAAAGAACTTTGGTCCGTTAATTTGTCGCAAAATTTCGCTGTAACCTTGCTCCAGCAGATTTGTTGTCCCCCTCAGAGATTGTACGTACACACATAGATGGGACATGTATGCATGTATTTATGTACATATCTATTACTTTATATTAACATCGAACAAAAGTATAATATGCATTCTCAACTCTATATTATAATCCGCGCAGACCTGTACATACGTACATTAGCTCAATTGTCTAGAGGATTCCTGTTTAACACAAAGCGTAGATTGTCACTGTCCCCTTTTACAGAATGATTTATTTCTGCAACTTTGTGCAAGATTAATGATCGTCTCTGTTTGTTCTATTAAATACGTTTACTCTTTATGTACTCACATTTGGATGCCATTATTTGTGATATGTACATATATATGTATTTCTCCTATAGTTTTATGTATAGTAAGAAAAGTGAAGATACCAACATATGTACATATGTAATGTGTACACCAGTGCATATTTACCACTGGAAATCATGCTCAAATTATAAACCACTTGTCTGCACAATTGATCAATATATACATAACTATGTACGTCGTATAGTTTATTTCGTTGTTCAGAAGTATTTACCGGCAACAAACTTAGAAATTTTGAAATACGTACTTATTACGCTGTGATGATTTCTGTGTACCCTTTGTTCCTAGTAATATTTTTAAGTGGCCGTCTACAACTTAGTCTACATCACCTAGTAAGTAAGTAAGTAAATGATTTATTGCGAGATTGTGTATGGCCATAGCCTTTACAATCATTATTTAAATTTAGTATACATATTCTTACAATCTATTGGCTGGATCTTAAACTATAAATTTTCTCAACTAAACAGCATAAAGTGTGTAATTTAGGTGCTGTTAAATCTTTAAGGTATAAGAAATATTCTTCCGAGGATTTTATGTTACACAATTCTGGAGCACTTTCTCTTCGCAGTTTTCTCAGAGGTTGGCATTCGCATAATATATGGTACATTGTCTCTTGCATACCACTATTACATAATTGACATTCCGGGCTAAACTCAGGATAGAAACTATGATTTAACTTATTTAATTTAAAAACGGTATCGTGGACAGAAAGTTGTTCAACATTTAGCCTAAGCTGTACCCCTTGCCTTATTTTATTAAATGGAATTACAAAATTTAAATAATTTTCGGGTTTAACGCTGGTTTTAATCATTCTATAATTTGCGTATCTTTTAGTGTTGGTCATTCTTTCCACGTCCTTGTTTGTAATATCAATTGTTACCTGTTTTAATTTGCTATTTATCAGTTGTAAAATTTCTTTATCAGTTTTCTCTTGAACGTTAACATCTAAAATGTCCTCTATTTTGTAAGTAGTGAGAAGAGTTTTGACATCCCGAAACCAGTTGTTCTTTGTTTCTGACGTGCTCTGTTTAATTAATTCTTCATAGCATTTAAAAACTAGAGTACTGTCGTTTGTAATTATCTTAAACCAGAAATACAACAGCGATTTGAGAAACATGACTTGAATAGGTTTTACATTAGTTTCTAATCTGCATATCCATTGCGGAGTTACATTTGGTAAATGAAATAATTTCCTTATAAAGTTTGCTTGAAATACTTCTAAATTATCCATAAAGTTAACTCCCCATATTGGTGAGCAGTACAAGAGAACTGACTGAACAAGGGAGTTAAATAGTTGCATTCTACTATTGAGTGTTGTAATTTTAGCTCTGTAAAATAATTTCATTAAATCATTCTGAGCCCATCTAGACTTGGCATGGAAATGTTCGAACATTTTCTTGTTACTTACATTTGAGTAGAAAGGAACCCCTAGATATTTATAATAATCTACATAGTTTATTTCTGAGTCGCCCCAGAATAATTTAGGTTTGTTCTTAATCGTATTTCTGTTTTTGAAAAGGACGACATTAGTTTTTGATAAGTTCACAATTAAGCCATTATCATTAAAATATTTAACTAATTTATCTATCTTTTCTTGCATTTCGAATATATTTCTAGCTAGTACAACCAAATCGTCTGCATAGGCTAACATATCAATATCTGCAGTACCCACTCTAATTGGTGATGTTTTTTCATCAAATATTTTAAAGACATCTTCTAGAAAAATTGTGAACAATTTTGGAGATAGCGTTTCTCCTTGAAAAACGCCCCTTTTTAATCTGAACCAGTCGCTATCACCTTCGGATGTTCGAATTTTTGCTTTTGCACTACTGTACATTGATTTTATTACATTGATCATTTTTGTGCTAATTCCTACTTTCTGTAGCTTTTTCCATAGCATGTTGCTTTAATTGAGTCAAAAGCTGAGGACAGGTCAATGAAACATGCAAATACTACACTTTTCTTTGTTTTAAGATTACATTGTAATGCAGACTGTAAGGTAAAAACATGATCGGGGCAACCCGCCCCAGTTTTATACGCTGCCTGATAATCTGATATAATATTATTTTGTCTGCACCACACGTTTAATCTATTACTTAGCATAATTGTAAATAATTTGAGACAAGTATTCACCAGTGAGATTGGCCTATAATTCTTTGGTAGCATAGGATCTTCTTTCTTGTAAATGGGGCGGATGATTATTTCGGATGAGTTTTCTGGGAGGCGTTCTTCATTCCACTGATGATTGATGCAGATGAGCAGCTTCTCTCTGTGGTGAGGTTCAAGTGATTTCCATAATTCATTTGGTATGGTGTCTGGGCCTGGTGCTTTGTTTCTGGCGAGTTTCTTAATTGCATCATCAAGGTCAGAGCGTGAGAAATCTCGATCGAGCATTTCGTCTCGGATGAGGTATGATGGGCTTTCTGGGATGGTAATTTTGCTTTCGAAAATGTCACTGAAGTGGGATTTGAAATGAGTTGGGGTTGGGATTTTCGTAAGTTGCTGTCTGAATTTAGGTCTGTAATATGCCAACGCTTTGAAGAATTCAGTCGGTCGTTTTGCGTTCCCTAATTTATGAGTTAGATTATTTGTGAAATCTGTTTTTTTCTTTATGACAATAGTCTTATATTTCTGTCTCAGATTCGTGTATGTGTTTCTCCAATTAGATTTTATTGTGTTGTCTGCTGCGTTTCTGAATTTTTTCATCGAATATTGAGTCGCTTTTTTAAGTTTTTGGCATTCACCGTCGTACCAGGATGGATTGTGACACTGAGTTTTGTTAGACAAAGTTTTGTACTTTTGCATGCCCGTTAATTCTGCAGATATTCTTAGCGCTTGGGTGAAATCTTGTATGGAATTGTTCACAGATATCATCTCTTGTGTCAATTGGTTTAAGAAACGCTCTTTATTTTCTTCGTTCCACTTTATCATGGGGATCTGAGTTTCTTTGGTTTGTGCGGACGGGTTAAGCTTTAATAATATCGGGGAGTGTGAGGAGGAGGGGTCAGTAAGTACGTCGAAATCCAAAACTGTGTGCGAAGAGTCTTTAATCAGACATAGGTCAACAATACTTGATCCGTTCTTGTTGCTAAATGTAAATTCCCCCAAAGGGTCGGATTGTGTTGCGCCATTGAGTACGGAGAAGTCTTGGGTTTGTAAAATTCTGATGAGTTCCCTTCCTCGTTGATTTATGAACGTGTCTTTACTTTGTCTCTCGTTATTTTCATTATACTTTCCAATTCTAGCGTTTAGATCCCCCATGATAATGCAGTTCGAGTATTTTGAAGACGTTTCATGAAACAGTGCCATTAGATCAGTTGTACTTGTCGGTGATAAGTAAATTAGGATTAGAGCAAGTTTTTCACCATTAAGTTCTATTACAATTTCACAGCTTTCACCATCAGTCTTAATCACTTTACAGTTTTCACAAATTGATTTACTCACGCCCACTATGAAACCACCTTTCGCTCTGCCTTTCACATGTTGCTTACTGCCAAATTGTTCTATTATGTTAAATGTTGATGACAAGGTTGTATTTTTGAATTGAGTTGTGTGCCATGTCTCACAGAGATAGAATATGTGAGGTTCTGAACCAATTATTTTGTTGTAGAATGGTTTAAATTTATTTTTGATTCCTTCGATATTCCAAGACAATATATTTAGGAGGTGAAGTAAAGGCGTCTGGTGTCATTGTTGCATTTTGTTGTCATTTACTTCGAAGACTTCATGATTATCATTGACAGCATAAACAGTGGTACTTTCTCCATCCACAAGGTATAATTTTCCTTGCCGAATTCTTCCTTTTATTGAAGGCTTCGCACTCCTTAATTCCTTGAGCTTTTTGAGTAAAGTTGAGCTTGTGAGACGTTCTTCTTTATCCAAATCATCATTAACAAATATTTCTGTTCCTTTTAACTTGTGCCTGTTTGTCATCAGATTTCGCTTGTCCCAAGTTCTCATCAGCTTTATCATTAGTGGGCGTGAAGGCCGGCCTGGTTTACCGAGTCGATAGATGTCGTCAAACATAAGGGTCACTCCAATGCGTTTTTCCAAGTCTTGGACAATTGCTTCTTTATTTTCATTGGTTTCACCTGGGGTTTCGGGGTACCCATACACAATTACATTATTCTTTTTTGAAGCACTCCACAGTTTATCAAATTTAACTTGAAGGTTGGTCACGATGGAACTTTGGTCACAAAGTTTGCCGATTTCGGTAGTTATGAACTCTTTTTGACGTTTCTCACTTTCGAGTATTAATTTGGTGATTTCTTCTATGGTAGCCATATTTTTTGAGGGGGAATTATTTTCGGTTATTGGGCTAGCGGATTCTTTCGTTTTCTTTTTCAGGCGTCGACTTTGCACTAGAGTCACTGGATTCCTCCCTGTCTCTTTTAGCTGCTTTATTTTTATTCGAATTCGTAAAATATCCGTATAAACTACTCATACTTGAGAACTTTTATGCATTTTAATTTTGTGCGCGGATTTCTATACACTTATGCATGTGTACGAATGAATGAGAGCTAATGATGTTCACTCTCCAGCAGCCAGCCAAAGACTTTTATCACCTAGTAAGTAAGTTTGAGTAATATATTTACATGTGCATGCTTAGTGCATATGATGCAAAGTTCATATGATGAAGTTGAGAATCCGCAAGGAGCAAATAATATTTTGGAAATCATATTTGATTTTCAAACCATAAGTTTTTTTAATGACCGTTTTAACGTAGCACATGTTGTATTCCTTTAGATTGAAGGTGCGGATCTTAATGAGGAACAAACGTTGAATTTGAAAGACCTTATGGAACGCGTGAGGGCTTATTTGCAGTTCAAATTTATAATTACAATTTTAATGGAATGCCATAATTTCAATTTTACTTAAGTTAGCCGCCCAGTTATCAAACATTCCTACGAAAGATGACTTTGCTGCAAAGATTGAAGCTATGGAAATGAGATTAGATAAGAAATTGGAAAGCCTGCAACGTGATCTGGAAGCACTCGTCAAGTCCGACACTGTGAAGGGCAAAGTTATCAGGGAAGAAACTGCTTATCGAAGAAATCGGAGGTCCATGCACGTAAGTAACCTCGGTATTCGAATTAGTGTATGTAGCATATTTTAAGGTCGGCCAAATTCGCAAATTCAGTTTTTGATTGTTAGAATTACGATAGTTTTTTATATATTTAAGTTACCAGAATACGCGGCTTCGGATTACCGATTGGGAATATTAGCGTCAGAAGTACAAAAGGTAGGCATGTTTTGGTGTTCGCTTCAATTAATGTAGAATATTCAATGAATCTGTTTGTCAGGCGCATCAAACCATTCAGGAAAAATTTTCAACTCGTGTTTTCTTCCAGAATAGAGCCTGCAAACTTATAATGAGCAACTTTCCATGTTTTATAGTCTTCTTTCAACGAGTCCTGTAGATTTGTGGAGCAACTTCTAACCCTTCAGGAAGACGAGATCGCCTCTTTGAAAGAGATAAAAAGCACCAGTTTTAACGTGTCTCAGGGCCTCGGCAACGTATTGAAGGAGTTCGAGAGTTTGAAGCATTACATGAACAATGTATGAGGCTGATACGAGCTTAAAAACTAGAACATTACATTCTACACAACTTATAAAACTTACTCTCACTCAAATTTCAGTCTTACCCATCGTCGAACAGAAAATCAGTGCCTTGCATGGATGATTCCGACCTTTCAAACGCAAAATTTCTCCATAAAAAGGTAATCTTTCAATTTATTACAACTTGTATGACCTTTGAAAATTGAAACTCAGTTATACATATGTTCATAAGCTTTAATGCATGCATTTAGCTCGTCTGTGACGAAGAGTGGATACTAATTCAGCAAAGAGGTACTCCAATCCTGAAAGGAAAGGGAAGAACCGATTTCGAGAAAAATTGGAATGAATATGAAAATGGGTTTGGCAACCTGGACGGAGATTTCTGGCTCGGTAAGATTTACTAAGCAAATTTTAAACTATCAGAGCTAACTTAGATTCTTAAATACAGGGTTAAAAACCATCCATGAGCTCACTGTTGAAGGAAATACACAGTTACGAGTTGACCTCGAGGACTGGGAGGGGAACAAAAAGTATGCTATGTTTGACACCTTCAGAGTCGCTAATGTCCGGACTAAGTATAACTTAACCGTAGACGGATATACTGGGACAGCGGGTGAGGGGTTTTTAAGCATACCAATTATTATTGTGATGGATTTTTGTAGTTTCACAACCATAAAAATTGCGAATATAGAAATATAAGCGAGTGTTAGGCGAAGTATTATCCTGCCCAGACATTATTTGGAATGTTCTAATTTGTCTATTTGAATTTTACCAATTTTCGATTATTTAATAAGCTCGTTGAATCCACGAAATCTCGGGTGTGAGATTTTCTGACAAGTATATATCTATGTATATACAATGTTGCATGTGCATACATATGTACACAATTAATTGGTTATGTGACCATGTACGTATAATTTAGCCACAACCAGGCCAAAATACCCAGTTTGTTCGAACTCGACAAAATTAACTTCTACACATGTTGATTACTAAATATTTTTATTTTGCAGGCAATTCATTAATTCGCAGCAACGGACAACAGTTCAGTACATACGATAAGGACAATGATGGCTGGATAAAAAATTGTGCAGCTGACCGTCGAGGCGGATGGTGGTACGGTTTCTGTTCAGATGTACGTGCGTTCATAAATACGCAATAAACCATAGTTTCAATAGTTTAAAAAGATTTTATTTACATGATTCTTAGGCCAATCTGAACTCAATATATCATAATTCAGGCGAGATGGAAAAGGCTGCGGTAGGAGTGCACTGGAACGACTGGAGAGGAACAAAATATTCCTTAAAAAAGGTGCAAATGAAGATTCGCAAACCGCCCAGAGGATGAAAATAGCTCGGCTCCAATCCAATTCATAGCCCAACTGGATTGGCAACACATTTAACTCCCAGGTATTTATGTAATAGCAACAAATTTCGCGGTCGTTATTTTCCTTTGGATTGATGTATATATGTATGCAGCAGGGGTGGGCAAGATACTTGGTCAAGATAAAAGATACAAGATACAAGATAGTATCTTTATCTTGTATCTTGGCCGCCTGATCAGAGAAGTATCTTGTATCTTGTATCTTTTAGAAAGTCGAATAGTATCTTGTATAAGTATCTTATCTAGATATGCCTGGCAGAAAAGTATCTTAAGATAGTTTTGTCAAGATACAAGATACTTTTTCTAAAAATTCCGTAAAATTCTTAAGTCAAAGTCAATTTCGTACTACTGGCAGTCAATTTGACCATGAATTTGTCGTAACCAGAATTTGGTGAATTTTTAGTTTATGTTTTGCCAATGTGTAAAAAACTTCTACATGCATATGTACGTATATTCATATATATATGTATATGTATATATGTTCATGTGTACTCGTACATTTGTATACATACATGCACATTACATGATATGTACCTACGCTGAACTAGTGTATATATCTTATAGGGTTTAGATAAGCAGGGAATATTGTAAAAATAATATCAACTTCTTAAAAATATGTATGTTAGGTAGAGTTCTAGTTTTTCGAAATTTTTCGAAGTATGTATAAGCGCTGGCTACAAAATTTGTAAGATGATTATAGAATGATTTTAAATTCTGTACTCACTAGATTTTTTCGTTTAAATTATTAAACATGACCAATTGGGCATGAATACCAAGGTAAAAAAAGAAAGTATCTTATCTAGTATAAAAGTATCTTAAGATACATATCTTGTATCTTGTATCTTGACTACTCAATCTTTAGGAAAGTATCTTGTATCTTGTATCTTGTGTACTTGAACAAGATGTATCTTTTATCTTGTATCTTATATCTTATCCTAGAAAGTATCTTATCTTGTATCTTGTATCTTGCGACCAAAGTATCTTGCCCACCCCTGGTATGCAGCTTAAAATGCTTTTAAAATGTCAAAACCCAGAATAAATTGTATTCCTTGTATTCGCCAAACCCATTTTATATATGTGTAACAACTTCAAAATCTGCCGTAGAAAAGTCTTCACCAACCCATTGTACTTCTGCATTTCCAAGTAGTTTTTTAACTACATACATATCTTAGATATTAAAGGATTCCTTCTGAATTTCCGAACTATATCTAGTTTGGACAATATAAATCATGGACGTTTCTCACTTTTAAAACTGATAAATTTCGAGTATTATATTATTTGCATTTATATGCATGCATACTGTTTCATGTTTCCTAACAAGTAATACTCATACAGAGTTTTTTCATTATGCACAAATTATTGTTCAGTACTGCGAATTATTTACTCATCCATGAAATTGAGCATGTCTTGATAAGATAATAACTATTTACAAAATCTCTTATTATGACTCCATTTTTTAAATTGTATTTGCGAAAATATGAAAACTCTGCGAACATTAGCGTTAACATTTATGTTTCATTTATTTCATTGTCATTCATATATTTAAATATCTTTGTATATCTGAAATTGTCACTTAAATACTTATATACTTCAATATATACATAAATGTAGTGCGTCGACATTAAGCAGGGTTTCGCTCTGGTTTTATAACCACATCCAAATCAGCTATCCAAAACCAGGTGTAGTCAGTTTTGGTCATGGAATTTTGGATGTTTAAAATGTCCAAAACTAATTGATAATTGGTGCACAAATGGTGTATAATTTTACAAGATTTTCCGGCAATAATTTGACGTATATATATGTAATGAAGAGTCTTCATTGAAGACTGACAGTTTTGAACATTGTGCACATGTACAAATTTGCTTTGGACAGTTTAGAACGCATCTTAACGGAACGCAGATGTGGTCGTCCGAAAAGAGACACCTTTCATTAGGTTATCCAACTACATATTTGCATACATATGTACATATGCCATAAATTTTAGTAAACTATTTTCTCCTTTTTCAGTTATTTCCTCATGATTTTTGATGGCGAAAAGTTTAGGCGACCCGAAAGACATCAGTTTTGCAGAATGTAAATTATTTTCTCCCCTTTACCAGTGTAAACTACAGTAGTGTCAAGAACTTTGTAGCCGTTGTAATCCAGGAAGTTGAGATAGTTTGAGACCACCGAGAAGGTGATGTCTGTATGTACAAAATTTAATATATGCATGTACTAATTCTTCTCATTTTTAAATAATCATACAGATACGTTTAGACCAAACTAAACAATCATCGAGCTTCACGCAAAGGTTGTACATAGAACTGCGGGGAGAGAACGAGGAAAAGTACACAGGAAGGCAGTAAATATATTAGAATAAAGATCGGTCACGATAGTATGACACTGCCCCGTCAAAGGCGCGCTGGGCGGGAACATGGCGAAATTAAATTTTGAAAAAAATATTTTTGAATAGACCAAGTTATTAGCTTTCCAATGATATATGTCACCAATTATTTCGTCATGGCTGACACTCGAAGAACTTGGGTTGAAAGGCAAGAGTTGGAAAAAAGAGGAATTGAGTTTCATAAAAATGAAGCAAACAGTGATTCCAAAACTACTTGGCATTTTTTTAAACAAGAAGGTATTTCTGAATCCAACATCAACTAATACATAAAAAAGTACGAGGAATCCAATGACGTCAAATTCAAAGTCCCCACTAGTCGACCTGCAAAGCTATCGGCGACAAAAGTCAAAAATCGGATAAAACAATTTTCAAAAATCATTCATCAACGGCAACGGCTGCCACGACAAGGAAGGTCAAGATTTCAAAAAACTATCTGAGCAAAATCAAAGTCCATAAACTAGGGATTACAGCCAGGGCAAAAAAACAAGCACCAAATTACAAACCAACACAAAAGGAAAGGATTCATGGGTTCTGCAAGAAATTATTGAAGCAAATTGGGGGGAAAGTGGTCATCATGGAAGATGAGCCCCACGTCACAGCTGACCCCTCAAATCTTCCAGGAAGGCATTTTTTCCATAGTTCCTACCCCTATGAAACAAAGTATGAAGACAAAGTCCAAAAGAAAGACCAATTAACCAAAAAATGAAGAATTTGGCAATGCACATCGAGACTGGTCATGTTTCTGATCCCGTCATTTTGGAGGGTACTGTAAACCAGGAGGTGCGTCTTAAATTATGCATTAAAGGGGGATTAAAATCGTTCGTTACCAAAGACCATAAAAACATAAAGTTTTCTTTTTGACTGACCTCGTAAGGCCCCATGAGGCCAAAAAGATCACTCAGTTCCGACATCTGAAAAAAACTGAATTTGTGCAAAAAAATGGAAGCCCACGAAATTTTCCTCAACTGCGACCAATAGAGAAGTTCTGAGCGCTGACTAATTCCAAATATTCTAAGCTTTCAGAAAGGCCAGATACCTTTAAAATTTAAAAACATATGGAGGAAAATCAGCTTGAAAGTAGGTGCATTCTATGGGCGGAATCTGACGCGAAATCTGAAGAAGAAAATGCAATGTGCAGCAGATAGCGGAATTGAATCATTAAAATTTGAACTGTATGGCAATCTAAACCCTTTGGTAGTATACATATGCAATTTTTTTGAAATTACATTAACTGTGTGTAAAGTTATGAGCATTTTATTACGTGAGTGCCATACTATCGTGACCGATCTTTATTCATGCATATTGGGATAAACCCTCTACATCTCTCTCCAGGGTTCCGTAACCTTTCCGAGGATTACAGTACTTACCCGTATTTCCATTAATAATTTGGTCGTGAAGCAATTGGACGGGAGGATTTTCTGGATTATGTGGTCCAAGCAGGTCTGCCCCAACGTACAAGTATTTCGCATGTCCGGTCCCATGTGAAACAAGTTCCGGAAATTTTGCTTTGATCTCACTCTCCAGGTGGGCCATCAAACCAAACAGGTGGATATGCCACAGACTGCCGGTGTGTAATTCACGTCTGTACAATTTTAAGTTTAAATACATAACGCCCGCAAAACAATGGACATATGTATTTTATCTTACGTGACTGTGCAAATTGGCATTTTTGCTGGAAGATTATTGTCAAATTGTCAACGAAATTATTTATGCAATTTGAGTAGGCGTCGTTCGAACGAGTACTGAAATTATGGATCAGGAAACTTTGCGTACAAATTTAACAGATGTTATGAGCTCAATACTTGTAAACACATATTTTATTTCAATAATTGTGATACACTGAATGTATGTATTGGAAACTGCTGTAGCATCTATACGGACATACATATATTAACAATTTGTTTGCGTATGTGTGCTTATCAGGTGTGTGATTATCGAAATCAAAACATGTGAAACAATCATTGGGTTATAAATTGCTATCACTAACTTATACAAACTAATTTAGAATGGGTATTATTCACCAGGGGATATATGTGCATATACATATGTTTGCACAATATGCATGCAAAATAAGACTGAAATACACAAGACACGAAGGAGTACTTATTTGTAATAGGTAGGTAGGTAGGTAGGTTTATTCAAGATTGATATAGCGCAAGCTCTTACAATCATCATCGTTCATTCATTTCATACAAAAGTTCATTCAAATTACATACATAGTTCCATAATGATTAAATCTAAGAATTAACAAAGTATGTGCTCAGTTGTGGGCATAATCCACAAGTAGCACACGGCATCCCAATACAGGCTAATCACACACTATGATAAATTTATAAAATCTAATGATAATATGTATGTAGCAGTATGGGTGTAGAGGAAAAACCGGAGATGGTCTCGGAAAACCTCTACATGTATTGGAAAGTTGGCCCAATACACCATTCGGCCCATTACTGCTGGACACCAGGTAGGAAAATGAATGGCAGGGATACATAGGCGGATTCCGTGGGGTGGTGGTGATATTCAAATGAGGGTGGCGTCTGCATGCGGAAGTAGACGGTTGAAGGTTGTTGGGCGGGGGCTGTCCACGGACCGCGGGATCTTGCCCACGTCCCCCATGGAAGCCGTAGCCGGGGCCGACGACACCCCCACTTGCCCCTTCTCCCATCACAACACAATCAGGTCATGGGAGCCCCGTAGACCCGACTATGCCGCCCTCCGACATGCACGACCCCCTCCTCCACTCTTCAACCAACCACTCCCCACGGTCACCACCCCGATATGCCAAACAAAAACCTACCTGGGGGAGCCCCTCCAAGGCGTAGATCCTCCTGTGCACTGGGTCCTGCGAATCCATCTTCGCCTGTTGGTTCAGCTTGTCGTTGCTGGGACGGGTGTGGCAGGGGGTGTCACTAGGCACGCAGGTGGGGGGTGTGAGTGGACGAGGCTCACGTGGCGAAAAGCCCTTAGGACACACTTTACTTGCCCTGGCACACCCGCGACCCAGATGGAAGAAAGAGAATCCAGATGCAGAGCGAGAGAGAGATACGTCGTGCACGGAGGAAGCCAAAGAGGAGACTTACTTATTTGTAATAAGTGTAAGCTCACTTTGAACTTGAAATCCTTTAAGGTATGGGTACTATTTCTATCAAAAAACCTAAAAAAAAATAACAAAAAATCTAGTACAGAATATTTATTAGTATTTAGTTTGCCTAATATTTCTAACATAAGAATTTACTTGTCGATATGGGAGGACATATTAATTCAGAAATTTATAGGGCGGGTACACTTTACTTGAATAGACTGAACTGAACTTTTATTTAATCTAATATTACATACATATATGTACATACATATCGTCGTATTAATTCGAAAACGACGTAAGTACAGTCGTGTGTTAATTCGAAAAAGACGTAAGTGCAGTCGTGTGTTAATTTGAAAAAGACGTAAGTACACAATAAAATCTTGCAAAAGGACGTAAGTGCAATTATAATTTTAACAACAGGTCAGTTTTTCTTCAAAATTGCTTGGTAAATTTAAATATACCTATGTATTATATTTATTGAAGTAAATCTATCACCTTCATCAATAATTCCATTAGTGAACAAACTGCGGCAACGCAGTAGCGCGAAAACGACGAGAATGCGATACAAACAAAGATAACAAAGATTGCCGAATCTGAATTATTTAAAATTAACAAAATAATTGAGATTTCCTCATTCTATCTTGCCACTCTGAAGAATAATGCATCTTACATGTTTTACTGTTTTATCAATCCTAATTAATAAATCAATCTTACTGTTTTATACGTCCTACGTGTTAGATTCAAATATTTGTAAAAATCTCATTTTGCGTAAACCACACCCCTAGGCTCGAGAGGGTGTGGCACAACTCGGGAACACTTTAACTCTATTTCATCCATGGATTCAATTTTTGTAAACGTTTCATTTTGCTCCGACCACACCCCCTGGAAGCGAGGGGGTGTGGTCTGGTTGGCCACAAAGTATGACGAGATCTTCCCACTAAGGTCATATGTATGATACCGCAAACCGATTTCGATTATCTCGATCCGTTCTCCGGTTATCGTGTTGACAGACAGACAGACAGACAAATTAACTAAGACATCGCATAAAGTAGCATGAGCTACTTAATAAACTTTTGAAGACCCGAACTGATGCATTGTGCAATTACAAAATTAACAAGTAATGTTATAAAATTACAAACTTTACTAACTATGCATGTATCAATTACTACGTATATAGAAATAAAAAACCGAAGGGGTGCACTAAGATATTTAAACTCACGAAGTATTTTTGAACAAGAACTGACCAGTTGTTAAAGTTATAATTGCGCTTACGTCCTTTTACAAGGTTTTATAGTGTACTTACGTCGTTTTCGAATTAACACACGACTGCACTTACGTCTATTTCGAATTAACACACGACTGCACTTACGTCGTTTTCGAATTAACACACGACTGCACTTACGTCGTTTTCAAGTTAACACACGACTGCACTTACGTCGTTTTCAAGTTAACACACGACTGCACTTACGTCGTTTTCGAATTAATACGACGATATGTATGTATATTTAGATATTATTACGTATTTGCTGTCCCAATATGTTATTTGCAATTTAATTTAAATCACTTAAACATCTTGTTAACATGTTTTAATTACGGTGCGCCAATAGTGCGGATATCCTGAAACCAGAAATGTAATCAATAATTGAAATTTTTGTGCTTTTCTCCAATTTAATGAATCTATAATCAAACGCGCCTGCATAAAATGTGAACGTACGCATCACCCTTATCCTCATTCTCACCAACTTTCTTTGATCGAAGTCTCTCCCAATGATAACTTTTGGAACCTCTACTAGTGCCATTTTCAAATTTTGAATAATCCCCATCGACTCCTCATGCTGATAGATGAAGGGGATTAGAAGGATTTGCAGAAAACTCATGCTGCCAATTGCGACGACAGGGAACATCCAGTACACCTGGATGGGAATGAAGGCGTAGGTTGTAATGGCCAAGTACAATCCTATAATTGCAGATGACGTCAACGATATTAGCTCAGAACCAACGACGAAATCGCTGGCTTTGCGGACTGATGCGGCCACCAGGTGCACCATATCGTGAACTCGGAATGTTACCCAAATGGATAGTTTTCCATGTTTAAGTTTTCCTATAATGAAAAGGACGAAATCCGGAGATATGAAGACTCGAAACACGTATAAGAAAGGATCCAGATCAAAACAGGTTGTTGAGAAACCTATAATAAAACTTAAGACGGGAAAAATTCGGACGGTCATGACAATGATGCGGGTGAAAACTTCCAACGAAGGGTATCTCCTTAAGGGCACGTCTGACTCTGCAATTTGATTTACATATAAATATGTGTAAAAACTAAGTAGTAAATTGTTCATATTTCAAATTATTTCGAACAATTTTAAATTAGGCAAAATATATTGCTGGAAGACTTCTGTCAAAGAAGGTTTAAGATGCAAATTTTTGAGACGGGGTTCAATTTCGCGACGACCCAATACAAAAAATCCAGAAAATCACAAGCAACATCATTTTAAAATTTTCTAATTCTATACAGTTTTGCTATAATTCGTAATAAATCCAAGACATTTAGACGTTGTTAACGTAAAAGTACTACATAAACAGAGATGTAAATGTGTACAAGTACCTGTGTTTATGGCTAATTCCATAATGTTCAAATTTTCAGAAGCAATCGTACCTTCCAGCCCGCAGATTAACATGAGCAATCCTCCTCCGCAGCCAACGGCGCCTCCCATTAGTCCAAAGAATATCTGAATGACTAAAATATACATGGGGACATTGGTCACTTTCACGAAGATCTCCCTCAAACAGATGAAACAACAACACAGAGTCCCAAACAGTACGACGGACATTGTGAAATACCAGAAAAGTAACTCTTTGTGATTAACTTTGTATACGAACTTCTTCTTTTGAATGTCCCAGCTGACGGGAATTGTCCCCATCTTCTGGTACAACGAAGCATACGCGTCCAGGGCGCGGATGCAGAACCCAGACGGCATTACCCAAGCTGCCAACTCATAGCCCATGAACTTCTTCAGGATTTTTCAAACCGAGTTTCATGTCGTCCCAAGGACGACCTGCTTTGGACGTAAGATCACATTAGGACATTATGAGGATGTAGAAATGTCCGGTGAAGGCATATCCATACGACATCTTATAATGACGTCCATGGTAGGTCAATGGTAGAAATTAGAAGGGTCTGCATAAATGACGAGCTGAGGATGGCGGTAATTGAAAACAAAATTCAAATTCTTTTTATCTCTCAATTATTTTTTATTCAACAATAATAGAACCAACAAATAATCATTTAACTACTCATATTGAAAATCATTTTAGAAATTTAGGCAATAATATTTATGAAAAGAAGGTTCATTGTTTGTCCTCTTCTTCAGCATCCTCAATTTGCTTGTTCTTCTTTTTGCTAGCCTAAAAAAGAAACGTGACGGATAAAAATAAATATATATCCATATATATTGCAAACGAATTATGTTCTCACCTGCTTAATGCGATCTGGTGCATGTTGTAGCCATGACGAACCTTTCTTCTTAAAATCATGCTCTGTAACTTCAGAGCAATTTCCAGTTGTCGTCGCCTTCACCGCATCTGTATACAATTAATTAAAAAATAGCTATATGCCTACTTGAATTGTTAAATATTCAGAATGTTCAATGTTCAATGTTCAATGTGATAATCGTTTTTACTAAAAATTGCACTCTTGATCTTCAAGTCTTTGAACGGTAGTTTTCCATTAGTTTTTCTAATTCCCTCCCAACAAAATTGGGTGGCCAACTTGTCTGGTAGAATCTTGTAAAGAATATTCGAAATGCATTCGTTGTAATCTCCCCCACCAGTGTACCATAAGTAATCGACCTTAAAATAACATTTAACAAACTTATAAAGATTTTTACATTCAATAAAATAATAAATTTGTGAAATACTGTCGACTCACGAGTGCATTGAATTTCTTCGAATTTTTTAATGATTCTTCAAATTCATTCAGGGCCTCCAAAGTAGTTAGCGGAAAGTTGAAGTTAAATTCAGAAGTATAGTCTTTCTTGGGTCCGACATTCGCTGAAATGGATAACTTCTCCAATAATTGATTTTGAGCTGTTAGCTTATGTTCGATGTGGGCAAGAGCGTTAATCACATAGTTCTCAAATCGGGAAAATTGAGGTCCACATGCTAAGAATTGAAAAAAATCTCACATAAATTTTTGTTTCTGACAGATATGAAATGTGCTTGCAAACTTGCCTATTTTCTTAACCAATCTCGAACCAACATCAGAAACTTGGTCGCTGTCGCTCTCGTATCCTAGTTAAGAATTTTACGAAAGTGGATAAGTATAAAATACGAAACATTGTTCAGTATTGTTACGCATGTTTAACATGTGACTAACCGGATATCAAAGTAGAACCCCTTCTCTCCATAATATGACTCTCGGTTGCATTTGCATTTAACTGAAGTAAAGATTGCGGCTGAGATAAGGCCTCCCGAGCATATGATTGGGATACAAACTTTGATTTTACGGGAACATATTCTGGCTTCTTTCTTATTGAAACTGGTGACTTGAAACCATATGGATCTAAAATGGGTTCAATGTCTGTAGTTTGAGGGGTAGATTAAATGAAGATTAGCGAATGAAGTGTCCCACTTTACCTGCGAAATCAGAATTTCCCTTCAATTGTGTTCCAGATCCTTCTGCCAATCCAAACCCAAAAATTGTTGGAGGAAGCTCAGGGGGAGGTGGTGACAGTACGGATGGTTGCTTATTCTTATTATTACGCTTCCCGGTCATTATTTTTTCAAACACGACAGGATTATCGTCATCACTAGAAACCGTTGGTGAATAGGAATGGTGAAAGTTTCCACGTTTGCTTTGGTCGTCGTCTTCTGACTCGATCGTAGTACACCAATTTAAACTATGATCTTGCCATATTGTCCCAAAGTTCTTGCGTTGTAAATAAGCCAGGTGTCCATTTGCACAGGAGATTGTGTCTCGACTGCTTCGGTTACCTTTTTCAACGTTTTAAATGGGGGCCACCAGCACCTTAATTGTCCTCTGTCATCGTTCTCCAGCCATAGTTGTGGCACAACTTCCACCTCGTTGGTTTCAGGAAAATGAACGATACTGTAGCTCATTCATTGTGTATATTAACAATGAATTAGAGGAAAAGCCACGTTAATGGACTGGTCCTTAGGGAACACCATATATTTTTTATTCACTTCACAAATATTAATTGTTTCCAGTCCGTCTAATTTTTCAAAGCAATAAATTCCAATTAAAGTTGAGTTGATTGGCTTAGTAAAAAAAGGAGTCAAATCTAAGCATTTCTGTCCAATCATAAATACTTCACCGTTCTTTTCACTACTCACAATGTTTTTTACTTTGAAAAGATATCCAGTTGATAACCATACAAATTGATCTGGTCGACGAATCTTCAGTACAAAAGTTGGAAAAATATACTGCTTATATTGTGGAGCAGAAAATCCAGGAAGCAGCGGGCCAAAAGTGTGCTCACGAGAAGCACCACGTTGAGAAAGGTGTTTATTTCCCTCTGGAATTTCCCTCTCACATAACCGGCGACTCACTTGGGCCAGGGGCAAGTAACCACTTCGAACTAATCTCTTTAGGCCACCTAAATAATCTTCGAACTTAAAAGCACTGTACTGGTTCAAATCTCCAAATGTTTCAACATCTTCGTAGACATGTAGCAAACAATGTACATTATACGAAATATTTTCTTTCCCATACAATTTTGCAAAATTTCCAACAAAATAAGTCAACAAACTATTTGCATAAACCCCATAAACTGGTACAAGATTTTTGGAGCATAAGATAAACACTGCACACTGAAACACAATAAAATGGAAATAATATTCGGGAGGCAAAATATTTTGCAGAACTACGATGCCTGTGTATAGTAGAAACTGACGAAATTCAGTAGCCTTCCAACGTGGTAATTCTGATAACGACCGAGGTTTTCGATTGAACTCAGAAGTTATGTATTTTTTTAATTTTTGCAATTTTTCTGAGAGGTGCGCTATTTGAGTTGCACGTAATTTAAATTGTTTTTGTTTTCCACATATCCAAAGTTTTAACAGTTTTTTCGTCACTCCAAGACAAATTAAATGCATGAATTCGAAAGGGACTCTGCTAACTAAGCCAACGGATAGAGAACTTAGAATTGTTTGTCCCCTGTAATGATCATCGCCTAGATCGCCAAATGATTCATCAGTTCTTTTTCTCCCAATTTTATCCGAGAATACAACGCGGTTTCTGTAATACTCTCCAATTTGCGTACACCTCGGACAGGCAGAAAATCCGGAATGATACTTCGTACAAGTAATTCATGACTTAGCACAGTAAAGCGGTGTATACGGGGAGACTGCAATAAGCCTTTAGTGCTTGCGCAGCTGACGGTCCTGTCCAACAATGGCAGGATCGTCACCCCACCAATACATACATACATACATATCGTACAAGTAATGAACGATCTGGCTGGTGCGTCACAGATGAAACCCTTAATTTTGAATTGATAGGTTTTATTTCTAAATAAATTCCTCTCACACTCAAGTCCTTAGCGTCAGTAACGAATTGTTCCAAAAAATCATTATGATTTGCTGGTTTGGTTGATCCATGGTAAATTCCGACGCAGAAAGGCTTATTATTTTTTACATTCTCAATAGAGCATAAGATTGGCCAAAATTCGCTCTTGCTGCTATCACTGACCGGAATACCATCGACACTGATGAACACTTCAACTAAGGTTGTATGGTGCAAATCCTCAGTTGATTTAAGTATAGCGAGGATGCCCTTTTCTAATCCAAAGTGAACATAATTTCCAGGCAGAACAACAGTCGAATTTATTGTTCTTGGAGTTTTGAGTAAAGAACGCGCATCGGAGGGCAACTCTGAAGTGAAACACGGATGCAATCTTAATAATTTCAATAACTTGGAAATTGATTCGTGGGTAATATTATTTTGTACACTCCACGCTCTTAATTCGGTTTTAATATCAAATGCAGTTACAATGCTTCCACTTTCACTGTCAATTAATGATAAATTACTGAATTCACTCTCTAGAGAAAAAGTCGACTCGGAACTTATATTGAGGTCATAATTTGGAGCCTCTATCGTCAGTAATTGAGCTTCAGGGGTAGTTTTTGTAACGGGCTCATTCGTGTTTTCGAAATGATGGAAACTAAATATTTCTACACTTTTAAGATGATTTTCAATGTTTTTACTAATTTGTCTCCGGAATTGTTTTTGAGATAAACTAAATAATTCTTTAGGCATTTTGAACTAAGGCAATAAATATTAAATTCCCACAATAATGTTGCAGTCGAATTCCCCCAAAATAGTATGGTTGTCATTTTAAGATGTTCTATGGATATAAATTTGCGATGCAATTACGATTTATTAGCTCGTCGTAAGCAGATATGCCTCGTAAGTCCTAAAGATGACCTTATACGACACATCATGCAATTGTCGAGGAAGAGCAGATTGAGAAATCCTCAGGATAATGGTGGCTGTTTGGGTATTGACGAATCTGCAGATTATGCCATATGTGGTAGCTAGGGAATAAAGTCGCAACGCATCTAAGGCTGACGTAAAAATGCGTGCATACGAGGGGTCCGGCATAAGTCTTTGTGTCGACCATAATACCACAATAAAATTGGGATGCTGACCTTATCACTTTTCATTATATTCCCCTGCGAGGTCAACACACTTGGTCCGATAAATTTCAAATTCTTTATCCCGGTTTTATGAAAGGTTTTCGAAAAAAAGTCAAAACTGCTGATTTCACCTCATCCATCGTCGAAATCTCCTCCCCCCTTACGTTTTTTTGAAAATATTGAAATAGGTAGTAGTCACTAGAGGCCATTTGTGGACTGTAAGGGGGATGAAATAATTTTGACATTTTTTGGCTTGAAATGGCATCCTATTAACTTTTGGATGTGTGACCCGAAAAGTTGCCGTGAGCATTTTCGCAAGCCAGGCGACTTTTGGTTTTGTCGTTTCTCCACAACGGCTTGAATTAATTTTTCGAAATCGCAGCGTAATAAGCACCAGGTATCGCCGTTTCCGGTGCCGCAACGTCCAGAAGCAGAAGTCCTTCTTACTCCCAAAAACGGAGGCCATTACCAAAATGGCTATTTCTGCTTCCCTTTTTCTCCTTTATACATGAATACTTCCAATCCATGCTTTCTGGCTTACTATTAGGACCAGAACAGTCAACCCAGGTTTATTCTCCAGTGAGTAAACGCAAAAAGAAGTACGGGTTTCCGTTTTGAAGGTCCAAATCTACGTAGCAAACCTGGGCTCAATTTTAGAGATTTGGTCTGTTTCGCGGTTTTTGATCAGACGATCTCCTCGACTCGGCCGTGACCGTGAATTTTTGAGCCATGAGATCTAAGTTGCATATGAGTTTATCTTCCACACCAACAAAAAAGTGGGGCTAAAATGACCCCCTTCATGGTCAACACAAAGTCTTATGCCGCACCCCTCGTAGATCCAAAACACACATGTACAACGAATGGCAAACTGAAGTTAAAAGTTGCTGAACACCAACAAACACTAAAAACGGGCATAATGAAAGAAAAAATTATTCCTAAGCCAGAAACGCAAGGCGTACAAAAAAGCGTATTTATGATACCTCAATATTTACTATTTTGGAAGATGGGTCCAAATAATATTTTGTTTGCAAAAAATATATTTCAAGATAAACTTTTTCATTACGACCAAATAAATATGTCAGTTCGAAGCTCAAGTTAGACTTTAAATTTGGTTGGATTTATTTCCTACGACCGTGTGGCATACATACGTACACTGGTAATAAATTCAATGCCCCATGCATCCGGAAAAATTTCAATTTTTTAAATACCTGCATAACTCTTAGCAGATTTATATACACAAGCCTTTAATTTCCAGAACTTACGCGAAATTTAACATGTACATATGTATGTATTTAAATAACTAAATATGTATGTCAATTATTTATTAGCATGTATGTCTATTCATAAATATGTACTGGATGTACACATCTGTATATCGAGTTATGTGTGATCCTTGCATCCGCTCACATAAATATCCAGTAAAGAAGCAACAATTTATTCATCTTTCTTAATAGAAACGCTTACATTTTCTTCCTTCCTTCTTAAAATGTGAGACTCCACAATTACCTTCCTCCATTGTCGTGCCCCCTATAGCATCTTGGTCCAAACCAACTGGAACTTTACGTTGAGTACAATACTTTAATAACTTTTCCAATACTTTCACAATTAGAGAAACAACTTCGTCCATCATTTGGAAACGTATGGAACCCTGATTTTCATACGATTTCATATACAGCACGTCGCATCCGTCACAACATGGTTTCCAACCCGTCTTCCGGTTCACTAGCATGGTCTAAGAATAGAATAATTCAATCTTGAAACTCCTGGATATTTGTATGACGCAAGAAAGTTTGTGAATTATTTACTTTCTCCAAATAGCAGAAACAATACTGACACATAAGTTCCATTTCGCAATTTGTTAGCATGTTTGAAATTGCGGAAAGACGCCGTATACAGCTTGGCCGTTTCTTCAGTTCCAGGGTGAATGTACGAAATTCTTGCAAGATTTTGTGACCGGATTCGAATATTTTGTGGTGTTGGCGAGAAGAATTCGGTTTCGGAAGGCAGGAATCGCAACATAGCTTCACACCGGAAGATTTCGTATCAAACATGACGTGATGTACAAATTTTAAAAAATATATGCATGAGAAAATATAATTAATGGAAGCCATACCATGAAAAAAATCAGGCTTGTCAGTAGTATAACTCTATATCTCTAGCTATTTTACTTTAGTCACAAGTTCGACCAGAAGTAATGGTAATCTTGCATTTAATTATCCTAAAACAAGTATAGGGAAGAAGTCGTTTTTTTATTGGGCCACTCAGTATTGGAATAATTTGCCTACAAGTATCAAAGAAATTAAATCCTCCGGAGAATTTGACAGAGCCCTACGCCAGTTAATTTTACAAAAACCAAATGACGAATTTGTATTCCAGAAATACTCACTGTAAACAAACTTTTACTCTTAAACCACAAATGAAATGATCATACTTTGTTAAACTTACTTAATTAGATTCAATTTTTAGTTATTTTATACTGACTTATTGCAACCTGTGTTCGATATTGGAAATAATTGTAATGATTTATGTCTTAACACAGTAATAATAAACCATACTACTACTATATATAAGTATGTATGCTGATAGGCTATGTACGTTTTTGGAACAACACTTTGCTTTCTTTACGGTGCTAGAAATTCAGTAAATTTGGACATGGAAGTACATAAATATGTGCACAAATATGTACATGTATCCATTCAGGTTTTCAGGCAAATTCTGGTTTCGAATATTCGATTTAGATTGGAATTCAAAGTAAGAGTTTATTTTGTAAAGTTTAAACAAAGTTGGTACATAAGATACCCTGGGATTTAAAATCCTTGAAAAAACTTTCCAGTCTTCAAGCAGTTTTAGTTAGTTAGATCAGCTCATGAATTAAACAGGGGTACATACTCCTGTTTTTTTACGATACGATCCTCGACGTCATCACTGCAATGCTATTAGTAATGAGAGTGATGACGTCGAGGGTCGTATCGTAAATAAACGGACTGTACATATGTATGCACACGTACGTACAAATATACATACATACATACATGTGTATGTATATATGTATAGGCATCTACTGTATCGGTGTCCAGTAGGTACTAACAAGACCAATTACGAAGCCGTGTCAAGGGGGCACTACCCAATTCACATTAATTTCGTGACCGCCTCTACGGTGTCATAATCAATAAAACTGTATAATACTTTAAAAATCTACTCTATGTCGCCAGGCGTGCAACGCTTTGGATTTATCTTGACAACTTGTAATGCGAAAAGATGTCATTTCTTGTTCCACGGTGGGGTATATTTTACCCGTGTAGAGAGCCTTTTTTGTTGCAAGCTCGTTTACACAAACGATTAACGCTGCATCAAATTGCTCGTCATCTTCAAATTCTTGCCTCTTTTTGCCTCTCTTTCCTTGGGAAAATATTCCTGATAAGTACAAAGTGTCCTGAACTGCGTATTTTTTCAGGTGGTCAGGAAGGGGACGAATTCGGAAATCTGATAACGTCAGTTCAAAGGATTTGTCAAATTTTTCTCTTGGAAAATATGTCTTCATCAAATTTTCAAGTGATATCATTGGTTCCGATGCTTTCCCATTGAGTCGAGCAAGGGTTCGGTAAATAACTTGCGTGTCAATTACCGGCCAAGCAAAAATGTTGTAGTCTCTCTGCATCCATCTTAAGCCTGCGTTATATTTTTTCTCGTCACTCTATTGAGCGAGAAGAGCTCTGCATTTCCTCTCCATGTTACGCATGGGTCCAGAAATCTGATCTGATTTTTCACTTTGCGAGTTTCAAAGTGCACGCAAAAGTTTGAAATTTTCACAATATAATTATCAATAGTTTTGCAACAAACTACCTTGGACCGATTAGCAATTTTGATGATAGTTTGATTTATATTAATCAATAATCCCAATATCACAGAAATATTGATTAATATAAATAAAACTATCATCAAAATTGCTAATCGGTCCAAGGTAGTTTGTTGCAAAACTATTAATAATTATATTGTGAAAATTTCAAACTTTTGCGTGCACTTTGAAACTCGCAAAGTGAAAATAACATCAAAATTTAACCACTTTTTGTGACTCGTCTCAACTGGTCATAGAGTATGTGTGGAGGAAAGCCACCACCACACATACTCTTCCCACTGGAAACCACTAAAAATGTAAACAACTCCAGATGATATTTGCAGTTTTTTGCAAAAAATTCAAAATTCCCACCGAAACTTGTGAACTTTATACCCCACCGAGTTCATCAGTTTCGCCACTATGTGATTTATGAGGATTGGTTTAACATCAAATATAGCTAACTCTTAAGTCATTGTAGCAGCCGTGCATTATTTTTATGGGGTGTTCACATTCCATCACGTGTTTCAAGGTGGACTTAATTTCCTCGTTTAGCTGGAAGGGGTCAATTAGAAAGTTGTGGGTTATGGTAGAAATTTGGATTAGACACGTTATTCCCGAGTATGAATTGGCATCGTGATGTTCGAGATCAACGGCGATAACGGGTTGGCCAATTAAGTGGTTCATCATTTGGTTAAATGTCTTCTTATCGTTAATTTCGGTTATTTTACGGTTTACTGTTTTCATACAGCCTTGGCAACATTTTGATTCTTCATGGTCCATGTATGCTGTTAGATAGTCGGGCCTCCAGCGCTGTATGTTTTTGGCGAATGGATGAACGGAGAAACTTAATGGTTCTTTAAAATTAAGTTGGATTATGGAATCTTGTAAAATTGAATTGGAATCTTGAGGTTTTGAAGGGGGTTCAGATTGGTCGAAATAGGACGCCATCTCCGTCGAATGTAGATAAGTAAATTTGTATGCACTTAAGGATCTGTATGAATAAGTATTAATTAATTCGTCTATTTTAAAATTAGAGAGTAATGGAGTACATGGGAAATGAAAATCACAAAATTTGAGGTACTGGATGACAGGTAGAAAAGAGGTACTATACAAATGTACATATTTGCGTTTATTATACTTCTGAGAAACTTACAAAAAAATGGGGCTCTGCTTATGAAGGAACACTTGTTACGAATTTGTGGTTCTAGAACCCCTGGATATTGCAGGTCTATTATTTTGGAATGTAATTTTCTTATACATGACAAATAAAATCTGGTTGGAAATGGAGCATCAGCTGCGATGATATAGGGGCCTTCCATTTATTACGTCATCAAAAATTCTCGATTTTAGCACCCATCCACCCAACGTATAAATTAAGGGATACGGAATTTTAACATGGAAAAATTTTAGCACCCACCTACCAAAATGATGGAGTAATATATGGACGTTCCCAACTGAGGATCAGTATGGTGGTGAGGTATACATAATTTTGCACATACCTATGTTTTTCACTCCTGATTTTCGGCCGGAGAGAAATATCCGTAGAACCACAACTAGTAGGAACTTGAAGTTTTTGTCCAAATGATGCCAGGGAGAGGAACAAGGTAAAACAGATTAAATGAAAATGAAATATATGTATGTAAATAGTCCATTGTGGTGACAACTAAAGTGCGTCCCATATGTAAAGTGCAGATGGGAAAATTGCCCTCATTTTGTTGTAATTCAATTGATTTCAAAGAATATTATTTTATGCAAAAGCTTAGGAGTTGTGTGCGTTAGTCTTGTCCTTAAACCAATTTTCAATCCAATTGTAACCTGGAGATATTCGGTTCTTCCGAGCTCCGCCAAAGAGTCGTTTTCCCGGCTTTGCTCCAATGTCCTTCGCGATTCTGGTTGAAACTTTCGAAACCCACGAATGGTTGCAATATTTTTCTCTCGATATGAATATGTTCTTCGACAATTGGCCCAGAAATTTTCGATACCACGCGTTTGAGGTACATTTGGAGCGTTGTCTGATTTTCTTGTATCTCATCCAATGTATTCAGGGGTCTCCATAATCAAGATTTTCTTTTGAAATATTGTCTCTGCCTTCAGTCTATCATCGTATTTACTATCTGCTGGAGTAGTTGCATGGAAATATGTATGATAGGGAACATGACCAGGGTCAATGGTCACTTAGATTTGATCATTAATAACCACTAGTTTGCTCGACCATTTTTTGGAAATTTTTCTAGACGCTGTTTTAGTTCGCTGGTGTAGACAACCAACATATTTCCTTGCTGATTGCTTCACATACCCTTTCATGCCCAAGATGTGAAGTTTAATTCGACATATCATTGGAATTGATATCTTTTGTTTTGTGGATGCTGCAGCCATGGACGTGCGGGACGCTTTTTGAAGAGCTCCTTACTTTTAGCTACATCTAATTTCGCCGATTGTGTAGCCGTCTGACCTGATAATTTTTTGTAATTTGTGTCACCGGCAAGCTCACACCTTGTAGTCTCAAGGCAAACAACGAATCTGCGTTTTCTTTGCCTGGCCAAGTGGTCAACCGTTTTCTTCCTATCACGCAGAGACGAATTTTCGTGTGAGTGAAAATCCACCTTCCCGAATGTTTGGATTCCGGCTCGTGTCATCCATAAACAAGAATTTTTGATGAAATCTGTTATAAGTTTTCTTAAACTACATGAAATTACCTAAAAGATGAGTTATCTCTGATCAATTTTTTCCCGCCGGTACCCTTAAAATCAATGGCTGACCGAGCTGCACTTTACATATGGGATGCACTTTATCGTCTAATCAGCATTAAGTGGTTACAGAACTTAAATACCAATTAACCACAAAAATCATCTTTCCCATCAAAATAGTGATGACCGTGTTGAGTTTGCATAAACGCCCTGAAAACGTGGACACCTATTTGACGACCTGAAGAATTGCGTTACCATATCCTGTGCACGATGATTCTTAAATTGTGTTGTATGCAACCTCACAATGACAGAATATATAAGATACAAAACAACAAACAAATTAGACCCATCTTTAACGAAGGTCCCGAAATCAGTGAAGGAAGCGCATGATAAATAGACGAAATACTCCGAAATAGTGAGGTATGTTTTTAAGAAAATTTACTTTGGTTACGCCTATAGTTTCGAAAAAAACAATAATTTTATTCTGGTAAAAAATGTGATCGAATTAAATCGGCACGGCACCCTTTAGTTACCGAAATTTTGTTCCGAAGATTTATGGGCTTTCCCCTTTGCAATATTTTCTAGTGAGACATTTGAATCACCCTGTAAGTAAATATTTAATCAAGGCTATCGTATATTTAAAATTCTGTCCTCTGATTGTTCTTTGGACCAGGTTTTGTGTAGTAAAAATCGATCCGTTCCATTTCCCAGGTTCGATGTAGCTTGATCTCGTCGTCTGTCCCGTAGGCGAATAGGACGTATAAAGGGGCTTTCTGGCAAATAAATGAAGATATTCTTGCCAACAGTGCATACTCTTGAATGGCAATTATCTAATTTTTAATTAGGCAATAACTTTCAATTTGAAAAATTTACCGGAATAATTTTGAGTTCGAGGTCATCCTCCGACGTGAGGGCGCGTTCCCACTCTGCAATCGTATAAATCCCATCGGGAAGTTCTCGTGCGGTCAGAAAGGTCCACATTGACCCTTCATATTCTCCCCCCAGACCGTTCACAGCTCCGATATATTTCTGAAAAAAAGTACGTAATAATGCAAATTTTCAGTTTTCGGACAGACTTAACCATTATTCTTCAGAAATCATTGGAACAATAAGTTATAATGATTTCTGAAGAATGTTAAATTTCTGAAGAACTTGTTCCGAACATGTCGCAGGGAATTAGTTAGTTTTGACAGTTATTTAGTTTGACCACCTACACTCTCGGAAATCCGATATAGTCAGACATCTTTGTATTGCTTTCTCAATATTAAACTTGGCACCGCTTGGTATAAAAATTATACCAGTTTATAAAAAATTGCAACAGATATGGCAAAACGTTTATACCGAGCTAAATATGTATTACTACACAGTATTAAGTACTATCAGTATAACTTTGGTAGAGTCCTATTTACATGAAACCTGCTTATTACTATTTTCATATCATATATTTCTAAAAGCATATTTTTCAGAAGGATGTGTCAATTTATGGCAGATCGATTTTCTTTCTAATTTTAATTCTTGTGTGTCTTACATGATGATAAATGTGTGTCCCGTTTTCTCCCCCCGTCGTGACGCCGGCCATGACAAGTTGAGCCCCGTTCATGCCGATATTCTCATTTAGTCCCAACCCCACCCACCCACTCGTTCTGACCTTATATTTGAACCTGATTTTATTCTCAGCCTCAAAAAGTTCCCAAGTCAAGTCGTAACCTCGCAACGATACAGAACCGATGCGTTCTTCTTGACTTGACAGGTTTCCAGGAAATGGGAAAAGTAACAAGATCAGAAATGTAAAAGTGAAGAAAAGTGAAAACTTTAACATTGTTCAAAATTATATTGCAAGTTTAACACTTAATTCGTTGTAAATTTGAAAGTTTTCGTAACTTTTACTAAATTAATGCGTAAATTTGCAGCTGGAGAAGTGTGTATCCAGCCACGTGGGATTTCCTGACATGTGTAATTTACATATGTATGTAAGTATGGCCATCTCTACAACGGGACATTTATAGTTATTATAAGTCATAAATTCTTTGATATCTTGTTAAGCCTTGATCTCGACTAATCCTCAAACGGATAATCGTGATATGTATGAATGAATTGCTGGGTTTATGAGGGTGCAAACTTTCGGTGCGGACTGTGCGTAAATAATGTGATAAATCTTGGGAGAAATGTGATTAATTTATCTCCATGTGTATGTAATCAATATGATCATTTTGTAATTAGTTAACTTCGGGTTAATTTTAGTATGCGTTGATATAATTTATGTTTAAATGAACCACATTCTTCATGCAGGTACGAAGAATTGAGCGTGTATCCTTGTGTGAAAATATTTATCATATCGTGCTGTATTTTAATGCTCGATATGAGATACATATCTAACAATAAGTATGTATATATATCTCGATACTCGATATATATATATATAGAGGTAGTTTCTCCTGCGATTTTCTTGTGAGGGAGCAAAATGCGAACTCTCGCTCATTGATGATTTAAACTGAGCATCTTGAAAAATCCTCAAACGTACATATGTAATTATTTATGTACGGGTACAAACATAATTAGGTTGGTCTCATGATGAGACTCTCGTCAAGATCGGAGAGAGACGTCTGTACAAAGTAAAGGGTGTAAATTTAATCCGGTAACATGGATTTTTAGATCCCCGCTCGAGACAAAATCAGTCATAATTATTGATCCCGTTAATGTTTTTCTTTGAATTTTTTCCCATGAGTGGTATGAACATAGTTGTTAATAAAAAGCACCATCAAACTGAGATGAAGGTCTTAAAAATGCGGGAAGAAAATTTTTTTCAAGGATGAAAAATGACCCGAACCATCCAAAAGGGCCTCACCTACCACAAAATCAATGACTATACTCAAATTTCCTGAGATAACTTGAAGTTTTCGTCCAAATAGTGGAATGGAGCGGAAAAACATAAAACGGATTAAATTAAAATCGTGCACAAATAGCCCATTGTGATGATAACTGCCGATGAATTTGTACTATGTGTTCACCGAACTTATAAGCTAAACAAAAAAAATCATCCGTCTCCAAAAAATATGGATGACCATGTTGCATTGACATAAACGCTATGAAAGAATGGGAATTTGACTGCTTCAAGAATTTTGTCGCCATATCCTCTAAACCAATGACTCGCAAATTGAGTTGTATCTAGAGTTGCCAACTCGGCTTGGCTTGAATCGGCTTATTGAGTTGAGTTGAGTCAAGCTGAGTTGAGTTGACCTCAAGTAAGCCGCTGACTCAATAAGCCGGCTTATTGAGTTGTGAGTTGGAATGAGTTGGACTTGGCTTGACTCGGCTTGACTCAATAAGCCGCTCGCTCCGCCTCCTCGTGCTTACACACGTATGTACATACGTACACAAACATATTTACTCCGCTCCTCTTGTATTGACATGTTATTTTTGTTTCAATTATAAACTAAATTATTATTGGATTTTGTGCTTAACAATATAAAAAATTTAAAATTGAGACGAATATTGATATTCAAATATAAACTGCTAATATAATCAGCTGTTTTATTTTCATAAATCTTAAGTGTTTAAAAATTCGTAGGGTTTTTAAACGTGCAAATTTATTGAATTTATTTTATTAAACTACTGTATAGTAATTTAAGGAGAAAATATTTATTTTTAATTGTAACAATGGATCTAATTTCAGTTTAAGTTTATACTTGCTGCATTTAATCACAAAAATTACTTTATTTACATACATATGTACATATTTATGTAATTATGTAGTTTATGATATTAGTATAATTTTATTAATGATTTCATTTGGATGCTTAACATTTTAAAAGTCAACTTTAATTTTTGTGAATGTTATTTTGGTTTCTATAATTATTTCCTGTCCATTTATTGAAACCAGAATGCATGTCCATAAGCTGACACGGCTTAATGAGTCGAGTCAAGCCAAGCCGGCTTATTGAGTTGTGAGTCGAAGCAAGCCGGCTTGGTTCTGACTCGGCTTGCTTCGACTCACAACTCAATAAGCCGGCTTGTTTTGACTCACAACTCAATAAGCCGGCTTGCTGGCATCTCTAGTTGTATCCTAAATTACACTGACAAAATTGAACATACAGAACAGCAAAGAAATTAAACCAATCCTTGATAGGAGTCCTGAAATTAGGTTATGCAGTTATGGTAGCCGGTGGGTTTTGAGCACGACAAAAATCATCTTGCACAGTACATGAAGCATGACCTTCAGGGCATGATCGAAGTACGTGGTGAAAACACAAAATAGTAAGGTAACTTCTGAAGAAAATTGGTTTTTGTAATATCTGCAGTTTCGAAAAACAAGCATTTTCTTTGAAGTGAAAAATGTTACCAGATTAAATTTACACCCTTTACATGTACAAACATGTAAGTGCATGTACAAACAAAGGGTGTACGGAAATTTGGGTCTCGGAAATTTGGGTATGAAAATTTGGGTATAAGGAAATATGGGTATCATAAGTACTATATACATACCTACATACTTATATACATATTACACGTGAAAATTACACTCTTAATTATTTCATATCTCACTTTCGTCTTTTATAAATATGTACATGTAGCTTATGTACATGCGTATGTACCTCGGCAACAAATTTAAGCATTCACACTTTGCTGATTAATAGGTACCAGAAAATTTATTGTCAATAAATGCATAGTTTAGACGGGTTATTCCATTTGTAGGATTCGTAGGAATAAATTATACACAAGTTTAGGCAGAATGAAAATATGTAATCTTAATGCCTCAAAGCCCCTTGTGCTGCTCATATGCAAAGATTAACTCAGCTTGTGTTTATGGGATTTCCCAGCCCCATAAAGAAAATATATGTATAAAGAAAATCTAGTTATGTGGATAACTAGATTTTCTTTATACATACATATGCAAACATACTCTCATTTTTTTCACGATACGATCCTCGACGTCATCACTCTCATTACTAATAGCATTGCAGTGGTGACGTCGAGGGTCGTATCGTGAGTAAACGTTTTGCAAAAACAGATCGCAGAGAAATGCGAAATTGTAGGGTTTTATGCAAACTTGAGAACATGCATAGGTATGTAATATGTACATTAACCAGAGCTGGATGAGTCACATAGGATTCAATGAAGCACTGAATCAGGTTTAATACGTCTTTCATACATAGCACTTAAGTTATGTTCAAGAGCAGATTTATGGATACATAAAAAAGTATCAAAGTCTAGCATCATTAGCTAGGGTGTTAAATGGGCCATAAAGACAGCTGACAAACTGGTGTGAAAGAAATCCGATTATTTGCAGTACCGTGTTTGACACGTCGTTTTTGCAGAGATTCGGAAGTAGTACGCCGACGAATATCTGTAATTTGTTGTGCATATTTATAACAAACATTTCTAATTTGTGGTCTACAATTTTGGTGCCAAGTTGTACCCTTAGTTTACAGTGGAGGCGTCCATCATGTTAAAATCTCCGGGTATAAAATTTTAAGCTTATGTTAAGTCAGGTTTGAACATGTGCAAAAATAAAGCATGCGATCGATTTAACGGTGTGGGGGTCAAGGTTGGCATTGTTGTGGCGTCCTCGTCTAACTGAGCATTTGAGTTAAAATTCGATACCATGCTCTACTTATGCACGGTCCTTTAAAACTTAGGAAAATGTAATGTATGTACTTAGAAATTATTTAACTTATGTATGTATAAATTTTTCATACAGAGGAAGAAACCAAGGAAAGAACAGAAGTAGCGGACGAAAATGTAGTGTCCCAACTCTTCAGATTTTTTTCCGCAGTAAAAGAAAGGGTACAAGTAAGTACTTTTTCCATGCGACTGAATCCCGGTGTAGCTTTGAAAAAAGGTTTCAAATGCTAATACACAGGGACTCCTGCCAGCCGGACCGCAGGCGGAACCACGTCCTTGTCTAGACGCGTTGCTTGGGCCCGTTTGCCGCTTCAAGATAGCGGAAGTGTTCTACTGGGGGATCAGTGTAGAGGGTGTGGGTCACCTGTCCCTCCAACTCGACAATGGCACCTACATCAGCCACTGGCCCGAACAGAACAAGGGGACCGGAAGTTTGGCAGCTCTGGAGCTGCTCAGCTCAGCTTTGGAGTCGAAGGCCGACCACATGGCGTCCCTCAGCGGAGATGTCGAGACCGAGGAGAGACAACCCGATGAGTCGGTGTCCCTCCCGGACGGTCTGGTTGACGAGGAGGACATCTCGCGCTGGTGGAAAACGTACTGCAAGACGAGCCGGTACGCTTTGCTGTATAGTAATTGCGCCCAGACGGTAAAGTTGGCCTTGGAAGTGGGGGGAATCGAGGGGCCGCCCTTTATCGGGGTGGCCGTTACGCCGTTGCAAGTTTTCAGATGGGTCAAGAGATGTGTGAGGCGGTACGAGAAGACCAAGAAGAGGCGTTAGTTTCGGTGCTAAATATGAAGTTTAAATTGGAATTGAAAATTTAAATATTAGGCAAACTCGTAAACAATACATAAAGGGTGTTAATAAAGTCCGATCCCATGAATTTTTTGGAGCGCGGTTGTTACAAATTCAGCTGGAACTTTTGAACCAGTGAAGTTATTTATTTCAAATTTTTACCATGGGAGGAACAACTAAACGTGTAAGTCATGAGCATCTTAGAGTTAAGATACAAACATTGCATCAGCAGGGGTTTAAACCTGCAGAAATTGTGCAAAAATTGGGCTGCAGCCGCAGAACTGTTTGGAAATGGAAGAACAAAAATTTTGTCCACGACAAAAAGCGACCCGGGCGACCCAGAAAGGTGTCACCTACCACAAAGAGAATGATTAAAAACAGACTTTACAAGAAAACCGGTAGTTCATTACGTAATTGTGCAAGGGAGTTAAATGACTCAAAACGCTATAAAGAGAAGAAGAAGCAAATTAACTATGTGACCGTGCAAAAATTTGTGAAAACTACGAAGTGGGGTCACACAGCTTACAAACTAACCAAAAAACCTCTCATGTCACAAAAAAATATCGATGACCGTCTGAAATTTGGAGAACTCCTTCAGAAAAGTGGCCATTTGAGTGAAAAAAGACTTGGTGAAGAATTGCGCAGTCACATCCTTTGGACTGACGAATCTATTATTGAGCTATATCCAAAATTGAACCAACAAAATGTTCGTTACAGGACAGAAAACAAATCGGATGTACCATCAAGAGCAGTCCCAAAATTCGGGCTTAAAGTTATGGTAGCGGGTGGATTTTGTGCACGTGGCGTGACTCCTCTACATATCATACCAAAAGGCCAAACAGTCAATGCAAAGTATTATATGGAAAAAATATTACCTATCTATTTCGATAGCATGGGGAACAAGGAAATATTTCCGAATGAAAGAAAAATAGTTTTCATGCAGGATGGTGCTACAGCCCATACAGCAAAAGCGAGTTTGAGTCTCATCAAGACGCAAGTTTCAACGGTCTGGAGCAAGGGGGTGTGGCCCGGAAACAGCCCAGATTTGAATCCCCTGGAGAACCTGTGGTCCATACTTAAGGAAAATGTATACAAAGAACCACAACCCCGGACGAGGGAAGAGCTAGTAAAAAAGTTCAAGATGTATGGAATTCGATTCCCACAGACACATTGGAAAAATTAGCACAGAGCCTTAAACAAAGAGTTGAGGGCATGGTTAAAGTAAATGGTAACAAGACCAAATACTAAGGTAAATATGTCGAACATTTTTTGTAAGTATCACGGGTAGTTTTTTTTATACTAGCCTTCACTTTTTTATAGGAAAAATGGGATCGGACTTTATTAACACCCTTTACTTGGATTAGTGTACGAGAATACAGTATTGATATATGTCTATTTGAATTACACAAGTGCTGTTTTAAAATATGATAATGTACATCATGACAAGTATTTATTTTATATAAATATGAATAAATTGTGTAAATTGGAGAATGATTGTACGAAACTTTTATGTTATAAATTTCCCCAAAAGTTGAGTGCTGAAATAAAATTTCTCTGACAGAAAATTTTTTGCCTGAAAATGAAACTAGATTTGCATAAATATTTGTCAAGATAGGTGGATGGATGGATGGATGGATTCAGTTTATTTCTTGAACTTTTTCAGGCAAACGCCTATAAAGTTACATTCAGTGGTTGATCAATTACATGATAAACAAGTTACAAATCGCTACGTCAAGTTTCATATCACAATCTTACGTACAGTTACGAGATCTTAAATGTTATAACATTACAGCGTAATATATACAACATCGTAACCGGAGACGTGTGCTTTAATTATAGCTAAAGTCCAATTCTTATTCTCAACGAATTGACAAATTGACGTGGTGGTGCGAAGTTGCTCATAATGTCGGTACAAATCACATTTTGCAAGAATACATATACATGTACATGCTTTATGCATGGCCTCCTATATACTTGTCAAGTATGTACGATTACTTTTTCGTGTAAGCATCTTCGAATGTGCATATAAGTAATACAGATGTATGATATATGTATGTATTTGCACAGGCTGAAAATTTTGGTCTGATAGTGAGCGTGAAAACTACTGTTGCAAGTGAAAATCTAATGGTAAATACACACTTACATACATATGAAACTCATATTATATCATTTTTGGCACCGGTGTAAATACATATGTATGAATATGTATGTATGTATATATGACTCTACCGGCACGTTGGTAGTCACGGGCATTACCAGGAATGAAAATTTTACCACGCAGAAACAAACCACCACAACGTGTGTACCAGTTCGTATGTGCATAGTTTATCAACAGTTGTAAAGTTTTCAGTCAGAGTGATAATAAAGATAAATTTGCAATTAAAATCATTTACCTTAACACGATATATGTAATTTTAGCCGGAATTAATGAAGTCAATCACTTGAAGCACTATGTATGTATTGAGGATATGTTAATTTGTTGTTGTTTAAGGACGTAGCTCTCGTACTTTTGTAATTTCAATACAAGTCAGCATACATAGTATCAACAAACAGACGCTGCAGAATTGCATGGGGACATCAATGTCAAAAAATGCGATATATGCAGAAATCCGGTATTAAAATAATACCAAGCGGTATTCATATTCATGTATGTATGTGGCTACCAAAATGGTATTAACACAGAGAAGTAATACCATGTATCTACGAATAGCATTAAAGTAAAGTTTTACCTTATCGGTAGAAACGAGACATCAATACCTGCGTGACTATATACCAGATTTCTAACCGTGTGAGATTTTCTTAGCATTCCAGTTTTATAAGCATCCTGACCTTCCAATTGCATATTTTAATTTTATTATCACTTTGATCCCTTAGCCCCTGGTTATGTACATTCCCAAATACGAAGATAAGTTATCTTGTGTACATATGTACATGTACATCAACAGATTACGGAGAGGTGCTATTACATACATACATAAATTGAAGGACAGTGTACAGATTTGGGAAGTATGTAAATATGTACGCGAGCGAAAAATAGTTTCAACTTATTCCCAAATTTGCAAATTTTAGTACCAAATTTTACTCGATTGTGCTAATACTTAAGTTGGCTTACTCACATACATACATACGTTCATCATGGAATATGCAGGTGAAAACATTACTTTAATTAATTTTACAAAAACCATCTGACCAGTTTGAGTCGTGATGAAAGATTACTACTTAAATCGGAAGCCTGCTTTACGTTTATACGTGTGCAAACTTATTTACTTAATTTTTATGAGAGTGTATTTAATTAAGCTCAATATGTATTTTTCATGCAACATTTCCTTCATAATTCAGAAGAGAAATCGTTCAAATTTCCATCGTTCCAGTTTCCCAGTATTTTCCAATCGGAAACTGTGCATAAGGAAGTAAGCAAAGGTCGCACTGAAAAGTGTACACTCTTAAAAATAATGTTATACCCGTTTAAGAAGTAAACTCAATCTATATTAAGTAAACTATGTTACACCCAGCGAGTTACCTTTCTTTCCTCCTTATCAAGTTAAAGTTACCCTGGATTTAATAAAATTACTTATATAAATAATATAGGATTCGAAGTGCATTTACATTTCAAAGGGGTAACATTATTTTTAAGAGTGTGTCTGCCAAAATTATTTATAACGAATGGTTTGTACATACTTTCTGCACAGCCCGAGCTCGTCATGGGATACCGGGAGGACATCCCGCAAGCGGAAGTGTTCTACTGGGGGTTCAGTAAGGACGGCTTTGGTCACTTGTCCCTTCAACTGGACAATGCCACCTACATCAGCCACTAGCCAAACGCGCCCAAGGGAACCGGAAGTTTGGCCGCGGTAGAGTCGAAGGCCCTTCAAATGGCGTCCCTCCGAGGGGACATTTCCACCGAGGGGAGAAAACCTGACGACTCGATCGCCCTTCCAAAAGGGCTCATTAACGAGAGGGACATTTCCATCTGGTGGGACAATTCTCGCTGGACATCTCTAGAGGACATCTCTCGCTGGTGGAAAATGTACTGCAAGACGAGCCGGTACGCTTTGCTGTATAGCAATTGCGCCCAGACGGTAAAGTTGGCCTTGGAAGCGGGGGGAATAAGGGGGCCACCGATCATCGGAGTGGGGCTTACACCAGTGCAAGTGTTTCAATGGGTCAAGGGCTGCGTGGCGCTGTATAAGGGGACCAGCCAGTGGAGTTGTGTGGTAGTTTGATTTCTGGGGAATTTGGAACAGATCCCTGAAAAATTCCTGGAATACAATTCCAGAAATGTACATGCGAACATTACAAAATTTGAAAAATTTAACAGCAATATATACATACATAAATATGCAAATCATGAATTAATAAAATGTGTAATGTACTTGCGATGAATAAATTATAATCGAATGAAATATTTGTCAAGGGAAATTTATTTATGAAATTAGATCCTTTTATGAAATTCGTCACAGGTAGAAAAGTATACCTAGTTGAAAGATAAAAACAAGAAAGTCATCAAAAATATGTGACCAAAAGTACCAAATTTCATATCGTTCTAATGACGAGACGACTTCCGCATTTCAAATGTTGTTCGTCTACGCGAAAACTGTGCGCGTGTGTTTTTTGCTGGTAATTTTTATGCAATCATATTATGTAGAATTGACCCAATGATCGTAACCTTGTCATGTCGAAGGAGTTTTACTCTCGTAACAAATAATAAATAATTGTCTCTGTTGATGATGAGCATGTGCGATTTTCAGAGTCAGATCCGGTTTTTCATACGTAATTCGCATTGTACATAACTTTCACTTACTTACATATGTACAAGTACATGCATCACTTTATGTATGCACTTGATATGCAACTTGCTGTATGATCAGATCTAGTTTTTCACTTTTGTCAGTCGCACAAAGGAATTGGATGCAAGTGGAGGAAAATCTGTCTCGTCTCGTAATTACGTAAAGGTAAGTGAGTAAACTTTGTGGTTCTATGAATTAACGTATGTAATCCTATAGGTAGCATTGTAAAAAAACATGCTAAAATTTTGAAACTGTTTTGAAATTTTCATGGGAATCTGAGACTTTGTGCATACGATCTCAAATGTTCCTTCACTTAGATATGTCTTATATGGTTTTGGTAAAATCATTATACAATTTGTTTTACAGGGTTTTACAATTAAGATTATGTACATATGTAAATGTCAAAAAATTTTGTGAAATGTATCCAGTTCATAAAATATGCAAGAACCGTGTCAACTTAAGAATACACTAGTAGCGTTTCCATGCTCGTAGGATTGGGCGTATTTACTCATAGAAAAGTTCGCACATGTACATAAATATATATGAAAATCTCTCTCATTGAGCACACTGGAGAATCATCAAATTTTTGCTCGCATATCTAAATTATGTAGCTTCAGTATGGGTGGACTACGTGAATTGGCTAATTATATTCATCCATAAAAAATGTACAATAATACATAAATTCCACAAATATATTTTTTAGCAAAATCATGGAACTTCCCACCACCTTCAATGAATTGATGAAGCTTGCCCGTGACGTTGGGCGCAGTAGCGAGGGTGGCATCGACCTCGGCTTGGTTTTCTTCTATCTTGTCGTCATCGGGTTATTTTCCCTTCTCATAAAGTCCGTCGCGTCCGGGTACGCGCATTTTTCTGGGGCGCAAGGTCACGGGGGCTGGTCGAGGAGAAGAAATTATAATAATAATGTCCCCCAGGAAAAAATGGACACCGCGATGGAAAAAGTTTTCCATACTTCGGGAGGAAATCGTGACTTGGAAATTTAGAAATTTTCACAAATTTTGGCTGTCTTGTTTTAATAATTAATTAAGGTTGTTTTTGTTAATACGTGAGATATTTAAATTTAGTGTTTGGTTGATGCTTATAAAAGAAGATTTGTGTATTATTTTGAAGTATTTAATAAACAATTTTAAAATTTGCAAAAAACATGACATGCATTTCTTGTTTATGAAGTAAATATTATTAATTCAATCTGCATACACATGTAATTCCTTCACACTGATTTTTTTCCACGTTGAAATTGAGATTAGGTACACGATATCTGCAAAAAAACATAATAAATTATGCACATTTACATATTTAGGAAACATTGTAAATTTTGCAGTGCGGATGTATGTATGTACCTTATAAATTACGCGTTCTCCACATCGTTCAAATTTTCCTCAACTGTAGAATCACCATTTTCCGTCCTATTTTCTACCACATTTTCCTCTCGTCGAAGCCGGCTATCTTTTCTCACACCCTTGCCTTTCCCCACCCCCGGAATGTTATGTACTACTCGTTTATGTCGCCGAAGTCCGCCCTTGGAGTAGAAACACTTGTCGCACGTGGGACATTTCAGGTGTGCCCCGACCTGGTCCGGGTGGGCCTGCGCTTTATGCGAGAATAGCATCGCTTTTGTGACCTCTTCTCCACAAATGGGACATGACGACGCTTTGTGCGGGGTTTGGGCATGGGCGTCGAGCTTGGCTTGGGTCGTGAACTTCTTGGGGCAAAGGGTACAGGGAAATTTGAGCTTTTTCTTGTGACGGTCTTGATTTTGTCGAACTTTTTGTAATAATTTTTCCCTTTCTTCGGGGGAGACTTCGTCCACACCCCCGCAGTAGGCACGCTGGTGAAAGGTTAAGCTCTGTTTTTGCGTGAAGGAGGAACCACATTTCTCACAGGTGAATGGTTTCACGTTGAGGTGGATGTTCTTGTGCCTGGAAAAATAAAGCAAGGTAAATTACAATTTGCATGTGTAAAACAATGCAAATTAAATTACATAAATTTGTTTTACAAGAATGTAAGTACACTATTTGACAAAATATAGTAATTAAAAACATTTAAAAATAAATAAAAAAATGCATAACTGCCTATTTTACGGTCACACAGAATTGCGATCGATTGTGCTATCAAAATACGAAAAAGTCAACTTAAGAGCAGAAAAACTACATTTTTTTCTGCAAAAAATGTAAAACCTTAAAATTTTCCTTAATACCTAGTCAAATGAGTCCTAAATACAAATTTGGCATCACACTGATCACATTCATGCACAGTGAAGTTGAGCTTGACAAGGGTGTCCTTTTCCCATACAATTTTACACACGGTGATTTCATGCGCCAGGACGAGACGCCAGGTACGGAAGGTTTTGCCACATTTTGCACATGGATAAATCCCCTCTGAATTTTTAGGTGGTTTCAATTTGTTCTTTTCCAGTCGAGCAGGCAGGTTTAGTGCGGTGCGTTTCTTTTTCGAAATGGAATTTCGCTTGACATTTGTCTTCATGGTTTTAGTTGGAGTTTTGTTTTTCGGGGATTTCCTCTTCACCGAAATTTTGGGTACATTAACTTCGCAAGATTTTGCATCCTCAGTTTTTTTCTCTGTGGCGTTATCATCACAGTCAGAATCTTCCGAAGGTAAACTATAGTATGTATACCTATTTATAAATCAAACTTAAAACTCTCACGATTTTTTGCAATATTGCAAGAATAAATGCGTTCATAATTTGATTACGCGTCAGGATTGAAGTCCATCTCGTAGTTGTCATAATCTGAATCATCAGGTTCCGTTTTGATTTCCGTATCGGCCAGAAATTGGAGAGATTTCGTCTTCGCGGCGCGAGATGATAGTCGTCGCTGAGTAGAATTGTTTTCTTCCTCGTCGGAAGAGGACGAAGGTAATCTGACGGCGACGCCAAGCTCGATGTCCATCATGGGATCGCTGATGGGATCTTGTGCGTCGTCGTCATCATCTGAATCTTCCGCCATTTGCAGGAGTGACCAGTCGATAGATTCTGAAACATGCAAAAAGCAGTGCTAATATTTTATTATGCCAAAAATTGAAGCAATTTTGAGAAACAAATTTAAAAAAAGTATTGCGAAAAACGAAAATGAGGCTAAAATTTGATACTGGGATTATTTTAAAAGGAATCGAAATATAAAATTTGACAATATTTTTATCTATACAAATGATGAAGTATATCGCTTTTAGTTTGAAGGTGAAAATTTAAAAAAAACGACAATTTTTAGCTCTGATTTCGACACAGTTTTTGACAATCTTTGCGAAAGCACCACCTTCTCCTTTCTTGTTGTCATTATTCGATTTCTCCTTGTTCACGTCTTGCAAATTATCTCGCACGATTTGCAAATTTCGGTCAATTTGCTTCTGGATGGCGATGATTTGTTGGTACATGCCGTAAACTGAGATGACTGAGGGAACACAGGTGGAACAGAGGTGCGAATTAGTACGAAATTTGTTTCCCCCATCGGAAGGGAATTGCTGAAGGAAGACTTGTTTAAAGAGTGCGATTTCCTCCTCGTATTTGCGACCTGGATCTGAAATTAATCCGGAAGTTTGGCGACATGCGAAACATTGGGCAATGTTCTGCACCATCTTATCCAGTTCGGGGTCACGATTCAGTCTTACAAAGGGGGAGAGTGCTCGTGGTTGCGACATGATCTAAATAAATTAAGAAAGATTTAGTTAAATGTGTGGTTAAAAGAGTTAATTACGTTTTACATTTGAATTTCAAAATTATGAGAGGAACATATATGAAGTATAAATAACTTACTATGCTAAATACTTGCCAGAGTAAATTTAATTAAAGTATGTGTTTCAAACTTTAAATAATTTAATACTTTAACTCTATATTTCACATTTTGTTTTGATTTTGTTTAAATATTTTTGTGAAACACGATCCCGGTAAAAAAACTCGATGTTATTCAGACGGCCGTGCATACAGGATGTTGATATTATTTTAAGATTTTTAATAATAACGGTTTCATCAAATTAATTTCTTGATAATGTAAACTTTACATGCTAATCCATTATTTGACCCGTGATCTAATTTTAATTTGCTTCCAATAATTTGATCACATATTTTACGTTCGGCCCGTGCTAACACACTTTGTCTTATGAAAGCCGTTCATGTTTTCATGCAAATTTTTCATGATTTTAAACTAAACTATGCAAAAATGTATCTCCATTAACAATTTTAAATTAGGTTTTGCCGTCTTTATTTTCGGTCAAAAAATATAAACTATCTGTAATCGGGTCATAGGCCAATCCGACCACAGTTTCAGTTCAGAAATTAGCCGGGTCGAGTTCCCAAAATATTTGACCTCCTCATTTCCATTTACAACTGTGATTATGGAGAGCATTTGGGCGAGAAAATATTCCCCCACAAAAAGAACAAGGGTAGCATTTGTCGCGATGTTCGCGCAGGTGATGTTCTATCCGCAGGAGGGAATTGCGGAACACGTCCCCACAAAATTCGCACACGGGCTCGGATTCTGCACTCTAAAAACGAAAATGAAAAATAGTAATTATGCCGCATGTTCACCAAAATTTTTTTTACCATTTTTGGGGAATCACATCCCTCCAAATGCGTCACCCATTCAACCTCCGAGCCAACCTTGATGGGACATCCGTACGGACAGGACGTCTTGTCGGGAAAGTGAGCCAGCTCCACGTGGCGATGCATGCTGGTCGTCGTGGTGAAAATGTTTGAACACATGTCGCACGGATAACGTGTTGGTTTTGTCGACCTTGAGACATTATGCGACTGCTGCATGTGGGCCTTCAATATACTCACGCGCGTAAAAATCCTCGGACAAAGGGTACATTTTCGTTTAATCCCGTCATGAATGGAGCGCATGTGTCGGTGCAAATTCACGTAAGATGTGAAACGCTGGTCGCATTTTGGACAAGAAACTGATTTCCGATTTAGACGGTCGCGTCTGCAAAAAAAATGAAAAATTTATTGTTTAAATGATTAGTGACAATATTGGTTAAGATTGCACAGAAAGACGCATTAGGGCAGCACGTATTAATTGCACGGAAAGTATTAATTTTTCATGTATTAATTTTCCTTGAACTCAAATTATTTAAATTGAAATTTCTAAACTCGATTTGGAGTTTTAAAGTAAATGCCTGTCTTATAAACATGCTACAGAAGAGAAATTTATCCAGTCAAAGTGGTAAAAATAGGCTATTGTTTGCTAATTTAAATACCAAATCTGCAATATGCTATTTAAATAAGTATATGTACACTCACCGTTTCGCCGCCTTTGCTGAGGAAATAAATTTAATTTAAGTAAGATAAAGTGGATTTGTCAGAGTTTTTTCGCCAATTATGCAATCTCACCAGAAACAAGAGCAGAAGTAGTAACCTCATCTGAATGAACATTCATGTGGCGCGAGAGACTTCTTTTGCTGGCGTACTTTATCCCACATTTTTTGCACTCGAATTTGTTTGATGCTAAAAGAAATATTTACAAGTATCCTGAAGTATTTTGCCCGTACATTATTCTTATTTATAGAACTCACCGGTAATATCATCTTCGGAAATGCCGGGATGAATATTCTTATTCTTCATGTGGCGTATGAGATTATCATGCTTGCTGAAAGTGACATTAGGTTGGCATATTTTGCACACAAATTTCGATTCAGCTGTTTTGGATTCTGAATTTGTAACGCTAATGATTCCCGTTACCCCACAGCTGTGATCATTGAGGACAGATTGACGGGTAAATCTTTGCTCACAGATAGAACAAGAGTACATTTTTTCGGGATGTACCCGCAGGTCATGTTCTATATGCAAGAGCATGTTGCGGAACACCTCGGCACAATGTTTACAAACGCATTGTGGTTCTGCCCTCTAATGAAAAAATCACATATCTAATAAACATGACGGGTAAATAAAAATTCGCATTTTTTTAATACCATTTTTGAGGAGTCACATCCCTCCAAATGTGTCACCCATTCGGTCTCCGAGCCAAACTTGGTTTCGCATCCGTACGGACAGGACGTCTTGTCGTGAAAGTGGACCAACTCCACGTGACGATTCCTGTTTCCCGATGAGGAAAAGGTTTTCAAACACATGACACAGGAATGACGCCCTCTTTGACTCGGAACTGGAACAGTGTGACATTTGCGAGTATGTCTTTGCAATAAGTTCAAGTGCGGGAAGACTTTCGGGCAAAGGGTACACTTCCGCTGAGAATGAACCTTATCGTGAGCGATACTCTTGTGTCGGTGGAAGGCCCCGTGCGAGGTGAAACTCTGGTCACATTTTGGACATGGAAATTGATTTAAAGGGACGACGAGTCTGCAAAAAAGTGTAGAAATTTGACGTAGGACTTGATGACTCGTCATTACCATGATCAACACGCTTTTATTAATCATTTATAGCCTCGGATAGGGATTTATTTTAAAATGCGGGACAAATTTGTTGTCAGTAAGTTGAATGGTTGTGAGATTATAGTTTCAAAGGCTCGTTTGCAAAAACGGTGAAAATTTGGAGTGCATATTTGCAAAAAATTGGCAACGACTTGTTCTTCAAATTTTTCGTCCGTAATTCTACAAAATTCCAGAGCCTAGAAATGATATAAAATGTGCTGATTTTGACGATGAGTCATCGAGTCTTTCGTTAGTAATCGATTTCTTAACTTGAAAGTGAAACTCTAGGATTGTATAAAAAATAGACGAACAGAAGTTTCAACGTGACAATAATTTTCTAATCAAGTTGGAAAAGGGATGAGAATCAATTAAAAATTGTAGGAAATCAGATTAATTCTCAAATACTAGATTCTAGGAATTGACTGCAGTCTATACTCACCGCTTAGTTTTCTTTGATATGGCTGTTGAAAGAAATTTAAATTCATGTTTTAATGAATTTCACACATATATATGTAAAGTTTACATGTAAATCTTACCGAAATCATCACAAATGTCGGGATGAATTTTCTTGTTGGTCATGTGGCGCAGGTAATTTGAATATCTGGAAAATTTGGCCTTAGGTTGGCATATTTCGCACGTATACTTTGATTCCGCCTCGACATCAGAATTTGCAGCGTCGGAGGAGGCGTCATCGCTTTCTGACATGTCTGGTTCATAAAGCGGATCAGACGTGATTTCGTCGCGATTATCGTCGTCATTGTCGTCATAGATGGGCTCGACTTTTACGGAGAATTCTTCTTCGTCAATGCTTCCAGAACAGTAGCTGTCACGATTAGCCACGATTTCATGGGACAATTCTACATTAAAGGAATATCATAAGCATAACTTAACTGCAATTTAATTTACCGAGATTAGATAATCGAGTAGATTATTATTTACCACTAATTTCGGATTCCTTTCGCAATTTATTGAACAGTCCGTTCCTGCTGGAAATAACGGCACGCAGAGAAATGGTGATATTTTCAATCTGCGTGGTCAAATTGGCCAAGGAGAGGATCGCAGAGGAGCAAATTTTACAGCAAAATATTGGAGAATGATCTTCAGTTTGTAAAATGAGAGAAATTTGCTCCTGACTTAGAATGAATTTGGCAAGAATTTCCATTTCCTGGACGGCGAGAGGGCTCAGATTTATCGATTCGGAGCAGATCGAACAGGACCCTGATTCTGGGGATGAATTATTCTCCTCAATTTTCTGGGGAAGGTTGTGATCGTGATGAGGGGGGATAAAATTTGTCCTGTTGAGGAGGACCGTGCAGGAAAGTAAATCTCGTAAAATATGACCCGTCCCATTTTTCGTAGAGTTGGAAACCCCGTCGTTTTTCGTCATTTTATTTATCTGTAAAAATAACTGGATTTAGAATTGCAAATTTACTCATGTAATTGTGTAGTTAATTGTGAATTGCATGATGTGAAATGGAAATGTGCCTTTAAATTTACTATTCGTTTAAATTACACCAAATTACGGCCGTATTCTGTGCAATGGCGGAAGCGGATAACGCTAGACAAGAAGAAAAATTGATTGACAGCCGGGTGGCAACTTACCACTGGCAAGGATGTACTTGTTTGTAAATTCTTGATTTCATGCAATAAACTGTAATTTCCTCCCTCAATGATTAAAATTTAATCATTAAATGAAGAATATAAAATCACTTACTTCTCATACCTCCTATGCATTATCCGATTGATTAAAAGTCGTCGATCCTTTGTCATTACCACAATAATCTCCAGAGAAATTTGTCACAATCAGCTGATCAGCTGGAAAAAAAGTAGTTGGTTTGTTGGTGCAGTGGAAAACCGGCTTTTACATATGTTCGTACATAGTATGCACATAAGTTTTCAGATATTGCACGCTCACATAGCGAACACCACTTGTACAACTAAATATTATTGAAACGTGAATTAGGTAAATTATTAATCGTAAAAAAAGACATTTTGTTACGATAGAACTATGTAGGGTACTCACACATGTTGTCAAGTCAGAGATCATTAATATTGACCCTGACAGAAGAAGCTCAAAATAATGTTTAAAGCAAAAACGAAACGAAACGTTTAAGCATTTTTATGTCGAATTTTGTGTCGGAGTTCGAAAAACGGTGCATTCAGGTTGTGGAGAAATAATTAGCACGAATCTTTTAGTGGTAGTACGTAGCATTTCGATATATTTTTCAATCATCGAGAAGTTCGCTACCGCAACCCCCTTTGCCGTTTTTCGAATTTTGGCCCCTCCCCGGCAAGTATAACCAAATAGGTCAAATACTGTTTAAATCTGAACAAACTCACTTTTTTTTTGTTTCCCTAACTTGCGGTTTTGACTAATGGTAGTACCATGAGGATATGAGGAATTAAGAATATGAAATGCGTATAAAACTAAATGGAACAGGTCATAATAAAATCAGGAACCGGACCATCGACAAAGCCCACTTTTTTGCCACCATTGACCCATTAAATCGACAAAAGGTCGACGATGCATATGACGCAAGAATATTCCAGTTCATTTCTGAAAAATATATATAAACCGTCTCGTATTTTATGAGCACACTAGGTATAAGCTCTCTTATGAAAAAGATATAAAGAGAAAAGTTTTTCGTCGCCCCAACCGAAAATCTGAAATCTCTCTTCCCACTAAAGTTTCTGTCAAAACAAAATACAAAACAAATACTTCACAAATAGAAATAAAAACGAAGTACAAACGTATGTATTAGCAAAAACGTTTTAAATGAATCGTATTCGACCAAGTTCCATATGTATGTAACAAATTTGAAGAGTGAAGAGAGAAAAAGCGAATGAAATTTGAAATTCACACTTTATGCTTGAGTTTTAACGCAAATGTATCAGTGAGAAAGTTAACAAGTTGTAGTTCTTTGTTTAAATATAGCAATATTCACAAATTGTGCTAATCGCAATTAAACGGATCGACGTAATAAAGGTGGAGGGTAAGCAACTTTTAAGGTTATCTGAATAGAAATCTAAAAGTAAATACCTTCCTTAATTTGTAATTATTCCAAGGATTTCGTTTAAGATAAGATGAGTATCTACGGATTTGACCCTGTCGCAACAGCGTTGTCTCAAGCAGAGGTAAATTATTTTAATTATTGAGGCGCTAAACTTAATACTTGAGGCTAATATCTTGACATATTTTCCGAAAAGGTGCTCGAGAACATATTCCGCTTTCTCCCAACCCCCTCGTTGACCGCGTGTTGTCTCGTGTCGCCAAAATGGACGGTCGAGGCGGCTCGTCGCCTCGAGCAGGAAGCCCTAATCCGACTTGATTCGACCAAGTTGGAAAAATACGGTGTAATCATGGCGATGAAGGCTTGTCGTTTGAATCAGCAAACGCCACGACCCCACGAATCCCTCAGTTTCACTCTGGACTATCGAGGTTGCTTAGATTTGTTATCGGTAGGGTCCTTGGCCCCTGTAATGGATGTCGTCTACCCGAAAATTAGGCGACTCTGTTTGGAAATTCTGTATAGGGAAGACTCACAAATAAAGTAAGATAATCGGTGGGTCATTTGTGATGATTTCTTAGGAAAATTAGCTTCCGAATTTTCATAAAGTTACTCAGATCAAGTTATTCTGTAAAAGCTTGTAAAATAATTTTACAAAACGCACATATTTTACAAGTTACCGACTGCGTGAATTGCCTCAATGATTTTTGGGAAATTAGAATACTTTAAATTTTGTCACACTAATTTTACTTATGAATTAAATATTTAACATTATGAATTTTAGGATATAAATATGTATGACCTCTACAATCGATTATATCATCATAAATAACTATGTTTTTCCTCTTTTCCAGGATAATCGAGCCCCACGTCGTATCCCAGCTACTCCCCTTCTTCAAGAACATCACCCACTTTAAACTCATCGTCATCCCACCGAAAACGGAGCGGACGACCAACCGTGAAAAAACTGACCAGCTTCCGCACCTTGGCAAAGTGGTCATGTCCATCCCAAACACACCCATGTTCAATTTCTTACACACCGTAGAGTTCGAGCTTGCCTTCAGCTATGCAATAGGAACGCCTCCCGGGAGACTGAAAGCCTTGGCGAATCGAATTATCGCCATGGCCGGGGAACACGTCAAGCTCGGCAAAGTTTACACTAAATTTGCCAACGGGGAAAATAATCCTCTCCTCCAACTTTCCACTGTTGACAATCCCAAGGGGGCAAGTAATTCGCGTGTCAGTTGTGACATGACCACATACATGTTGGACGCAATCGGTGTGGCGGGGCGGGAGGAGCTGCACGAGGTGCAAGTCACGTCCACAATGACGACACGAATTCTTGAAAAAGGTGGGTTCACGGGGCTCCGAAAGGTGCAGATGGAACTTTTTAATTCCGAGGTGGACTACGCGGTCAGATTTTTGGCGGCGATGAAGGATCAGTTGGTCGAGGTGAGCGTGTGTATCAATGGGGGATCGAGGAAGGAGGTGGAAGTGCCGGTTATGCCGAAATTGGAAACGTTTGGTAGGAATTTTTGTTATTTTTAGAAATTGTTATTTCGAAACATTTAAGAATTTGTTTGGTTTAGAAATTTGGACGGCCAACGACCTCGGGGGTTGCAGACTGCATGCCGTGAAGCTTTCCAATTTGCAAGATGCCTATCCTGTGCTGAAATCCATCCATATATTATCGCACGACATTCACATTATGGAGTTTCACTTGAACAACGTGCTATTTTTTGAAGAATCGAAAACTAGGAATGTCAAGACCACTGCTAGGAAAGATAGGACATCGACGACATCGTCGTCTCCCTTCCCTAAATTGGAAATGGTCGTAATATGTATACGAAAAGTAGAAAAAGAGCACCGAGATACGTATAACAGACTGGTTGGGAGAGTTAAGGGAAATGGGTATGTTTTGGATCATAAAGATTACAACTCGGAGGGATTGGGGTCGAAGTTCTAAGTTTCTTTATGAAATGCCAAATATCCAATTGTTCATAAAAAATCGATATTTACATTCATGAGGACTACGTTACTCCTCTTGCTAACACAAATTAATCGAATTTTAGATAAGATTGACGTTCTAATCATTCCAGCGAAAATGTAGACAATACTATTTTTCGCATCTCAAGGATTGCAAATTCAGGAAAGGAAGTTCGTCTATTTTTCACGAGAGTACAAAACCATGTAATTAGAGCACAATATTTGCATAAAAAACTTGTATTTCTATAGTTTGTTAGGTGACATCTTTAAATTCAGCAAAGTATCTTACCATTCTGTATTTAATATTACGGGTATGTACACCTTAATGAATAAAATCCTTCCTTTTCTTGTTTAAAATTACAAAATAATTACAGGGTTATTAATTGTTATTACTTGTATTATATATTTAATAATGGTTCGTACTTTAATATATATATAATTATCATATTTGTAATTTGTACTCTGCCTGTTTAAATGAGGCTCTCGTTAAATAAGTTAAATAAATTTACGACAACTTAGCAATACTGATTAACAATCATAGCAGCAGCTTGTTCGTCTACATAAATAAATTACTATTTCGATCATCGTATCAGAAAGGACGCCATGACCCTCTAGCTGTCAAATCAAATGCAAATTTTGCCCTGACTTCACAGCGAACTAATGGAAGACCCACTCTCCCGTGTGTGCTTGAAATCATTGTAGGCTAAAATTAAAAAAATATATATTGTGAAGGTCGACAATGCATACATATGTAGATACATACCAATAAATTCTTATCCGGCTACAAAATACCTTTGCAAGCTTTTTGATGGCGCAAGAGAGAGTTATCTGATGACAAAATAAGCTTGCACCCGACACAAGATGGTTTCTTATCACGAGGGAGGTGGAAGAAACGAATGTGCCTTGACCTTGTAGAACTACAGTTGAACACCTTATCACAGACCGGACATTTTAACCAATCCTGGGTGCTTTTAGCTGGCGAGGATTTTATTTGACAAGCTTTTTTAGACTGCAATTTGACTGTTTTAGGCTGCACCGTTTTTCGTGCTGCTGGAGAATCTCTTCTCTTTCGTTTTCTGAAAAACGAATATTTGCATGAAATAAATTATAAATCGGAACAGTTGAGATTTATGTATGTACTTAAAACAGAACATATTGGATCCCTTATTTTTATTAATTGAGATCCAATTATACAAATCTGAATACATATTTACACATATACGTACATACCGTAGTGGTGGTGCTGTAATAGTTGGGGTCGGAGACGTCCGCCCCCTCGACGTTTTTGGGGAAGGAGGACTAGTACTAAAAGTACGGTAAAAAGGGTCTTCGTCGTCGTCGTCAAGTGAATTTTCCGCCTTTATTTTGTCGACAATTGGCTGGGGGGAGGGATTAAGGCAGTCATCCATATCTCCGAGGGGATCAACGTCATTTTCCACTTCCGTCTCAGGTTCCACTTTGACGTGTACCTCTTCTGTTATAAAATTTTCTTCATGCTGTTCATTCCCTCCTGATTGAAATAATAATGATATTATTTAAAGTAAATATTTACTATGGGGCCGTTCATAAATTATGTAACGCAAGAAGGGGTCTATAAGGCTTCAATGCATATGTGACACATGTTAAAGGGGGGTTCAAGAAAATCGCGATTCTTGCTTTACATAATTTATGAAGTTAATTAATTTGATTGATAAACCTGTCATGCGGAGAATCATGTCACGAATTTGTACAATTTTACGATCCTCCTCATTTTTAAGGGAGTGGGAGGAGGAAGAAGTGAGTAAAATTGTGGCCTGAATTGTACCAACTTTTGACACAATTTCTTCCTCCAGGAGTAAAATTTGGTTCCTAATTTCTTCCATTTTACTGATGAGAGGATAACAGTCGTCACAAAACTCACATATCTCGTCATCTTCAAATTCAGGAGGTAGATACTGAGTAGGTTCGTAATTATGGCGACGCAGTGTTAGCAGGTTGCAGAGGGTTTCAATTTTAATTTTTGTGGGGGATTTTTTCGCTGCGCTGTGGTTAACTTGTAAGCAAAGAAGGCAGACTTGGTTGGACATGGTGGGTAGATCTAGAAATTATACAAATGTACATGATGTCATTATCCAGGTAAGATTCAATTTTTTTACAATTTGATTTAGACAGATTCGAACCTGATGAAGGGGACGTTGTTTGAGGAGATGACGGATCGTTCACGCCAGCTAAAAGTAATCACATAGTTTATTGTTAATTTAATTACTTGTTCTCAATTAGCAATTTAAACAAGTTTAATAGTTTAGTACTCGTTTACTTGCAGGATAACCTGACCAGTAAAATGACGGCTGCAAATCCGAGTACTCTCACACAGCTCCCAAGCATAATCTTGCCCTAAGCGGCGGACAATAGCGTTACTAATTCATAGTATCTAATTATGACCTTTGAGAAGACAAATTAACTAATTTTATAGTTAAGTTTGAACATACAAATTTGGTGAAAATGCAGCTGCAAGTTTTGTTTTTATTTATTTTGTCAACAGAGCCGAACTCAAACTCGTGCCAAAAAAAAAGAGAAAGCACGTCTCAATTAAACAACAAAGTTTCATGAAAAATTCGTCTCATGCATGGTCTCATCTTTTCATGCAAAACACGAAGCTAAATTAAGTAATTAATAAATCCCTCAATTGAAAGTTTCAATTTGAAACTTATCAGTTTTTAAGTAAAATTAATCATAGATTTTATGTTATGTCATGTCAACAAAATATTTTGAATTTACTCTTAGCTTCATCAGTCGATAAGTCAGTAATAAATATGTGTTTGCAAGGCGCCGGGGTATATAATTTAATTTGTAACATGATTACAGTAGACTTTAACCATAGAAAAATGCTACTAATTCCTTAACAATTTGTATTTATTGATGATAAAAAATAGGAATTTAACGATAAATAAACTAAACTAAAACTAAAAATATAACTAACATTTAATCATTGTCTTCTTCTATCTGAAACGCATCCTTTTTCGATCGTGGCAACCTGTCTTTCTTCTCCGGAACGACGCCATGGGCCGTTTTCAAATGCAGAGTCAGCGCCGACTTGACCGCGAATCCTTTTTCACACTGGTCGCAGATGAAGGGCCGCTCCCCCGTGTGCGCTTGGCGAATGTGGCATCGCAGGATGAAAGGAGTGGTACATCCTTTATCGCAGTGGGGGCATTTGTGCGGGGTGGGGGCGACGTAGCCCTGAGTGTGGATAACCTTGACATGACCCCTCCTACCCGTGGTTGTCTTGAAGGCCTTGTCGCAGTGGGGGCAGGGGTAGGGTCGCTCGCCCGTGTGAGTTCTCATGTGAGCCTTGAGACCCCCATTATCGATAAAACAGGTCCCACAAATCTAAAGACAAATGGAATTTTAGAAATGAATAGGAAATCTTATTGACAAAAAGTATTTCTGGACGTTAGAATTAAAAGATTGTTCCGAATTTTCACCTCGCATTTGTGCTTTTTTTCACCGTGGACTTTCTTGTGGATTTTAAATGCATCCAGCTTTGTAAAAGTAGCTCCGCTTTTCCATAATTACAAAAAATTAGCAATTGTCCATACAAAATTGATTGCAGTTAAATACCATTCATCACAAATGAACGGGTCCTTTGAATGCATCTTGACTTTGTGGGCTTCTAAGCTGTTCCATGCCTTAAATATTTCTCCACAAGTGTCACATTTCCGCTCAACCCTGCTACCATCGTGCTGGGGAAGGTGTGCCTTGAGGTCGGCGGGAGAATAAAACCCTTTCCCACAAAGGTCACAAGTAATAGGGGCAGGTAACCCGGGGTGGCGGCGCCCAATGTGGCGCCGCATGGTGCAATTGTAGCCTGTTTTGTACTCACAGTGAGGACAATTTTCAGTTTTTTCCTTAGTATGCGTCTTCAAGTGGCTGGAATTGCGAAAAATAGTTAGATTAGATGTTTATGTGATTTCCTCAAAAGTTTTGTTCTGAGAAATTTGCACGGGAAATTTGCACGGGACATTTTTTCTAGTTAAAATCCCTTCGAAAAACGCAGAGAAAATTTTTTGACTGTAACAGCAACAACATTTTTTATGGAACACGAGTTCCGTAAAGTTATTGTTGCGGGCCTCCTCACATTTGCATAAATATGATAATACGGCCCTGGCTCTTATAAATGATGAGTTATCATTGGCTTTATTTTATTGATAAGTTATCAGGGCATTCCATATCGAATATACCTTTCCATCTCCGTCCTACTCCTGAACCGCCGAGGACACTGAGGATGAGTACACTCGAATCGTTTTGAATGCGTTATTGATGCCAAGTGTTTTTTAAGACGCTCCTCGTCCTCAAATCGCTTATCGCACAAGTCACAAACGAAAGGTTTCGTCCCCTCGATGTCATGCAGTTCCAAATGTCTCGCCAAATTTTCCTCGAGGAAGAATTTCTTTCCGCATTTGACGCAGGACAATTTCTTTTCCCCATCTTCGTGCCGCATCACCATGTGCGCACCAAGGGCGCCTTGGTACTCGAACTTGCACTTACAAATTCGGCATTGAAAAGCGGACAAACCTTCGTGGACAACCTGTGGAGTCTCGTGGCAAGTGGAGGTCTCTCTCTTTTGCGGAGCGAAGAGTGGCGGTGCAGGACGGTGCGATGCAGGGAATGCCGCCGTGGAAGCGGGCGATGTGATGAGTAAGGTTACATTTTCGGAAGAAAGATTTCGTACATTTGGTGCATTTGTGTATGGCGTCAGAAGTCGCGATGGAGTTGGCGGAAGCCCCAGCCCAATCGTTGTTAGGTCCAGATTTTTTATCGTTGTCTTCTTCTGATTCTGAGTTTGATATTGGATTTAATTTTGTGGGGGAAGAGGTAACACGTGCGGATGGAGCGGTCCGTTTTTTAATACGGGGTGAGAATCGTGGCCTTGGGGCTTCAGAGATGGGTGGTCTGTCGACCTGTAGTTTATTTTGTTTCGTAATTGTTCTTCGTGGAGGGGAATCTTCTCTTTTCCGTTTAGAAGTGCTGGAAATATGACAATCCATAGTCAGTTACTTCTTATCAAAATTTACAATTTTTTATATAAATAAGCAAACTAATTACAAATCATGACATGAATACTCGAATACTCGAATAGTTTTAATTCTCCTGTACCGTTCAGGATTTTCTTTGGTTTGCGGGAAAGGAATGATGCAAAAAGCAGTTTCTTCGTCTTCGTAGTTGACCAAATCTTCTTCCTCTGATTTTACAATGCTTGGCTCGAAGTAGGACTTAATGTCATCATCCAAGAATTGGTCGCCCAGATAAGCGAGAGGGTCAAGGTTATCTGCGCCCCCTTCTTTCTCCTCCTCCACTTTGACTTGAACCTCTTCTTCGGCAAAATTTGCCGAATGCTCTCCTAATTGATATGATAGTTAGTTTAGTTAGTTGTATTTAAAGTGACTGGTAATGAATTGAATTTTCGAAAATACTAAACCTGGCACGCGGAGAAAAAACTTGTCACGAATTTGTAGAATTTTATCCCTTGCATTACTTTGTAGCTGGGGGGAGGAGGATGTGTGCAAAATCGTGGCCTGAATTTGTTCAATTTTCGACCCAATTTCTTCATCCAGGATTGAAATTTTCCTCCTAATTTGTCCCATTGTGCTTATGATAGGATAACAATCGCCACAAAGGTCAAACATCTCATCGCCGTCAAATTCATGTTCGGAGTTTAAAGACTTGTAATTATGATGACAAAGTGTTAACAGTTTAAGGAGGGTTTCGAGTCGAATTGTTTCCGGAAATTTGTCGCCGTCGCGGAAAACTTGTAAACAGAAGAGGCACACCTGGGTCAACATGTCGAATAAATATCTAGAAATAAATAAAAATGTACGATGCGATTAAATGATTGTCATTACAATTGTGTTGAATATTTTGAAGAAAAAAAATTTAGCAGACAGACGGACAAAATTTGTAGTTGAATATGCGCAAAATTTAATCATGTAAACTAGTCATTACCATGCAAATTATAGGATTATGATAAATATGTGGTTTACCCATGAGAAGACAAGTTAATTGTTAATTTTTTAGCTTAAAAAATTAGGTGAAAACGCAGCTGCAAGTTTTGTTTTTATTTACTTTCAGAACTCAAACTCGTGCCAAAAAAAGTCTCAGAAATGAAGACAAAGGGAAACAAATTTTCATGCAACTCGAATTTTAATGATATTCTTTTATAGCGTCATTTTCTTGTACAAATAATCATGGATTTTAACATGTCAATAAAATATTTTGAAATTATTTTTATCAACAGCTAATCAGCTATAGCTTATATAGCTTCATCAGCTATTAAATTATTCATATAGGTTCATATATTAAATACAATTAAAGCAATTTCTTATTTAATTTGTAGCATGAGCAAAGCAGACACATTTTACTTAAATATTCCTCTACATAATTATTAAATATCAAACACAATGTCCTCCGTTTAATAATAATTTTCCTTACAAAAATATAAATTAATCCTGTCGAAAAATGGAAATTTAGCAATATTGCTTAAAAAATTAAGCATTCTCATTCTTTGGCATCAAAAGCATCCTTTTTCGATCTTGGCAGCATATCTTTCGTTTTTTCCAGGACGACGCCGTGAGCCCCTTTCAAATGCGTGGTCAGCGCTGTGTTGACCGCGAACCCTTTTCCGCACTGGTCGCAGATGAAGGGGCGCTCTCCCGTGTGCGCTTGGCGGATGTGGCCACGAAGAAAGAACGGAGTTTTGAATCCTTTATCGCAGTGGGGACATTTGTGCGGGGTGGGAGGAACGTAGCCCGGAGTGTGGATGCTTTTCACATGCAGGTTCAAAGGGGTCCTGGTCTTGAAGGCTTTATCGCAGTGGGGGCAGGGGTAGGGTCGCTCGCCCGTGTGAGTACGCATGTGAACGTTGAGATACGACAGGCCGAAAAAACAGGCGCCACAAGTCTGTAAGTAATGTATAGAAAATTTTGGGAATTTAATCAATTTGTGAAAAGCAATTTTAAGAAATTAAAGAATTTAAAAATCTCTACTGCACACATAAGAAATAAATTGCAATGTATGTTTAAAGTGATCACTTTTCACTGAAGGGTCATCACTAAAATTTGTAGACTAACGTTTTTAGTGATGACTCGATTTTAGTCTAAGCTCGTAAAAATCAGCACATTTTTAATAATTTCTAGGGTTTGAGATTTTATTTTAAAATTCTGGATGACAAATTTGCATTCAGCAAGTTGATTAATAAAATACCGGTGAGTTTATTAAGCCAGTTTTGAAGCATCTTAAACAAATTTATCTTCCAGAATTTTTAAATACATTCCAAGAGCCGAGAATTGATTAGAAATGTGTTGATTTTGACCATTTTAGCAGTCATCGAGTCATTGCGTCCTGCGAAAAATAAACCGGATTGGCAAAAAGTATTTTATGAACAATTACCTGACATTTGTGCTTCTTATTTCCCACGTGAAGCCTGTTGTGTATTCTTAATCCTGCGTCGGACGTGAAAGTACTTCCGCTTTTGGAAAATTATAAAAAATTCGTTCATCATTTATCTTTCATTTTGTAGCAGCTATAAAACCAAATTATGTGCTCACCATTCATCACAAACGAACGGGTCTTGGCCGTGCAGTCTAACACGGTGAGATTGTAAGCTACTCAATTTTACAAATGTTTCGCCACACGTGTCGCATTTGACTCGATTTTTGCCCTCGTGACGATTAAGGTGGACCTTGAGGTCAACGGGGAGATAAAACCCTTTGCCGCATATGTGACAAATATGCGGAGCTGTAGAGGTTGAAGAGTGGTCCCGGAGGATGTGGCGTTGCAGGGTGGGCTTCTCGACAAAGGTGGCGTCACAGTGGGGGCATTTCTCCGTTTTTTCGCCAGTGTGGGTACGAGAATGCCTGGGATAAAAAAAAGTTAATAATTAATGCTGAACAATCTTTTCAAACATGTTTTAATTTAATTTAACTGTGTCAGAAACATTATACACTTTGTAGAAATCCGCTAGTAAAATTATACCAAGCGGTATTTATATATTACTCTGCCATAGTGGAATTGATAAATACTGCAGTAGTAGCTCAGTATTAAAGTTTTGCCACATCGGTAGTAAATTTCTAACCACCGGAATGGTTTTAATACCAAGCAGAACCAACTTTAATACAAGTCGATATCTTCCCTACTATACCAGATTTCTAACAGTGTAGCTAAATATTTACTTCTCCATAGCTGTCTTATCCGTGTATCCTTTCCCACAATATGGACAATGAAACTTATCAGTTTTCGCTTGGTGTGACTCTGCATGTCGAAAAAGCCTCGCCTCGTCCTCGAATCGGGCGTCACACACGTCACAAACGACGGGTTTGATCCCTTCAACTTCATGTAGTTTCAAATGTCTCGCCAAATTTTCCTCGAGGCAGAATTTCTTCCCGCATTTGACACAGGTCAATTTCTTCTCTCCCTTTTCATGGCGAATCACCATGTGAGCAGCGAGACCATTTTGTCGACGGAATTTAGCCTTGCAAAGTTTACACTGATGAGGGGAAATGCCTTCGTGGGTAGTTTTCAAGTGGGCGTCCCGGGATGAGATGGAGCGAAACGTGGCGGTGCAGGACGGCGCGATGCAAGGGATACTATGGTCGCGGGTGGAATGGCGAGTAAGGGCGTATTGCGTCGTGAAAGATTTGGAACACGAGGTACATTTGTGGGGGCAGGGGTCGATGGCGGCAGAAGTGGAGATGGAGTCGACGAATTCAATACTAGGAGCCAAATCTTCATCATCGCTGTCAGGTGTAGCTTTTGTATCGTCGTCTTCTGATGATGATTCAGAGTTTGACATTGGATTGAACGCTTTGATGACACGGACCTGCACAAGACTATTGAAACGTATGGGTGGAGCGGTTTCTTCTTTGGTGGTGGGTGAGATTTGTGGCATTGTCGCTAATTCACGGGTTGGAGTTATATCAGGCTGCAGTTTATTCTTTTTCGTAATTGTGTTTCGTAAAGGAGGGGAGCCTTCAGTTCTTCGTTTCATGGGGCTAGAAATATGCAAATCCATAGTTAGTAAGTAATCCATCATTAGTACATTTCCCTCAAAATTTTTAAATTATATTATTGCCACCAAACTACAAATTATGACCTGAATTTCAACACTTACATATTTTTAATCTTTGTACATTTGGGATTTTCGTTTGGATCTTTGGTTTGAGGCCAAGGAATAATACAAAAAGCAGATTCTTCGTCTTCATCTTCAATGAAATCTTCCTTCTCTGTTTTTTCCATGCTTGCCTCGCAGAAAGAATTAATGTCGTCGTAGAGTAATTCGTCGCTGACATCGCCAAGGGGATTAGTTTCATCTTCAAATTTGATATCATCCTCACCTGGTAGAATATTTGTATCATGTTCTTCCATATTTTCTCCTATTTAATTGAAAGGATATGTAAAAGAAGTGCTAATAAATAATTAAATTTATTAGCAAATTTGTAACCTGGAAAAATGTGTTCCAACTTGACTTGGGGCTCGTTGGAGGCAAAATTGTTGTCATGTTCCTCGTTCTCACCTCAAATTAAAATCATACACAATTAGTATGTAAATTAAGTAATTTTATTTTTAAAACTTCTCACCTGTCACGCGCAGCAGAAGCATGTCACGAATTTGTATAATGTTTTGTTTTCCATTATGCAGTAAATGGGAAGAGGACGAAGTGTGCAAAATTGTGGCCTGAATTTCCCTAACTTTTGACCCAATTTCTTCCTCCAAGAGTGAAATTTGCCTCTTATTTTCTCCTATTGTGCTCAAGAGGAAATAACAATCGGTACAAAATTGGCATATCTCGTCATCTTCAACTTCAGCAGATTTGGAATTTTGATGGCACGGGGTCACCAATCTGAAGAGGATTTTCGCTCTGATTTGTTGTGCGCATTTTTCTACCGTGTCACAGATAACTTTTAAACACAAGAGGCAGACCTCCTGGTTCGTCATGTCGAAGGAATCTAGAAATAAATAAAAATGTACGTTACGATTAAATATGTGACATTTTCGGAACTACGACTTGTTTACATATAGATATGTACAACAATTTCAAATTATCAGAAACAGGTATGTAAAAATGTTAAAATTTTGGTGATCTATAAAAATTAGGGTATACACCCCACCTACAAACTTTGGAATACAAACTTTGACGGTGGCGATCAAATGAAAAGCTTACACGAACCGATACGCCAATTATATAAAAAAAAACTTCGGAAATATTGCATTCACAAATACGACGGGTAAAAAATCTGGCCTAATTTTTTGACAAATTGTGTATCATGTAAATATGTACATACATTCATAAATTCACACGTTTCATTTCAAACCAAATGAAAACCTTAATTTTGACAAAAATACAACAAAACTCAGGAGTCCTGAGTCAGGACAAGACAAAACTCCTTGGTTAAAAATGTAAAAAAAAGTTTAGAAGAACTAAATATGCAATACTTACTTGCATTTATCAATAATTTGTTTACTTTACAAAATAAACATTTCAGAAGAGAAATTTTGTGTTACTTTCGAGTTCCCCGTCATCACGGGCCCCTAGCTTTTGCCTACCTTGATTATCTTCTATTTGCTTCTCAATTGGATTATCACGGCGCAAAAACAGAGATGGAACGGCTGTTGAGGATAGATTTCTTCTAAACTGGGTCGTTTTGAAACACTTCTCTGGAAAGTGAAGGCTGCAAATCGTTGCAAATTTCGTCGGTTGCCAGTTATTTTCATTCTTAATGTCGCGAATCACATCTATCCATTCCTGTCGTGGACCATTGGGTGGGAACCTGTTTACATATGTACGAGGATGAAAATAATTGTAAACCTTTGAACTTGATATAATTAATTACATATTTTTACACACTTGTGATAAGACAGATGCTCAGCAACCTTTCGGTAGGCCTCGACGCAACTTGGAATCGAGCAACAACCTTGGTAGTTCATTTTCCTTGTGATTTCCTAAAATAAATTAAATATGTGGTATTAGTATTTTGAAAAAATTGACAGATTTTGAACTTATTTACAATTTACATAAATACTTAATGTAAAAATGCAGCTATTAAATACCGTGCGAATTATAGGATAATGAAAAATAAGTACTTTACCCTTGAAACGACAAATTGCTTCTTTTTAGTTAACTTTGAAGATAAAAATCTGGTGAAAATGCAGCAGCATGGTTTGTTTTTGTTTATTCATTATTTACAAAATTATCAGCCGAACTCAAACTCGTGCCAAAAAAGAGCAGAGAACGTCTCAAAAATGAAGTTGAAAGAAAGTAAAGTTTCATGAAAAACTTGTTTCAGCTTTTCATGCAAAACTTGTAGCTAAATTACTGAATTAAATAAATCTTTTAAATCATGAATTTGAAATTAATCGTTTAAAATTGTCACTTTTTCACAAATAATCATGGATTTAAATTAAGATGTCAATAACATATTTTGTAGCTCCATCAGTTATTTATTCATGTGAGTGAACATATTATAAAAGGCTTGCTAATTTAATTTCAAGTTAAATTTAATTGCACCTTAATTATAGTTGGGATTAATTCCCCAATATATAGCTTCAGGACGACACAAATTAAAATTTAGCAAAATAAATTACAAATTTTAATTTAGTCATTTGCTTCTTCTATCTGAAACGCATCCTTTTTCGATCTTGGCAACCTGTCTTTCTTCTCAGGAACGACGCCATGGGCCGTTTTCAAGTGCGTGGTTAGCGCTGAGTTGACCGCGAACTTTTTTGCGCACTTGTCACAGGTGAAGGGCCGCTCTCCCGTGTGCGCCTGGCGAATGTGACATCTCAGGATGAAAGGAGATTGAAATCCTTTGTCGCAGTGGGGGCATTTGTGCGGGGTGGGTGCAATGTAGCCGGGAGTGTGGATAATCTTTACATGCTTGGTCAAATGCGACCTTGTCTTGAAGGCCTTGTCGCAGTGGGGGCAGGGGAATGGTCGCTCGCCCGTGTGACTTCTCATGTGAATGTTAAGATCCCCCCTACTCATAAAACAGGCCCCAGAAGTCTATATAAAGATAAATACAATTTTAAAATCAAAATGAAAGACATTTCATATCATTTCTTACAAAAATTAATTCCAGAAACCATTTCATGAAATTTAACATTAAGACTCTGCGAATCTCAGAAATGTTAAAATTAAGTTGTTTTATCTTATTCCGAATTTTCACCTCGCATTTGTGTCTTCTGTCACCTGCGTGGGCTTTCTTGTGCAGGTTAAAGCCTTTCGACGTTCTAAAAGTAGCTCCGCTTTTGCACAATGACAAAAATTACTTGGTGTCCATTAGTCCATATAAGATTTAGTGGCTGAAACAATGAAATTACCATTCGTCGCAAACCATCGGATCTTTGCCATGCATCTTGACAAGGTGAGCTTGTAAGCTATTCCATGACGCGCATGTTTCGCCACAAGTGTCACATTTCTTTCGAAAAGTCCCCTCATGACGGGCAAGGTGGCCCTTGAGGTCGGCGGAATGATAATATCCTTTCCCGCAAATGTCGCAAATATGACTAGTAGGTCCGGCAGGGTGGGCGCGCGCGATGTGGCGCTGCAAGGTGTAGTTGTCGCCCACAGTGTGATCACAGTGAGGACATTTCTCAGTTTTTTCCTTGGTGTGGATCTTCAAGTGTCTGGAATGATGAAGGAAATAAAGTTAGATTCGACGTTTGTACCATTTCTGGTCGTGCAAACGCGTATTTATCTGCTCCAGAACAGCGGATTCCTCTTCAAAAAACCCCCCTAAAACAATTTAGACCACATTTTTTTGGGAAATCATGAACACCCATTCCCAAAAAGAACCATCACGCTCAGTTAAATTGAATGAAATGTCAAATTAGATTACAAGCACAAACCCCTAAGCAAACAAGTTGTGTGAAGCGTTAATCGCCATGAATCCCTTTGTTCCTTCAAAAATGTAGACCACATACATTTTTAGGTAGGCAATGAACATGTTAGGCCAGTAGAGATGTGCAGGGCAGGCATTTTTCATTGCCCGCCCTACCCTATACCCTACTTAGCCCAGCCCTGCCCTACCCTACCCTATAGGGTAGGGTAAAATTGAAACCCGGCCCTGCCCTACCCTGGAAAAATAAAGCCCGCCCTAGCCCTACCCTAGATTTTCTTTATCAATAAAAACCCTACCCTACCCTATAGGGCTTTGGGCCCAGGCCCTATTCATAATTGTTTATGCAAATCATTTAAAGCAACTAATAATATTAATATATTATTAGTTCGCAATTATGACGATTAAAAAAATTATAATGACATTAAAACTTTAAAAATGGTCTAGTAATTTTGTAAATCAAAGTTAATTTCGTTACGTTTCCACCTGATAAAAATGAAGTTCTTGGCTCTTGTACTCCTGTGGTTGAACAATTCTTATATCTATGGGATGTGGCGCAAGAAACTTTTTGCAACTTTCCAAATTTTGTGTCGCCACACCAGTAACAAATGTCAACATGGAGTAGTCAATCTCCATAGTATAATCAATTTTAAGTACTTGTAACACACGTGAATTAATACAGCAGAAAGATGACGAAAATAGTCCCGCGTCTCATTTCTAATGGCCTGCTCGATGGTTGTGTAAGTCAATTGTGTGTGGGAATGCCGAATGAGGGACGTGATACGAGTTCGGATAGGTTTCAATGGAAGTACAGATTAGATGTTTATTCAGAAAGAAAGTTGACAGTACAGAACAGAACCAAGAGTGAATGCTGCTCACTCTTTTTATCATGCAGAGTCGGAGAAAGTAGAACTTTCCCCGACTTTTACAATTGTTGTACGCATGTTCTGGCTTCTCTCTTTGTCTGATGCTTATGCATCGTGACATCCTTCCCTTCCTTATCTTTTTTTGCTTGCTATGCACTAATTGTGTTTAATAGCTGACAAAAGCTTAACGGAATACATAGAAAGCGAATTGTTCCCAGACAGCAAACTCGTCCATAAATGGGTGAAAGAGGGAGAGAAGAAGAGAAATACCAGAACGAACACACACACATGTACATTCAATATTCCTTACGGAAAATAGTAATTACTACTTGATGGATTTGCTTAAATGTAAATTTTTGATTCTTATTAGTCTTAGGAATCTTCTAGGTCTATTAGGAATATTATTTTACATAACTCCAATTATTATTATAGATTTAATTAGGTGTTGAAATTTTTCGCCATTTACGGTAATGTTAATAAAATGCTAAATAACTAGTCGTTGGACTAAATTTGAATGCAAATAGTGAGTGTCAAAGGGAAACTTAGCTGGACAAGGTTAAGCATGTAAAAGTATAACTATCTGCGGGTATTGTATGTGTCGATTTTCATGAGACTTGTGATGACAGTTGACTTTTAGAATTTGGGTAAAATGTATGTAATTGGGCCAAAGAGGGTCTTTCCCGAAATCTGAAATTGTATGGTTTTATGTCTTTTTAATGTGACCACAAGTTCCCCTCCATTCCTGAATGGATAGCAACTAGATTTTAGATATTGTCCCCTCTCTACCGCATCTTTTTCGCTGTAATTTATTATTTCCCATGCAAGTGCAGCTATGCATTCTTCCCCAGCGGTGTAGTATGTTGTTGGAGTTTGAAAATAAAGGTCTGGAGAAAGTAACCTATCAATTTCATAAAAATGGTGAAAAAGAGAGTGTATCCCCCGTCGGAAATTATTCCAAAACTGAAGGTTTTGTATCCTGTAATTAAAAATTGGAAGCGACAAGAAGAAGTAGGTCTCTTTCCTTCTCTGAGGACTAAAAAGGGGTGGATGCAAGTAATTGGACGGCTGACAAATAAAAGCAAAAGTGAACAATTCCGATTTTACAATCGATTGACCCCTCTGATGAGAACTCAATTATTTCAATTGGATTTATTTATGTGTTTAAAGTTGAATAGACTGCGTGGAGATTGTAGCAGTGTTTTTATGAATTCTTTTGTGAAAGAAGCTGCCGATCGGAATGTAGAAATACGAAATAAATGTGGTGTTGCTCCTACTTCAAAATGTAATGGGTGGAATTTAAGGAATGCATTGGAAGCCAATTTTAATTCGCATAATAACTTACCAACAGTAGTGGACTTGAACAGTTTAAAACGAGAAGGAGCTGCTTTAACATCATTATTACACATTTGAAAATGAGATTACAAGGAAATAATATCGTCAATCGGGTAAGACTTTCTCTTTTTTTTGTAAACTAATGCATGCATACTGAATAGAGCATACTCTTTTTATTGTAGTATGTTAAATACGGGGCTGTGCAGCCAAGATGCGTCTACCTTGAGAAGACATTCATTTCCCCGTATTTGCTGGCTGAATTGGAGGATAGCTGGGAAAAACTCTTCATCCCAGTGGAAATTGCGGCCGAATACCCTGGCTTTAATATTTTTAATTTAAAGATGACCGAAAATGTACCGGGTGCACCTTCACACTCGATACTGATTGTTGTTAATAAAATAGAAATGATGATGAAACTATACGATGCAAACTATTTCCATTGTAAATCAAACTGTTCGTTATCAAAGCGATGCTTTCAAGAGATTTTAGTGGATTTGAAACAGTTTTTTATTCATTTTTATGATTTAAAATTTCGAATTCATGTTGCTTTCCACTTCTTCGACAACAATGTGATATCTGATGAATAGATACAAATTAACTAAGACGAGATAAATTCCATCATCTAATTTACTGTGAGTGAGTTCAACATTGCAAGAAGCCATCGGGTAAAGTACAATGCTACTGTCAAGTTGAGCTTTTATTTTTATTTCATCATTCCTCTCCTCAGCTATCACAGATTGATCGAATAAAGGAAGAGACTTAAGTAAATTGGGACGATTGGGGAGAAAGCTGATTACTTCTCCTGTCTCCATGACTAAATGTTCCTTTTTGAAATCTAATGTAATTCCATACTGTCGCAAAAAATTTCTTCCTAATAGGACTTGGAATATCTTCGTCTTGGTTGGGAATAAATTAACTCGAAAGTTTTGGTCTCCAATTTGGAGATTGACCATAATTTGTTTAGACAAGAATATAGGTTTGTCTGTAATTCCATACACTATGACGTCTGACTGGGATGTTGATACGTAAGGTATCTCATTAAGTAGTTCTTCGTTAATTAAAGAAATATCTGATCCAGAATCCAATATTGCTACAAGATGTGGTTGGTTTAATTCAGGAATTTGTATTCGAATTGATGTTAGTGATTGTTGGAGTAAGTTGACGTTGTATTCTGGTAGTGAGGGAGATTCCTTCCTGGGGGTCCTCTCTCCCCCTCTCGATAGTTTAAAGGACAGTTGTATCGTATGTGCCATATTTCATTACAGCCAAAACAGCGTCTTGGTCCTTGTTGCCAAGTGGCACGTTGAGGTCGAGGAGAGTATCGTCCGGGTGGTTCCATAAATGAGACTTGTTTTGTTCCGCTCATGTCATTTTTTTCACGGGTCTGATCTTGTCTTGGATATTGTTGAAAATCTGGTTGTTTTTTTGGATACGCATTTCTCTCGTAGGGATACTCTCTAGTCTGCTCGGAGTATTGACGTGGTGGAGAAAAATAAGATTGCCCAGGATTAGATGTATAAGAAGATACCTCTCTCTCTGTTTGTGGCGTTCTGTATATGGGTCTCCTGTCTTTCCCGGGTCGAGAGCTCTGCATTAATACAATCTCGTTGTGGTCGGTTTCATGACGTTCAGCTAATTGTTCTGCCAGCATAGTTGATTCATCTGCTTTGATTAGTAGTTCCATCAATTTCGATAAGGTTTCTGGATTGTGTAGATTTAGGTTAGTAAGGACAGCGGGTTTAAGTCCTCTCTTTATGTAATTTATGCGTTTCTTGTCTGACATGTCCTTCTCTAGTCGTGTGCAAAGATTATCCACTCGCACTGCAAAAGCATAGCAGCTTTCTTCTTTCTTTTGTTTTGTATGCCATAATTTATATTGGATTGCTTCGTGTCTCGTCTCAATTGGTCCTCCACTATTTAGAAATGAAGATTCTAAGGATTTCCAATCCCAGTCACCTTTTCCTTCACGCTCTCTTTGAGTGGTATTTTGAATATACCATGCGAAAGCGTTTTTCCTCATAAATGACGGGAAAAGGTCAACTTTCATCTTTTCAGTCTAATGGTTGCATTTTGCAATTAAATTGTAACTCTCAATCCAATCCATGGGGTCAGATCCAACGTCTCCATGATATTCTGGAGGTTTAACGGTGTATCTTGAGGGTTTCGTTATTGATTCAAGAGTTTTTCCGGCGTTTGGATCTTGAAAGACTGTTCCCGTATTAAATGTATAATGCGCTGGTCCTGCTTCTCCATCCAAATTGGTGGATTGAAAACGGTGTTTTTTATATGCCAATACTAAGTTCTCAATTTTTTTGCTTGTTTGATTAAATACTTCATCCAAATTTTCGTCTGCTATTAATTTTTCTGTTTTTATTTTATTCAGTTCGGCTTCTTCTTCCTGAGTTAGAGGCTTGTCCTCTTCTTCTCCCTCCTCCTCCTCTTCTTCTTCACGCTTCTCGGTAGGGTCAAACATGATTATAATTATTTCTTATTTAACTCTTTATTTACGGTAGTTTATTTCTAGGGGAATAATCTTATGGTACTGATATTTCTTGTAATCACAATTAGTTGAGATATCACTCAAAATCTTTGATATCACTTCAATTTTCCATTAATCAAGAGTCCTTCTTTTATATTTCAGCAATATAATTTCCATTTGCTGATTCAAATTTTTACTCAATTTGTTTCTCAGAAATCTTGTTTTCCATTTTCTTAATCTTATTAAGTCGGACACTGCTCCCGCGCAGAATAACCGTTCCCGGACGGCGTCCGCTTCTTCTGGCCAGGAATCGTGAACCTGTGGTTTTGGTGGACCGTTCACACTGTATTTATCAATTCTTCAATTTCTCATTGCTTTATTTACTTCTTCTATTATTTTCTTAATTCTATATTTCCTTTTTTGTCTTTGCTCTCAGTAATCCGGTTTTTACTGAGTGGAGTTGTAACCAAAGCGGTACCGTGTAGAATGGGAAACTATATCACCAACATACGGTTGGTGAGGTCTGTCTGTTTGCTTGGCATCCAATCATTTTAGTTGAAAAGGTTGAATATTATCTGGCCAGGATAAGATTGCATTTTGGAGCAGTTGATATAAACAGTAATGTTTTCTTCCTTAGATGATTTCGTCCTCCGTCTTCCACGAGGCAAGTTGAGATTCAACGAAATGTTTGATTATTTTGATGATGGTGGTCAAAAATGCTTGGACATCTTCAAATGCCATAGCCATACAGATAACGATGGCAATTAGTATGGCTAATTGTATCCACATCTGGCAACAGGAGATAGCACACATCTTCTCTTCTTGTTGAATCGGGGAAAGTGGTGGGCAAAAAGAGGACAGTTTCGGTGTATTACAGTTGTGTAATGAAGGGAGCAGGAATTAGTTTTTGAACGAAATCAGTAATTAATTGCAGTTGTCCAATTTCAAAAAGAGATTTAATTGCAGTGGTGCAATATTAAGAAGAGCAGGTTTAATTGCAGTGGTGCAATTTTAGTGCGAAGGTGAGGAAATAGTTGCAGTTGTGCAACGAAGAGAGTTGCAGTAGTGCAACTAAAATTAGACGTCAATTGTTTAATTTTAAAAAAACCTAAGTGTCTCAGTTGTGAGACGATTCGAGATATAAAAGAAACGACATGCTACTGCAAAGAAAAGAAAGTATAATGGAAGCGAAGAACAGTTGTGTTCTTAAATTTTTCAACAGTTGTGTTGAATTTGCAGAGAAATACAATTAATCATCCATCAATTTACCTGAAAAATTTTTTTGTAGAACGAACAATTCTCCAAAATATGTTCCTGTTGCAGTAGTCTCCAGTAGTTTCTGCTGCTCTTCTTGCAGAATTTTACACTATCCCAAAATCTCGCTGCAGACACCAATTTGTAAGTCAATTGTGTGTGGGAATGCCGAATGAGGGACGTGATACGAGTTCGGATAGGTTTCAATGGAAGTACAGATTAGATGTTTATTCAGAAAGAAAGTTGACAGTACAGAACAGAACCAATTCTCTCTTGATCACCTCACTCTTTTTATCATGCAGAGTCGGAGAAAGTAGAACTTTCCCCGACTTTTACAATTGTTGTACGCATGTTCTGGCTTCTCTCTTTGTCTGATGCTTATGCATCGTGACAGTTGACTGCGTTATAGTAAAGCAGAAAAGCCCTACCCTGCCCTACAGCATATTGGTGTACATACAAAAAAGCCCGCCCGGCCCTATACCCTACTTAAAAAAGCCCTAGCCTACCCTACCCTTAAAAATTCAGGGTAATAAAAGCCCGCCCGCCCAAAGCCCTATAGGGTAGGGCAGGGTAGGGTTTTTTTCGGGTATACCCTGCCCTATGCACATCTCTATAGGCCAGTACCACATTTTACTGCCCATTTGACATGCAACAGTTGACGTCCTGTATATTGTTTGTTTTATATGTAATTGACATATCAAAATTCCCATGTTGTGCTAATAAACTATTAAACTGCATTAAATGCACTAAAATAAAAATTACACTAATCCTTAATCAAGAATTAAGGGGATTAATTAATTTAATTTTTAATCCCGAATCTCAGAGAATTGAGAATTAATACAAATCCTTAATCCCAGCAAATGGAATTATTTAATCAATGGCGAAATAAAATTAATACTTAATCCTTACTCCCACAAAAAACATCATTAACCACGGATCTCTGATCAAACCTACCCTAATGGTGGAGGATCAAAAAGAAGTCCCACCACGACGATGAATTTCGCCCCTTTTTCAAATTTATTTTGGGTGTTTTTTGAATCTAACTCAAAAATTGTCATATGCAAACATGTGCAAAAAGGTTGAAGAAACAAAAAATTTAACCCGCAGGACAGCAGAGGGTCAAATTTTTATCAGACCCTCTTTAGCAGGGTCCAGCCACACGCTGGTTTTTGGGGATGACAAATGTTCAAATGTCATAAAAAATAAAACCTATTAAATACCTTTCCAAAGACACCCTATTCTTGCACTTCTGTGGACATTGAGCACACTCGAACGGACTTGAATGCGCTACTGACTCCAAATGGCTCTTAAGACGCTCCTCACTTTCAAATCGCCTATCGCACAGGTCACAAACGACGGGTTTCGTCCCGTCGACGTCATGCAGTTTCAAATGTCTCGCCAAGTTCTCCTCGAGGCAGAATTTCTTCCCGCATTTGACACAGGACAATTTCTTATCCCCATCTTTGTGCCGCATCACCATGTGCGCACCGAGGTAGCTTTGGTGACGGAACTTCCTTTTACAAATTCCACATTGATGAGAGACAAGTTCTTCGTGGGCAGTTCGTAAGTGGAGGGTTCGCTCCATGCCTGGAAAACTTGCCATATTCTACCGGCATGCAGGCAGTACAGCCACGTGGCGACGCAGTACACCTCGGGTTCTAATCCCGGTTAGGGTGTTATTTTTGCAAAAATGTATTTTTGATTTTTTTTGTGAAAAAATTACATGAATTAATTACTTTGACCCTCGCTCGAAATATATATTCTCAGAATGTTAAAATTCAGCCCCACCCACCCGAAAGCAAGGTCGCAAGTAACATTTCCGTGTGGAATTTTAAAATTGACGGGATTCGAAGGACCCGGGTGTAAATTCCTGAATTGCTGATGGATTTTCAAAATGGCGTACGTTTTGAAAACCTGTGACGATTGTGCAAAATATACATTCTCAATTTTTTTAAATTCGGTCCCACCCCTCGAAATCAAGGTCACAAGGTCAAAAAAACAAGACCCAATTCTGTATCGAGTTTGAAAATTCTACAACAGAACTGGGCGCCAAATCTTGGCGGCAAAGCTTGAAATAGTCAGGTCATCGTAAATGCTTGAAATAATTAGGTCGCGATTAGTTGGTCACACCCCCTGCATTGGAGTCATTGTGGCACACAGCACGCTCAAACTGTTTGAACAGCAAAACATTCTGTTCCGTCTTTTTCCCTAAATTAAACGTCGCCAATCCATATAATCTTGTCCATCGCCCTCGTCTTATCAACATGGCTTTGGCGTACACCCCCGGGGGACGGAGGGAGTGGCTATTGGCGCTTTATCCAATACCCAAACATAATACCGCATGTGATATATAATTTTTCTCAGCTCGTCAAGGCGATTAAGGCTAAAAAGTTCAAACTAAAAAAAACCACACCCCCTGTGGGAGTGGTTTTCGAAACACTTGTAAATCTCAGCAACCACCTCATGTGACATATCATTTTCCTCAGCGAATCAAGGCGATCACGGAACCGTAATTGACATTTAAAAAAACCACACCCCCTGTGGGTGTGGTTGTCAACACGTGTAAATCTTCGAAAGCACGTCAAGTGATATATCGTTTTTCTCAGGTCGATGAGGAGATTCTGATCGAACAATTCAAATTCACGGACCACTCCCTCAGTGGGTGTGGTCCTTGGCAACTTTTCGATTTCGACGAGACCATGTAATGTGGTATACCATTTTTATCAGCTCGACGAGGGGCTTTGGACTGAATACTTAAGATTTATGAACCACTCCCCCAGTGGATGTGGTCCTCGGCGACTTTTCAAGACAAGAAAATCGATGGCTAATGCGAAATGAGATAAATAATTGATTGCTGGCTTAACCAATAAATTCCCCTCTAGTAACTCGCTGAAGCTACGCAGCAGTAAAAATTCAACACCAACAACACACAATACATACCTATTTTTAGGAAATTTAACCTTTTTACGATGCAGCCACCTTACTTTTGGAAATTTCAGTGTTAAACTAACTACGCAGCCTCCCGTCCCTCTAGAAATTTAAACTTTTTGTCATTCGGCCACCACGTCCTGTGGAAATTTAATTTTTTTGATATGTAGCCACTCCCATGCGACAAGTATCTAGCTGTATATCCAGCCAGTTAAGTTCTTATGGATTAATTTGGATTTTTGGCGAGCGTTTGAAAATGGTGATTTTCGTGTTTTTGGCGCCTTTAAGTGGGCGTAGCGGGCGCAAATGTGGCCATGGCATCAAACCACTTGGGGGTTCTTGTTCACTCGTGGGATGCTCCAACACATCCAAAGGGAATCGAGATCTGTGTGTGGCAACTAGTGAGGTTCTCCTCCTTAGTTATGCAGCCACTCCCACAGGGGAAAATCAAATTGTACCGTGACCAGGGAAATTGAAATGCAGAATGACTTCTGACGATCTCCATGAGCTATCGCCGGTAAAAAAAAACATCTTATTTTGTTTTCCGGTATTTTAGCTCAAACACCTGTTCACCGGGATTGAAATATTCGATTTTATCAGCTTTTAAAATTTCCATGACCCCTTCTATGTAATGGCATGGGTGAAAGCACTACTGCTTTCGACAAAACTTGTCAACTTTCTCCCTCCATTGTGAAGCAACCAAAAGGCCCACTGCGGGAAAACTTCGAACGGACAATCCCCAGGGCATGCTTTAGGGTTGTTCGGAAGCGCTAGGCCCTATTCGTACTCCTTGACCTCAAAATGACATGAAGTCCACTTATAAAGTTAACTCATTCGTCACCATTCTTGAAATAGCTCCCATTTCATCAATCCTGGGTAGATTTTCTTCATTCTTGGTACAAAATGATCTGAATGGATTGTATTTTCAAAAATTTTCAATTTTTTACAAGGTCAACAAATTCTGCGCACTAACAAAAAAAGGCCAAAACGCCAAGTCTCACATAACCCCATAAGTGGGGTATCGTTGAAAAGGTCTTGGCGGGAGGATTAAGAATATATATACTTTATACGGTCTGGGACCACCCCCTGATTTAATAGAGACCGAGGAGCATTATTTATTTCAGGTTTTCCAGGTATACAAACGTTAACACAGGAGCAGATCGAGAGCTAACATTGCAATTAGATTGATGAAAACTCAATAATATTCATCGGCCTCCATATAATCAGGGGGTGGTCCCAGACCCCACAAAGTGTATATATTTTCAATTCTCCCGCCAAGACCTTTCAAATGGTACCCCACTTATGGGGTTATGGGGTTATGTGAGACTTGGCCTATATTTAGTGCGAACGCTTTTTTGACCTTGAATTTAAAATTCTTTAGGAATCTAAACAATACAACCTATTCAGATCATTTTGTACCAAATATGAAGAAAATCTATCTATGGATTCGGGATTAAGGATTAAGGATTAATTAATCCTGATTAATTCTTGATTAAGGATTAATATTGTAAAAACCAAGCTATCACCTACCCGGAGTATAGTGTCTTTACGAATATTTAATTGTGCCTTGCTCGTTGGAATTAAAGAAAGTGACTGAGTGAATATACGATTATTTTATCTACTTAAACTGGATTTTATTTTCAACAAATTATCAAATTGTCAACACAATTCAGAGCTCTGCACTAACACGAGTTGATTGGTGACTTACTATTAACAAATTAATCGTGGACATCAATTACAAAGAATTAACAATTCTTACTCTTGATTTCCTACCACGACGACTAAAATCCAAAATGTCTGACTTTGACAACGACTAAAACTCGACTGTGTAGAATTCTTCTACCTACTTACTCACTACGACTATAACAAAGAGAGACGCGCACCTAAAAATTCCACCCTGACGTCACCATGGCAACCACCACCACGTCACGGGGCAATCTTACACGCATATCCAACAATTTACAAAAATACCTAAAACAATTTCATAAATACATCATTTTACATTTAACATACTCCCACCTTCTTTTGTGAGAGCAAAAGAACTATTCTAAAAACAAATTATGCAATATCAAATTCAAATTATACTATACAATTAAATTACAAATTCCACTTCGGATACCACCCTGGTTTCTTCGAGATCCTATCTTGATCCTTACCACCAACTTCCGGCTCCTTCTGGACTTGCTTCTTCTCTTGACATCTTCTTGGAATCCTTGTATTCGGTCGCTCCCACCATTCGGCATTCTTCTCCACCACTTTCTGCACCAGCATCTTCGGCTTAATAATGGCTGGACGATTGAATCCGATGGGGTTACAAGCTTCCATCTTCCCACACGACACTTTATTTCGGTACTTGTCACTGACTAGACCAGGTACCCTTGCTGTCGAGAGTAATCTTGACGTCTTTGGAGTGTAGCTGTTGCCGTTTCCCAATCCGCACCCCCTCATGGCAGGCTGGCCGATTCTGGGAACCCCCACAACACTTCGCTCCCACCGTCTCAACTCGTCGACCTTTACACGTTTATCTTGAGTAGTCTTCTCGACTCGTTGTTGCTCCTCTTGAGTTCTTTTCTCTACAAAGCTCTTCCTTCTACTTGAACTAATTACGACACCAGCGTAATTCAACTTGCAATTGTTGACACCTGGAACCACTCCGCTGATAGTCCATCCAAACACGGATTCCACGGCGATAAATCCACAACCAAGTTTGACCATTCTTCCGGTCATCAAACTTCCCCACAGATCGCTTCCTATCAATATGTCGACTTCCGACGCTGAAGTGTCTGTCGTGTGGATCTTTTTCCGAGCCAACTCTTTACACCAAGGGCCAGGTGGGATTGCTGGGCATGCTCCACAAATAAAGTCCTCGTTGACTAACTGGAGATTCATCCTCGCACAATCCTTCCTATCGATACCGCTGGTAGTGACCCGGTAACAATTCTTTTCTTCGGTGCTAGTCACATGTCCACCGAATAAGCTATTTTGCAGAGTCAACTCGTCCACTACTTGACATTTCAATTCCTGGGCTGTCTTGGTCCTGATGTATGACCTCTGACTTCCCTCGTCGAAAAGTAGCCGGACTTCCTTCTTGACTCCACTTACTCCGCCCACTTTGACACGAAGCGTCTTCATCAGGACAACTTTACTTTTGCATCCCTGACTGAAGTTTGTGGTGGTTTCTTCCACCGAACTACTTGATTCATCTTCATTAATTGACGTCACTTCCTCATCTCGGACCTGACCAGGACACATCACAGAGTAGTGTTTCCGTCCACAAGTTTGGCAACTGACCTCCTTGGTGCAGTCATTTGCATAATGTCCTCTTCCTAGGCAGATGAAGCATCCCCGATTCTCTTTCACCAGGATCTTCTTCTCCTCGAGAGGTAATGTCTGAGCCTTATAGCACTTCTGGCTTTTGTGATTCGACTTTCCACAAAAGACACATCGCTGCTCAGCTTGATGACTTGAATAGAGACCGGCAGCAGTGGGGAAATCTTCACATTCACTCTCTGCATACACGTTAACTTTCTCTCTATTCTTGACTGGACTTTGCCTGAAGGTTGACAGCACAAATTTTCTTTCTTTGGCATTCTGTGCCTCCAGCCGCAAAAACTCCATCAAATTTTCTAAATTGGTAGCAGAAGTTGAATCCGATTTCTTCTCGCGTACCCTTAAGTTACTATTCTGCCAACGGAGTAACACTTGCTGTGGCAGACTGGATTCCACTAATGGATAAATGAGTTCACTTGGATCACTAACTTTCCCCAAAGACTCGAGACTTTTCAAATGACCTTCCAACTGGTCATGCAATTCTTCCACGTCGGCATCTTCTCTTGAATCCGCGGCGCTATTGATAGCCAGGCCCAACAATTGTCTAATATAAATTTGGCGTAAAATCTTCTCATCACCAAACCGGGACTTCAGCTTCTCAACCACCAATGGATAATTCTGATCCGAGCGCGGATAAATCTTGATCACTTTCTCTGCTTCTGATCCGGGGACGATGGCTTGCACCAAATACTGAAACTTCACGTTGACTGGTAACTCTCCATCTTCGTGAATCTGACGGTATTGCGCCCACCACCCCAACCAATTCTTCCAACTCCCATCGAATTTCTGTAGCTCGATCTTGGGCAGTTTGAAGCTTCTATCCTTTTTGATACGCTCCCCATTCACGGTGACATAGCTGCTACTTGCACTCGGACTTGGTGGACGGATTTCTGCATTAAGAATCTTCTCAATATCCATGATAGAAACTCTGATTCTATCTGAATATTCTTCATTCACTGCACTCTCCTCCCCATAAGACTCCGCCGTGCAATTGTCATCCAACATCTGGGTAAGCACTTTTTCATCATGTTCTCTGATCGACGTCTGCAGGGATTCCAACTTCCTTAACTTGATGGTAAGTTCTCTCGAGTCCTTTGGATCTTTCGCCAACTCAGCAACTACACCATCCACCGTCTTGGTAATGGAAGCTCGAACTGGAGCCCTCGCCTTCTTCAGTCGATCCATGATGTTATCTCAAATCCAACAAACAAAACAATTAGAACAGTACACGCTTATTAACTCAATCAGCAACAATGCCGACCTCTATGGCTCCCGAACGCTCAGGATGGGGCCCTCAACGAGGCAAGACAGTAATTGATTAATAGACGAATAAAGTTGAAGTTCCTCTCGGTCGGACACGCCGATGTCAATCTGGTCGGTCACTCCTTCCTCACGGACTACTTCACAGCAACAATAAAAACTAGAAAGGTATCACCTGAACAGCCCCCGAACACTCAGGGTCGGGTCCTCAATGAGGCAAGGCTTGATGTGAATCCTCTCCTTTGAATCTGCTCCTCGTCCAGACAGCAACAATCGCCCAGGATTTCCACGGAACACTTTTTGCACGTACACCAATTCAATCTGCTCCTCTTCCAGACAGCAACAATAGCACAGGATTTCCACGGAACAGTCTTTTGCACGTACAACTAATTCACTCAAAAGGTAACAACTCACTGACCAACTATAACTAGTCCACTTTCAACTAAAACTGACCCAACGAGCAATCACGTCGAGGTCACCACTAATGTAAAAACCAAGCTATCACCTACCCGGAGAATAGTGTCTTTACGAATATTTAATTGTGCCTTGCTCGTTGGAATTAAAGAAAGTGACTGAGTGAATATACGATTATTTTATCTACTTAAACTGGATTTTATTTTCAACAAATTATCAAATTGTCAACACAATTCAGAGCTCTGCACTAACACGAGTTGATTGGTGACTTACTATTAACAAATTAATCGTGGACATCAATTACAAAGAATTAACAATTCTTACTCTTGATTTCCTACCACGACGACTAAAATCCAAAATGTCTGACTTTGACAACGACTAAAACTCGACTGTGTAGAATTCTTCTACCTACTTACTCACTACGACTATAACAAAGAGAGACGCGCACCTAAAAATTCCACCCTGACGTCACCATGGCAACCACCACCACGTCACGGGGCAATCTTACACGCATATCCAACAATTTACAAAAATACCTAAAACAATTTCATAAATACATCATTTTACATTTAACAAATATAATTTTTATTTTGCTATGTTGAATTATTGACACAGCGATATTCATATGTCAAATGCATACAATGCAATGTATTTGTGCAATGTTACGTTAAGTACGTAATAAAATTTGATGTTGGCTTAATATTCATATCAATTATGGCAAGTTTTAGTGCACAAGCTATACCCTTGGCCTTTACAGAGCCGCAAGACTTATCAAATTCTTCGACATAAAAAATTTGCCAATCAAAACAAATGGCAAATCTTTCAGTTCAGTTAGGTTACTGTTCGCCAAGATTAACTTTTGAATCAGTATTTTTATGGAAGCATCAACTTAAAGTTAAGAATATAATACACTTGAACTTCAGGAAAGTAGAGAGTGTGGAAAAGTATAGAATGGTTGAGAATAACTGTTACCTCGCTCCATTTGTGATTAATCTCTCATGAGAATTAATCCTAATCGTGATTAAGGATTAATAATTTGAGCACGCTTCGTCGGGATTAAGCATTAAGGATTAATGGAGTGTAAATGTTTCGTCGGGATTAAGGAATAATTTCACACATTTTTTATTGGGATTAAGCATTAAGGATTATTAATCCTTAATCCCAATCCTTAATCACGATTATTTAATCACGGATCCCTGGTCATAGATAGCACGTTGTGGTAACAAATATCGTCGAATCAGCATTATGTTGTTACAGAACTAACAAGCTAACCACAAAAGAATCATGTCCCCTAAAAATGGCGATGACCGTGTTGCATTTGCATAAACGCTCTGAAAAGGTGGATATTTGATTACCTAAAGAATTGCATCACCATATCCTTTGCAACGATGAATTTATTTCAAATCTCGTTGCTTTCAAGCTTACACTGACAAAACAGAAGATATATAACAAATTAGACCCATCATTAACGAGTCATTCATATGATTGATTATGATAGAGAATGATAGTAACTGAAAATGAATTTCCCGTGACTTGCATGAAAATGAGTGAATGATTCAGTCATTTCAGATGGGTAACTGTGAATGATCTCTCACCCCTTTCAATTTTCACCCTATGCTTAATACATGGAGCGAAATAAGAAATGAAGCCAGATGATGTAAAATAAAATGAGCTTGAAAGAAAATGACCGTGAATGAAAATCTTCAGTCAGAAATCGGATGACTGATCTTTGAATGAAAAAAGTTTTTCTGAACAGGTATGTGTACAATCGGTGGCGTTTATTTCTGCACCTATGGGGTTGTATTGTAAATAAAAAATTATATCCTTCTGCGTAGCCCGTCCCTTGAGCTGAGGGAAATATAATGCCATATGCCAAATCCGAATAGCTTGAGGGGACCACGCACATTTGGGGTGTGGTTCGTAAATTTTAAGTATACAGTCGAGATCCCCTAGTGGTACAAAATGAGCCAAAAGTGCAAGTCTTTTTCGCATCGATTTCACCAAATTGCACATAAAAAATTACAAATTCAGTTTTGGGTGGGGGGATTAATATAGCATAGCTGTTTTTGAATTATATTCAACCACACCCCCTTCAAAAATTGGGGAAGAAAATTGGGAAAAATGAGAAGGTCAATGTACACTCGGTATCTAGAAGTAGATACCAACTTGCATTTGACATTTGACTTCCCTCATGAATATGAACATTTTGATGCATCAAGACTTTCAAAATTCGAAAATTGGCGGTTTTTCGACCTACATATAAATCGTTAAAAAAGTGACCTTAGCGGTCATTTCGCGGCTGACAACCTGATGCCAGATTTTTCTTCGTCAGAAGTGCCACATTTTCCGCTTTTGTTGTCCGCTGCGAAATGACCGCTACCATGACTTTTTTGGGGTCAAAGTTTCTGAGGGAGGGGCTTATACGGCAGGAGCCGTAACAATGTATAGGTATTTATGATATACATAAAGGTAATTACATAGAAGCTATTAAAACAGCCTCAAATCGCCCCAAATTTAAAACTTAAGCTTTTCTGAATTTATAATGATGATATGCATTCGAAAATTAACGCTATGAGGCTTATCAACGAAGTTATCAATTTTTCAGATAAGCAAATTTAGTTTATCCAAATCGCCCCAAACTTAAAACTTAAGCTTTTCTGAATTTATAATGATGATATGCATTCGAAAATTAACGCTATGAGGCTTATCAACGAAGTTATCAATTTTTCAGATAAGCAAATTTAGTTTATCCAAATCGCCCCAAACTTAAAACTTAAGCTTTTCTGAATTTATAATGGTAGTATCCACTCGAAAATAAACGCTATCGGGCTTATCACTGCGCTTATCAGTTTTTAAGATAAGCAAATTTAGTTTGTCCAATTCGCCCCAAATTTAAAACTTAAGCTCAACGATTTATCAACTGAACCAACTCGTGTAAGAGATGAAAAGCATCTCAACACGAGTTGGTTCATAATCCCGGTAAACAATTTGAAGAGAGTGAGAAGTGAGACGGACCACCATACGGCACTGGCAACGACAGTCAGCGGTGGTGGTGGATACCCACCAGAATCCGAGTCTCACTCTGCCTTTCGCTAAATAATGGAAACTGCGTTTGTGAAACGGTTGGGCTGGTTCAGCTCTAGTTCAGAGGTCGACGCCGACAAACTTTCGGCGGCGGCGGCGCCAGTTGATGATTTTTTTAGCGGTGTCGGCGACGCGGCGCAGCGTCGCAATGTTAAAGGTATAGGAAATCAAATTTTTCGGCGGCGGCGCGTAAAATAGTACCGGCGTTCAGCGGCGCGGCGGCGTCGACCTCTACCCTAGTTGAGCTGAGAGAATTGATATATCACAAGACATGTTCTCGTTAAAACCGAAAAGTTGCCGACGACCACTCCCACTACGGGTGTGGTCCATAGATTTTAACTATTCCACCTATATCCCCTGAGGGAGCTGACAAAATTAATGTCACATGACATGGATGTGCCAAATTCGAAAAGTCGCAGATGACCACACCTACTGGGGGTTAGAAGTGAGCCGGGCCTGGGCTTTAAGTGGGCTAGCCCGGGCCCGCCCAGGCCCATTGGGCTTTGGGCGGGCGGGCCTGCCACGAACCGGGCTTGGGCGGGCCTGGGCTTTTGAGGAACCAAATTTAGTTGGGCCGGGCCTGGGCGGGCTTTTGCCCAGCCGGGCTTGGGCTTTTTAGGAAAAGCCCAAGCCCATCTCATATTTTTTTGGGGGTGAATGGGACACTGTTCAAAATTGTAGCACACCGGTAGAACTACATATGGACTTCTTGATGTTTTTTTCAATTCACCAGTTATTTTCTTGTACAACAGAGTTATGTACTTGTTTCTTTCTGTGATCATTACATAATTTAATTTACATTATATAAATATACATACATACATACATACGTATGTACATATCTTTTTTTATTTACATATCCTTATTGCCTATGCTAAAACCACAGCAAAAACTTCTTGATATATATTCAAAAAATTTTACACTTAAGGAATTTGAAATTAGTCCCAGATACTACACAGCCTGACACAGCTATTTTACTGTAATCAATTAAAAGTTGCAACTCTTTCAGGACGTTTTAATTCAGGTGGTTTAATTTTTACCTTCATCTTGATAAGTAATGTAATCTTCCAAATTTTAGGGTGCCCTTCAATAACTATCTTGAGTGCTAGGTATTTTTGGTAACCGTTCATCTAAACCTAGCCTTTAAAAAAAGCCCATTGGGTAGCCCAGTGGGCCTGGGCCTGGGCGGGCTTTTTTCACAAAAAGCCCAATGGGCTTGGGCGGGCCTGGGCTCAATTTTTCCGGGCCTGGGCGGGCCTGGGCTTTTCAACCGGGCTTGGGCGGGCCGGGCTTTGAAAAGTCCAGGCCCGGCTCACCTCTACTGGGGGTGCGGTTTTAAATTGATAGTAAGTCAGTTAAAATGTCCTCCTCTTCCTCAGAAGAAGGATATATAATATGACATGGTTTTATTAAAATCTAAAAGTTTTTGAGAACCACGCCCATTGGGGGTGTGATTTCCGAATTTTAATTACTGTCGAGATCCCCTCGTTGAACTGAGAAAAATGATGTATTACATGACATGGATGTGCCAAAATCGAATAGTTGCAGATGGCCACACCCACTGGGGGTGCGGTTTTAAAATTATAGTAGGTCAGTGGAAATCTCCTCATCGTCCTGAGAAAAATGATATATCATATGACATGGTTTCTTTGAATTCGAAAAATCGCCGAGGACCACACCCACCGAGGGTGGGGCACCCGACCCTTTGAACATTGCTCAGAGTGCCCAGGGGGTCGAGGTATTTTTTCGCCATGCAACTCGATTTTTGTGCTTCCACACAGAAATGTTACTTGTTTTTTGACCTTGTGACCTTGATTTCGGGTGGGTGGGGCTGAATTTTAAAATTCTGAGAATATATATTTCGAGCGAGGGTCAAAGCAAATAGTTCATGTAATTTTTTCGCAAAAAAAGTTGAAATTATACAAAAATAGCACCCCAGCCGAGATTAGAACCCGAGGTGTACTGCGTCGCCACGTGGCTGTACTGCGTGCCGGTAGTACACTTTGGCCAGTTTTCCAGCCATGGTTCGCTCTCTTACGGAACGAAACGTGGCTGTGCAGGACGCCGCGATGCAGGGAAGACTGTGGGAGCGGGTGGTATGGCGAAAAAGGGAAATTTTGTTCGTGAAATGTTTGGCACACTTGGTGCATTTGTGAGGGCGCATGGGGTCAGAAGTCGATGGAGTCGACGTGGTCAATTTTTGGAGCCCAATCTTTATCATCATCAGGGGTTGACTTGGTATCGTCGTCTTCTTCTGAAGATTCCGAATTTGACATTGGATTGGATGTTATCTGTTTTGGGGAAAAGACACGTGTGGGTGGAGCGGTTTGGTTTTTGATGCGGGGTGAGAACCGTGGCGCCGACGCTTCCGGTTTATCGGGCTGCAGCTTGTTCTGTTTCATAATTGTATTTGGTGGAGAACGAGACTCTTCTAGTATTTCGCGTTTCGCAGTGCTACAAGTTCATGATTATTCTATTATTTACTAATTTAAGTGTTCAAGGTTGCAACCTTATGACATGAATTTATTAAAATATTTGATGATGATTGTCATACCGGGACTTTTCATGGCTATTTGGCGATTTATTATCGGGACAAGGAATAATACAGAAGGCAGTGTCATCCTCCTCACGCAGCAAATCTTCGTCTTTTGTTTGGTAGACACTTGTTTGGGTGTATGAATCGGGCTCATCGTCCACGAATTGGTCGCCGAGGGAGCCAACGTCATCTTCCTCTACTTTTACTTGAACCTCGTTCTCGGCTGGTACAAAATTCTCTACTATTGACACCATTCAAATGTTAGAATTTATTAAATTTAATTAGTACCGAACTTAATTTTTCAAAAAGACCAAACCTGCCACGCGGAGAAACATGTCACAAATTTGTAGAATTTTCTTCTTGTCCTTATTCTATTTTTTCCATCTTCGACCATGCAGCGCATGGAAGTTGATGTGAAGGGATAGTATGGAATCACGCCAGCCTATGTTAATTTGAGGGAGGTCGTGTGGGGTCCCCTTGAGACATAGAACAATGCGAGTAACGGTATTACAATCACCTCCCAAATATAGAGATAGGGTACGCTTACCGTTTTTCAAAATTTCGAAAACTTTTTGAAATATTCATGTTAACGTACTATGAACTCGTGTGCCGTCATTTCAACACTAAATATTTTTTCAAATGATCTGGGTGAACGATCGACAAAAACGGCCAACTGGGTCACATACAAGGATGGTTAGGTAACAACAAACGTTTGAAACTTTTTTTGAAATAAAGCCTCCTTTAGGCGGGAAAATTAGAAATGCCATATTTGAGGTCACTCACAAAATCAATTTTTTGAATCTCTCGCATATTGATCATATTCCTGAGGGTCGCGTGCACTGCCCTCATCATAACCATATTTTCGAAATTCGCTTTCCCTGAAAAGTTATAGCAGGTTTCCTGAAAAGTTGTATTTCTTTACATAAACACATACGGAATATCTCAAGATACCCCCACTGGGTGGGAATCATTACAATCATAACTGTACATGTATTGTTTATTCAGTCAGCAGATTTTCTTTTAATTAAATAAATTTGTGAAATTAAATAAAATTAATTAATTAAATTATCCAAAATAGTTTAATATGCCGTCGCGAGTACAAAAGCTTCGACTTTACGACCATCATCGAAATTCGGTCAAAGCAACCCTTCAAGGCGACAGTCCAGGAACAGAGGTGCCAATGGAAGTAGATGTCGCCGAGGACGAAGAAGTGACCTCGACACCACAACAGCGGCTGTTTATCAAGAACATTAACCAAGTTTGTGATCGAACATGTTTCATATGTGATCGAATTTGGTACGACAAGGGAATTAGGTAAGTCTGAACTGCGTAACTATATAATTTAGTAAAAAATAAGTCGGTGTGGAAATTTCAAAATAATAAATACTATGTTTTATTGGTCAGATCTCTTACCATAAATCAAGCAATTTACAACTTGCTTGCCACGATAAATAATAATTATGATGCCGGTATGAAAAATTGTCTACTGCCAAACGTTGGAAATAAAATTGACTGCTGTAGACGTTGCTATGACAACTTTAATAAGGGAAAAGTTCCACCCGCCGCATTGGTCAACAACATGAAGGTCCCCATGTCCCCGATCGAGATATGCATCCTCACGGACATAGAGGCTAGAATGATCAGTCGGGCGAAGCCATTCCTCAAAATCCACAAATTGAGTCGCGGCCGTGGACAAGCAGCACTCAAAGGCCAAGTCGTCCATTTCGCCCAGAGCATTGAGGAGGTCCAGGAGCAGCTTCGACTTGGTCCTAATAGTACTTACGGCACAATAATTGTTACAGAAACGGTTGGCGATTTCCCCCATTCGTCGACATTTGAAATGACCAAATGGCAAGTAGCTAACACTTCAACAAAAATTAACTATGCTCTTAAACGAAATAGAAATTAACATTTAAAAATTATATTTTAGTGCTTCGTGAGGCTCTAGAATGGCTACTAACTCACAACCCAGGATATTCAAACGTGACGTTGGAGCACTTCAATGTGGACAAAATTCGATTTGACGATGTAATTGTGACACAGAACAAGGATAACCTCCCTCCCACTCAAGAAATTCCAAGCAGACGGGGAAGACCCCGTGTTGAAGGCGGCTACATTGCCATCCCCGGTAAACCCTGGATGTCGACAATGCGTCTAAGTTTTAGTCAAGGGTCAGATCGATTTGTGAGATCGGGAACTGGGGGTAAGCAGTGCACGGCCATGGCAGCTTACGCTGCAGTCAAGCCCCCGGGATTTGGACTGTTCAGGACGGCGACCGAGTTATGACTGCAGGGGACTACTACTACCAACAGTGTCATACCAGAATAATAGGTGAAATTTGAAGTTTTTATGCCAAATAATTTTGTATAACAATTACATATCTATTCAGATCGTAATGCAGCTCGAATCATCCAAACAGGCGAGGAACGACCAGTCATTTACGATTTCCTAAATGCTGATGAGATTGAAGGTCAAATTTCCAACGTTTTCGGAAGTACCGTCACCATCAACTTGGTGGGTGGCGGAGAGGTATTTTATGCAGCCTTCAACAAATGGATAGCACAGGTGGACGAGTTTGCCAGAAGATCTGTAGCGACCGCAATTAATGATTTCGTTTTGAGTAACTCCAATTATTCCTTGATCACTGGGGGTAAGATATAAATAAAAACTAAATATAGGCACCCACTAATTAATTTTAATTAAATTGAAAATAGGTCACTATTCTATGGCATTGATCAAAAATGGAGATCATTACTTTGACAGTCACGCGAGATCCCCGCAGGGCATGGTATCAAGGGCAGCGGTTCAGCAGGCATTAATCCTAAAATTACAACGACAGCAAGAAAGCTATAGCCATCTCTGTAAAATAATCAACAACAATTGCGCTCAAGGAGTCGACGCTGCTATACTCACAATCACTCCCTTAACTATCACAGTTATCGCAGAGGAAGCGGAAGTTCCCCTTACGCCGTCACCTCCTGTGGATGCCCATGATTCGGGCGCTCCTTTTGGACAAGAGGCACAGGAAGATTGTCTGATACACCACATCGATTTTGTTGAACCACGACTCGAGATGTTTAGAAATATTAGTGTTGCACTTTCCGCAGAAGGTTCCATTCCTGCTAATATAAATCTTCATCGTACAGGGGTGCCACCGGTCAGTGCGCGGCTTGAAGATCGTTTGGAAGAAAAATGTTTCATTCAATGCTTCCCACATGGGCGCTACGGTCTGGACGAAAGCAGAGACGAAGCTCATACAAGAAAATTGACCCCACATGAATATTTTAACGCTCGAGTGATGTCTGCAGATCGACGATTTCATCGAAACGACTACCTCTTCTATGCCCTCTCCAGATCTGAACAATCAATCATTAACTCTAAGATTGCCGTGTGTGGGAACATGAAATTCCAGGATGACACCAATGAAAATGCTCCAGCTGCTGAAAATATTCATCTTTACATGAGTGCTATTCGAGGTTCCAAGTCGTATTGGAAGAAATATACTGGAGACATCATGGCATTAGTTACGAGATTGGGTCCACCTACATTCTTTCTGACTGTTTCAACAGACGATATTGGTTCCATTGATATCCTCACTGCAATGTGGAAATCATCTCGTGACGATCCAGTTCCGCCAAACATTCAGAGTCTTCCTTACGACAAACGGCGTGAGCTACTTAATTCTAACCCTGTTGCAGCCGCTCGTCATTTTAATTTGAGGACACAAGAGCTGATAAAATTGCTGACCTCTGATCCTACAATATTCGGTGGACGTGTAATTGATTACACATTTCGAGTAGAATTTCAAGACCGAGGTAGCCCACATTTGCACTCGCTCATTTGGGTGGAAAATGCACCGGATTTTGCTACTCCAGAAGGGATCGCATTCATCGATGCAAACGTTTCGTGTAAGCTCGACGGGGGAGAATTGACCGACATCGTTAGACGCTACCAAACCCACAAACATACGGCTACATGTTTCAAAAAGGAGAAGTCCTGCCGTTTTGGATTTCCTCGAGAACCTGTTGCCAAAACTAGCCTTGCAGCTGAAGAGGATAGTAGGAGTCGAGGGAGAGGGGTGATTTTGCGACGAAGCGTGACGGAGGGGTGGATAAATAATTACCATCCAAAGCTTTTAAGATTGCTAAGATGTAATATGGATATTCAGCCAGTAATTGGCGTTGCAGCAGTCGCCCTATATATTGCAAAATATATTGGCAAGAACGAGTCCGAAAACATGCGAGACGACATCCGTCGTACGCTTCACTCTCTTCGACAAAATCATCTTCCAATTCGCGCCCAAATGGAGAAAGTATCGCGACTTTTAATGAACCATCGTACAGTTTCCTCTCAAGAATGTGCTGCCCGGGTATGTAACTTGCCAATGCGATTTTCGTCACGGGGATTTGTTTTTATCCCCACATTTCGACCTGGGGATCGGATTCGTATGTTAAAAAAGGACGCCTTTCTGGATGGCAATGAGGTCACCTTTGCAAGGTAAATATAGACGAATAAAACTTTATAAAGTACTAAATATAAGGAAATTAAGGCGTACTTCAAAATTTGACTATAAATATTTGTTCTAATTTAATATTTAGCAACATCATCGACAAGTACTGCCAGAGACCGGATGTGCTAGAAGATATTTGCCTATTTGAGTTTGCCTCAAAATACAAACCACGTCAAGGGTACCAACAACCGGATGAGGATCTGGACGAGGGAGAAGAGGAGGAGGATAGAATGGTGGAAGGACAAAAATCTCGTCCCTTCAATCTCAAAGATAGCAGGATGGGTGTATGGGCAGAAAGGGAGACACATGCCATAGTAAAGTGTCCTTCGTTCCACAGTGATACTGACGCGTCCAACTACATCTATGCTCATATGCTGCTATACATTCCTTTCCGTAACGAAGAAGAAGAATTGATGATTGCAGGAGAATCTGTTCAAGAATGTTACGAGCGAAGGAAGCATGATATGAGAACGAATTCCGACTTTCCGCTCATTAAAATCGACATGGAGAAAGCCCTTGAAGCTGCCGTGGCGAAAATTACGGACATTCAAGAAGATGCTGAAATTCAACCATTCGACGATGATAACCTTCTTGACTTTCCCGACGTTTATAATGGTAGCAATGTTGTAGTGCCACCGCAGAACGGCTACGACATTCCACTTATGGATGAAGAAAACTTTGCCGCAGAGTTGATGAAAATGAATTCGGGACAAAAACAGGTGTATGACCTCGTTAAACGCTACCTGTAGACATTAGAAATTCGCAACTCAAGTTGTTTATCTCAGGGGCTGGGGGGACAGGGAAATCATTCTTAATTTCTCTAATAACCAACTTAATACGAACAAATGAGTTTGGACCTGGGCGTGACGGTGTAGTCTTAGCCGCCCCAACAGGAGTCGCTGCGCTTAACATCAACGGACAAACACTCCATCGCACATTTCATCTTGCTGTGGAATCCGGAAGTGTACCCAACTATGCAAAACTTGGTGCTCAAATGTTACAACGGATGCGGGATAATTTTAAGGATGTCGAATGGATCATCATGGATGAAGTTTCCATGATCTCCTATGAGGTGAGTTGATGTAGTAAATTTAAATTTTAAGAATATGCAAAATTTGCTACCTTAAATTATTGTCTTTGCCACAAAATAGGTTTTTAAGCAAATTGATCAACGACTTCGTGACTGCTTCGACACTGAAATTCCGTTCGGAGGGAAGAATATCATATGCGTCGGTGATCTATTCCAACTGGAACCTGTAAACGGACACTGCATCTACGATACTCCGCGACTCTTCACTGGGGAGGCTAACATCTGGAATTCGTTCGAATTTAGAGAATTAACAGCTAACATGCGCCAGGGAACAGATCCGCTATTGCAAATTTGCAACAATCTTCGTGAGGGCAACATCACAACCGAAGACCTTGAAACCCTAAGGACCAGAGAGCTACGCGATGATGACACGTCTGATCACATGAAAAAGATGCATGAGAAATTTCAACAGGCCATACGAATCTACCCAACACGGACGCAAGCGGCACGCTATAATAAGCTTCGGACAAACCTTCTCCGCGATGACCCCAACACGACCGTCTACAAGATCCGAGCAATAGACACATTTAACTCTGGTGCAAAGCTTGGATATCACGCGCCTCCATCACGTAGTTCCAGTGATAGCAATAAATGTGGTGGTTTTCCGTCTTCAATCGAGCTTGCGGTTGGTTCAAGGATTATGGTCATCCGTAATTCTACCTCTAATCGGTATCTAGTGAACGGATCGATGGGAACAGTTGTTGGGTTCACGTGGAGCATGTTGGCCAGGGAGCAACACCACATTGGTGACATGCCCTCCGCAGTCCGCGTCAGATTTGATGATCCTAGGATATCTGGAAATGCTGATGGTGTATTCGAGCTGGGACCTGATGACGTCGTCTACAACAACGGACGTGGCGGTGAAGAAATCCGTCGCCGAATGCTTCCAATCGTGCTTTGTTGGGCTGTTACGGTCCATAAAGTCCAAGGGATAACGGTGGATTTAGCGGTCATATACTTGGGACCCGAACTCTTTGCTCATGGACAAGCATATGTGGCCCTAAGTCGTGCTAGGACACTAAATGGTGTAGCTATTCTACAACAGGACGACTCAAAGTTATGCCAATTGCCTAATGCTAAATTAATTGTTGAAATTCAAAGACTTAGAAAATTGTTGGTTCACTAAGAATAAGTAAATGTATACATTTACTTATTCATTATAATGAATATGAAATAAATATGTGTATCATTGCAATTCAGCGGAAAAAAAAAATAATTATGCGACAATACCGCTGATAGCCACTTATTTTTTCCATCTACTTCCTTGCAACGTTGAAGTATATATATGATTAGCGTTGTAGAAGGTTTTCATGCCATCCAATATTAGTTTGAGGTAGGTGGATTGATAGAAAGAACAAAACGTTGAAAAATAGGACGGAAAAATAGATGATTTTCCGCGGTTTTACCGCACAACTTGTTTTGTACATGGGAGGAATCGTGCAAAATTGTGGCGTGATTTTTCCTCAATTTCCTCCTCTAGGAGTGAAATTTGCTTCCTAATTTCTTCCAGTGTTCTCAAAATAGGATAACAATCGGTACAAAAGTCACACATTTCGTCGGCATCAAAACCATGCTCAGAAATTTTGTAATTTTGATGACACGTTGTTATTAATTGACAGAGGGTTTTGATTTTGATTTTCTGACGGGATTTGGCTGTCGTGTCGTCGACAACTCGTAAACACAGGAGGCAGACCTGCTGGCTCGTCATGTCGAATGAATCTTCTAGAGATAAATAAAAATGTAATGTAATGTAACGTAAGATAATTAATTGACGTAGGTATTTTCAAAAACAAAATTAATTAAATTTAGGCAAATTGATAAGTTTTGAACTAACGTGCTTTGTTTAAACAAGACACAAGAATGTAATACCTCAATAAGTATTTTACTTTACTACATACTTAGGCAAATTAATTGTTCATTGTTTTTTAGTTTAATTTGGCGATAAAAATCTGGTAAAAATTCTGAGGTTTCATTTTCTTGGGCGCCAACCACTCATCTTACGTACGTGTCTCTTGTTAAATTGAAGTATAAAAATTTGGCGAAAATTCAGCTGCAAGGTTTGTTTTTATTTACAAATTTGTCAGCGGACTCAAACTCGTGCCAAAAAACGAGAGTGCACGTCTCAAAAACGAAATTATTTACATCACGAAACAAAGTCAAGTTTCATGAGAAACTCGTCTGGGGCCGTACATAAAGCATGTCAGCAATTTTGGATGTTTTTTACCCACTCCCCTGGTGAACACCTTGTGACATTAAACAAGGCCGGATAGGATGTCTGGACCGCTACCCCACTTTCAAATCGACTATGTACATACTTTTTGCAATTAGCACAATCCATGCTGACATCGTCAATGTGAGTTTCATCTTTTCATGCAAAACTTTACTCTACGACTACGAGCACTATAGTGAATTAAATAATTCCTTCAATTAATCATTTATATTATAATATAATATAATTTTCCTATAATCTGCAATCATACATTATATTTAACATGTGAATCAACTAATTTAAAGTATTATCATTAAGTTGTATCAGTTATTAGATATTATCTAACACAAACATATTAATATGTGTGTGCATATTTTAAGGGACTCACTCTTATAATTTAATTTGTACTCTGATATCACTTTAAAGATCCTAGTAATTCTTTAACACAAACTATCCAAAGTGAAAAAAATTGAAATTAACAATACAAATTAGAAACTTTACTTTAATCACTGTCTTCTTCTGCATGAAACACATCCTTTTTTGATCTTGGCAACCTGTTCTTCTTCTCCGGAACGACGCCATGGGCCGTTTTCAAATGCAGAGTTAGCGCCGACTTGACGGCGAACCCTTTTGCGCACTGGTCGCAGATGAAGGGCCGCTCTCCCGTGTGCGCTTGGCGAATGTGACATCTCAGGAAGAAAGGAGTGGTACATCCTTTGTCGCAGTGGGGACATTTGTGCGGGGTGGGGGCGACGTAGCCCGGAGTGTGGATGACCTTCACATGATTATTTAGATGTGTCCTTGACTTGAAGGCCTTATCGCACTGGGGGCAGGGGAAAGGTCGCTCGCCCGTGTGAGTTCTCATGTGAACGTTGAGATACGAGAGGCCGAAAAAACACGCGCCACAAGTCTAGAGATCAATACAATTTTGGAAATCAAAATCAAAGAAATAACAATTGAAATGTGACATAAAGAAAGTATTATTCTCGCAAATGCATTGTCAGGAACGTTTAAATTGTTTTTTTAATCTTCCAAAAAAAATTATTTCGAATTTTCACCTCGCATTTGTGCTTCTTTTCACCCGCATGGATTTTCTTGTGGTGGTTTAATCCTCCCCGTGTTGTAAAAGAAGCTCCGCTTTTTCATATGTAAAAAATTACTACTATTATACATCCGCATACAAATTATTGTCTGGAAAAATATAGTCATATACCATTCATCACAAACGAACGGGTCCTTTCCATGCACCTTGACAAGGTGAGATTGTAAGTCATTCCATGATGCAAATGTTTCCCCACAAGTACCGCATTTCCTTCCAAACTTGCCATCGTGACGGCTGAGGTGCGTCTTGAGGTCGGCATGAACATAAAACCCTTTCCCACAAATGTGGCAAATATGGGTGGGAGGCCCGGAAGGATGGGCGCGTGCGATGTGGTCTTGCAGGTTATACTTATCGGCCGCGGTGTGGTCACAGTGAGGACATTTGTCAGGTTTTTCCTTCGTGTGTGTGTTCAAGTGTCTGGAATAGTGAATGAATAATAAAGTCGTCAGGTTCGATTTCTCGTGCTCGTGCAAATTTACGGCGAATCGTAATGAATCTGGCTGGGCCAGAGGCTGGACCACAAAGATCTAAAGAAAAGACAGCGTTCTATGCTGGATTCTTTAAAAAAGTTAAAAAAAAGTCCCGTAAAAAATTAAACCACATTTTTGGGAGGAAACCATGAAAAACTATGCCGTTTCCCAAAATACTTAACTCACGGAATTAAACGATTTGAGAGATTGGCTCGTAAATATAGCTACTTCCGGTCTTAATGATTTATGGGGAAAATCCGAAAATCATCAGACAGATCGATCATGACAGACCAACGGGAAAATAAGCCTCATTGATTTAAAATTACAAATACCGTAAAACCAAAACTACATATTTTTCACCTTTCCAGAGCCACCCTATTCCTGCACTTCTGTGGACATTGAGTACACTCGAATCGTTTAGTATGCGTTGTCATGGCCATGTGTTTCTTAAGGAGCTCTTCGTTTTCACATCGGTCATCGCACAGGTCACAAACGAGCGGCTTAATCTCCTCGACTTCATGCAGTTTCAAATGTCTCGCCAAGTTTTCCTCGAGGCAGAATTTCTTCTCGCACTTAACGCAGGACAATTTCTTCTCCCCGTCTTCATGCCGCATCACCAAGTGAGCAGCGAGGCCCTTTAGTCCACGGAACTTGGTTTTGCAAATTCTACATTGATATGCGCGACCTTCGTGGTCAGTCAGCATGTGGGCGTCCCTGTCTCCTTTGCTGTAAAAAGTGGCGGTGCATAAGGGAAAGATGCAGAGAGTAATGCGGCACTTGGGGGTGTGGCGATTAAGGGCTTGTTTTGTGGGGAAGGATTTTGCACATTGGGTGCATTTGTGGAAACGGGGCCGGATATCGTCAGAAGTGTCGACGAACTCAATTTTGGAAGCCAAATCCTTATCATTGCTGCCAGGTCCAGGTTTTGCATCGTCGTCTTCTACTGATGATTCCGATTTTGATATTAGATTGGACCTTTTAATGACACGGACCTGCACAAGACTATTGAAATGTATGGGTGGAGCGGTTTGTTTGTTTGTGGGTGAGATTCGCGGCGCCGACGCTTCTTCTGCTCCTCGCTGTAGTTTAGTCTTTTTCGAATTTGTTTTTGGTAAAGGAGAACCTTCTATTCTTCGTTTTGTAGGACTAGAACTAGAAATATGCAAATTTAGTGCGTTAGTAGCCAATCATTACATTAGTAAATTTTTCCTCAATGTACAATTCTCTTGTTTCCTAACTAACTGCAAACCATGACATGAATTTGAATATTGGAATATTTTTAACTCTCTTACACACCATTTGGGATTTTCTTCGCGTTTTGTCGAGCTGGTTTGAGGCCAAGGAATAATACAAAAAGCAGATTCTTCGTCTTCATCTTCAATGAAATCTTCCTCCTCTGTTTTTTCAATGCTTGCCTCGCAGAAAGAATTAATGTCGTCGTAGAGTAATTGATCGCCCAGATCGGCGAGGGGATCAATTTCATCTTCTTCCTCTTTGACATCATCCTCATTTGGTACGAAATTTGTGTCACGTTCGGTACCACTTTCTCCTAATTGAAAACAAAGAATATTTAATAGAAAAAAACATAATTAAATTTACAAAATATGGAACCTGAGAAAATGTGTTCCAACTTGACTTGGGCCTCGTCATGTTGCTCATTCTCACCTACAAATATAATTGAAATGAAATTGAGTTGATATTTATAAATTAGTCAGTCATTCATTATTTAATTTTTTTATCGTCCAACCTGTCAGTTTTAGAAGTATGTTACGAATCTGTATAATTTTCCCGTTTCTATTATTTTGTAAGTGAGAGGAAGACGCGTGCAAAATTGTGGCCTGAATTTCCCTTACTTTCGACACAATTTCTTCCTCCAGGAGTGAGATTTGGCTCCTAATTTCTTCCATTGTGCTGAAGACGGGATAGCAACCATCGCAAACTTCACATATGTCGTCATCTTCAAATTCAGGTGGAAAATCATGAGTAGAGTTGGAATTATGATGGCACGGTGTCATCAATTTGCAGACGGTTTTGATTCTGATTTTTCTTGTGGGTTTCGCTGCCTTGTCGATAATTTGTAAGCACAGCAGGCAGAGTTGACTGGTGGACATGTCGATTTAGTCTAGAGGTAAATAAAAATGTAGAATTAATTCTCGATAATATTTTGAAAAATGAAGTTGAAAGTTTAGGCAGATTGACAAATTTTAATTTAAGCTCCTACCTTAATCGTGTCCGTGTATCTAATACTGTGAGAAATTTATCGCCAAGAATCTTAAGAAGACAAATTAATTGTATTCAGTTAAATTTAAAGTAACAAATCTGGTGGAAAATTTCCACTGGAAATGTAGTTGCACGATTTGTGGTATTTACAAAGCTTGAAGTTCTGAAAAGTTAGTTCTCAGCCGGGCATCCATGCTGAGAAAATTGGTAATTTTTATGACACGTTGTTATTAATTTGCAGATGGTTCTGAATCAGAACCATCTGATTTTGATTTCCTGGGGGGATTTTACTGCCGTGTCGGCGACAAGGCGTAAACACAAGAGGCAGACCTGCTGGCTCGTCATGTCGAATGAATCTAGAAATAAATACGATGCAATTAAATAATTGTTGTGAGTATTTGAAATTTTGGAAAACAAGACACAAGAATTTTAACAAACTTTTGACATATTTCATATTTTAATAATTTAACCAAGTACCGTGCGAATGATGTATAGGATTATGGCGATTACATATTACGCTTGAGGTGACAAGTTACAAAATAATTGTTTAATTTGAATATAAAAATCAGGTGTGAATGTAGCTACTGTAGTTGGTTTTTATTTGTTTACAAAGTTTTCAGATGAGCCGATGAACTCAAACTCGTGCCAAAAAAAGAATCTCAAAAATCAGAGTGCGGTTAATTATGTACTTGAAAACCCGAAATGTTTATGCAAAATGTTCAATAAAAACGCCGAAAAATGTATAAAAACATTTTGAATTCTTTTAAATTGCTTGAAATTTAATTTATTTGATTGCGGAAATGCCAAAAATGCTTTAACATTTCAAACTAGTAACATGATTAAACATACTCTTAGGTCATATTTCTGGGATGATCGGACAAAATAATTTTTTGGCTAAAACTATTATGCTTGTCTATACTATTACTTTAAATACGCAACAGCATTTGGAGAAAGTAAAATATTTATTAATTATTGGGAATTAGGGTTTTTCTAAAATAATATATTTTTGACAAAATCACCGAAATATGTAAAAACATTTACATGTATCGAAACCTCCAAATATGTACATAAAATATTTTAAAGCATTTTTTCGACCGTGTGACCTTATGCCTGATACATAGTATGTTTGTATTACCAGAGCTGGGAAATTAATGAGTTTCCAGATTAAAAATTAAGATCTGAGATTGAAAATCCCCGAATCAGAGATTAAGATTAAGATTAAAATTATTCTTCCGCTACTAAATTAAATTAGTTAAGATTAAATTAATCTGTTTTGATGACGAAGATTAAAGATTAAAGATTAATTAATCCAGATTAATTATATTAATTAAGAATAATTTTATTTTTTCGTAGTTTTTTAGAGTTTACATCGATATCTATATTATCTATATTATAAGCGAGAATGTCTGTTGGCAACGGAAGTGAAAGTAAATTTGTCTGTGACGGAAGTTTGTCCGTGACGGAAGTGAAAGCAGGAAAAGTCTTGGGCGTGCCATTTTTATTATCAGGGGGTGGTGATTATCTAGGGGTGGTGGTTATCTGGGGGTGGTGATTATCTAGGGGTGGTGGTTAGCTGGGGGTGGTGGTAATCTAGGGGTGGTGATTAACTAGAAGTGGTGGTTATCTGGGGGTGGAGATTATCTGGGTAAGATATGCCCCCAATATCCCGATATCCCTACCGATATCCCAATATCCTGATATCCCTACCGATATCCCAATATCCCGGCCGATATCCCGATATCCCAATATCCCGGTATCGGGATATCGGCCGGGATATTGGGATATCGGTAGGGATATCAGGATATTTGGATATTGGAATATCTGCCGGGATATTGGGATTAGATATTTGGATATCGGGATACTAAGCGTCGTTCAACTGTTACGATATTAGGATATTGGTATATCGGGTAACGAGTAGTAATGGGCCCTAACCCAGCCCCAGCCTAATCAGTCCTTGGAGTTAGGTTGCGAGTAGTACTAGGCCGCAGTTCAGCCCCTAGCGTTAAGTTGTAAAGGAGTGCAGAAAAGGGGAACCCTAGCAGCTTGCGAACCTTTGTTGCCGAGGTTTTTAGTGCAAGGGGGAGGAACTAAGACTAACAAATTGCGCACCTATATAATAGTTCAGTTGTTTGGTTGGTCGAAAACAATCTATATTATAAGCTGGAAATGCGTTCCTACAACGGAAGTGAAAGCAAGGAAAGTAAGTTTCGAATGGCACGAAAATTTAAAACAAATTAAATTCAAAATGTCATACGGGGTGATGCTCTTTGTGGCGTGGTCTTATGGTTATCTTGGGGTAGTGGTTATCTTGGGTGGTGGTTATCTTAGGGTGGTGGTTATGTGGGGGTGGCAGTTATCTGGGTTAGCTCACGCTATCGCAATATCCCGATATCCCTGCTGATATCCCAATATCCCGATATCGGGATATAGCAGAGAACTGTATAGTACGGTGTAGTGAAAATCTTTAGTGATTATAGCAAAGCAAAGTATGGGAAATATTTGGAGATTATTATTTTGTTGTTCAATATGAACTTTCCAATTTGACATTGGTTGCAAATTTGTTTCACTTCCGTCGGCATCAGAGAATTCCAGTTAATAATACTGTACAAAATATTTTAGTCGGTAGAATTGTAAAAACTAAATTCACTCTCGCCCGGTGGGAGACGGGCTTCTACGCTAGTTATATCATAAGTTCTAAAATTTGAGAAAAGCATGAAGTATCAGCACTTCATATAATTGTTATTCTAAATTATTAAAGTTTTATCTAGTAAATTAAGGGGAATACAATAACTTGTAATACGAGTAAAAATCAGTCTCACCTCAAATGCAACGCGTTTTTATGTTTCAAAAAATAATTTTTTTAAATTAACTTAATTTTTTTAATGGCAACAAACTTTTTAATCTGTTTAAAGAACACAATTTTAAATAACGTTCCTTTCAAAAGAGAACCTGTCAATTTAGAATTGTTTTGATTTTTAAAAATGGTTCCAGTGCTGAGAGATGATCGTGCGTTGAAATTTAAAGATTTACAAGGACTCAAGTAACAGATGGCATAATTTTAATCATAATATTAATCCTGATTAAAATTAAAGTCGAATATTGAAAGATTAAAAATTATAAATTAAATTAAATTAAATTGACGTGAGATTAAGATTAAAATTATTGATTAATACGAACAAATTTCTTGATTAAGATTATGGATTAAGATTAATTATTCTTAATCTTAATCTTAATCTTGATTATTTTAATCTAGATTTTCCCAGCTCTGTGTATTACAAACATAATACAAAATACATACATAACCGAACTCTGTTCATAACCACCACCACCACCGCGAAATATTTATTTTCGCAGGAGAAGGATCTCAAATCACAAATCCCGAGTTGTAGAGTATTTTAGTTTCTCAATAAACTTACAAAATTCGAATTTTTTTGTATTTTTTAATAAAGTAAAAGAAAATTCCAACCTACCACTTCGTCCACATTTCTTAAAATTGGAATCTTTGGAAAGGTGAGTCCCTATTTTCTCGTGATAAGATATCATAACAATCCATTTATTAATTAAATGTTATATGTACACAATAATTTCCAGTTGGAAATTATGTTGACATAATTTTTTTCCTCGCTACTATTAATTATTTATGGTTGATTTTTTGTAGGTGTAGTCGTCTGGTTCGAGGGACGTGCTGGTTGCGGGTGTCGTCGATTTCAAAAAGTCAAGGTCTTCTTCAAGAGATTTATTTGAAAGGTTTTATTAATTTTGGGAATATTTCCCTCCGCTCAATTTATAAATTATTATGCCAAATTTATGCAAATGTTTAGCATCAACCCCTTCAACTAAGTACTAATTCTGTTCCTTTTCCAGTCTCAAGGATGACCAAGTGGTGTTGCATCCCTATTTGTGGGAGTTCGGAGCGAGATAATGGAATAAGCTTCTTTTCTTTTCCCAAGGATCCTGCCAGGTATTTCAATTATAAAAAAACTTTTTTGTTTAATTGTAGAAAATTACATAAACAAAATATACTCATAGCTCCGACGCCTGGTGCAAAGTCCTTGGAATTACTTTGAACCCTTCAGAGATAATCAGACCTCATGTGTGTCATCTACACTTTGCACCGAGTTCATATACCACCAAAATTTCTAAATTACTCATCCCTGGATGCCTACCCGTTACGGGTCTAGGGTAGCTCGTCGAAAACATGGTCGTCGAAAGAGTAACTCGTCGAGGACGAGTCGTCTGAAGGGTAACTCATCGTAAAGGCAAGTGGTCGAAAATAATGCGGTCGAAAACATTTTTTTATTAAAATAATATTCTTAAAATATCTTTATTTGATAGATCCATTATAATACTTTTTACATGATTTTACTTCTTTTACAAACATTTTCTGGAGAAGCGGGCGCTTTTCGTTTAATTCTTGGCCGCTTAACAATGGTGGAACTATAAGTTTTTGCAAACTGTCCAGGTTTGGTGGAACAAGAAGGGATTTCAGGGTTGGATATGGTAATCTCAGATGGTTGTGTGGATAGCTCTGAGAGATCAATATCTTCAGGATCATTAAGTTCGGCTCGGCCTTTTCTGAGTTTTCCTGTGGACATATTGTACGCTATTCCGACTACGAAGTCTTGTAGCTCGGTGTTAGAATAATTTGACACCAAGTTATGGAGTCGTTGGTCAAGTTTCTTCTGGTGACCTCGGTTTGAATTAGGTGAGGCTCCGGCCAACCTCTGTTTGAGCCGAACTTCTACATGCTTCTCTTCTCGTTGAAGTAAAGTTATTAGTTTATATAGTGGTACATGAGAACTCTCAGCAAGAATGCCAAACCGCCTGTTCCAGGCTTCCACTGCATTATTGGTTCTGGAAATGTTATCCAATACACATTGGTGCACATTCCAGAAGACTATTGGACACACAGAACCGATGTAGGTTTTTTGAACATAACTAAAAAACTCATCCAGTTCAATTTTAGTTTGACCCTTAAAATTGCACGATACTTTCACTTCTCGAAATGCCATTCTTACATCTAATAAAATACTCCCAATTACTGCTGAGTATTTTGGAATGCCCGCAGCGTATATCCGTCACACGATGCACATGTAGTGTGATTGCCTGTGCATACGTGTTAACTCATGAAGTTCATGAATGAAACATGAAATTTTCATTAAACATGAAATTCGACGAGTTTCATGCCACTTAAATTCGACAACTTGCCTTTCTGACAAGTTTTCCGTTCGACGACCTGATTTCGACGACTTACCTTTTCGACGACGTAGGATTCGACAAGTAACCCGTATCCCCCCGTTACAGTTTCTCCAAATCAAGAACCCCTTGGCCCAATTTCCACTAGCAATAAAACTGAGCAGATCAAGACAGAAAGTGATTTGCATGTTACGGCTGAAGATTCTCTAATGTCCATCATCAGTAAGCAGAGAAGTGAAATTCAAGAACTAAAGAAAACGAATAAGTCATTGCAAGAGAAACTTCGTTATTCGAAATCAAAGAGACAAAAACTCGACTACGCAACTATTTTAGATTCGTTTCCTGGCAACGAATCATTTGCGGAGTTTGTTAATATCCAGTTCGAACGGTATAACGAAAAAATTCATAGTCGTTGGAGCGATAAGGAAAAAACTTTGGCGTTATCCCTGTACTCCAGGTTGAGCCAGAAGGGATATAGCTGTTTATTGGAAATGGGTTTTAAACTTCCCCCCTTGGGAACCATATTCAGTTGGCTTGGAAAAATTACCGGGTCACCAACCCCACGACGGGTAGGACGTCCCTCTGTGTCTAAATCCTGTAAGAAAAAGAAGGTGACAAAAAAGCCAAGATGAAGCCTAAGGCCAAACCGGCAGCAAAGGCTAAGGAAGAACCTGCGCCTGCTTCAGAAGATATAGAAGATAACGAAGATGACGAATCCATGGAAGATGAGGAAGAGGACGAGAAAAAACATGAAAGCGACGACTGGCAAAAAGAATGGTTCTTCGACAAGGAAACAAGTGGAAAAGGTGGACACTACTATTGAAGAAGATGGATTGCCTATTTGTATAAGCATTTATGCGTATTAATAGTAAGACTGAAAACAAAATGCAGAACTGCAACAGGAATGGTTATATAAATTTAACTCTAATTAAGCAGCATTTTTTAACAAATATCGAATTATGGTTTCTCGGAAACAAAAGCAAAGACTTTTCATGAAAAACTATAAAATACAAGTCCTATTTTTTACTCCAAGTTAAATTTAGTTAGTTACGTTAATAATATTTATTTTTATACAAAAAACCATGTGTTTTGACATGACAATAAAACATTTTGAATTAATTGGTATTCAATAGCTTTACCGGTTATTAATGTATTTATAAATATTTTAAGGCATTGTCTTGTATAATTTAAGTTGCCATCTGACTTAAATTGTAGATATTGGTACATAAATTAGTTCCTTGTTTACTCTATTACTTGTCTGCTTATTAACATAAGTTAAATAGCACATGAGCATTGTTAAGCTAAATAATTGAAGTCACTTAAATTATTTAGCTTAAGTTACTTAATACTGATAAAACTTGAAATTTAACAATGCCAGATACCAACTCCAACTCTTGAATCTTCAACTTCTTAATCATTGGCTTCTTCTGGCATGAGACGCATCCTCTTACAATCTTGGCAACCGATTTGTCTTCTCTGGAAAGATACCATGGGCCGTTTTCAAATGCCGAGATAGCCCCGACTTGACCGTGAACCCTTTTCCGCACTGGTCGCAAACGAAGGGCCGCTCTCTCGTGTGCGATTGGCGAATGTGGCATCTCAACCAGAAAGGAGTTCGATATCCTTTATCGCAATGGGGGCATTTGTGCGGGGTGGGAGCAACGTAGCCTGGAGTGTGGATAACCTTTACATGGTTCCTTATATCCCTCCTCATCTTAAAGGCCTTGTCGCAGTGGGGGCAGGCGTACGGTCGCTCGCCCGTGTGACCTCTTGTATGTCGGTCAAGACTCGTCTTCTCCGTAAAACAGGCCCCACAAGTCTAAAGATAAATAAAATGACATTTACTAATTGAAAAAAAAAATATTTAAGGAAGGGAGAATGAATCGCAACATGAGTATTTGACAGCAGTCAAATGCTAAGGATTGAGGTATTCCGACGCATGCTCACAGATTTGGACCAAACTGGCCTCAATCGATCTCAAATTTAATTAAAGGTCTCATTTAATAGACCAGACCAGACTTAATTGATATCACATCATTAGCATGAAATTTGCAAACGACACTATCTGCCAATGCGCAGGATTGGGGGAGATATTTGCAGGTAGTGTCATTTGCAAATTTCATACATGATTAATTATAATTTCATACATTTCATTTACAAATTGCATGTACATACTAATTAAATTTGTTATCGAGTGACACCAGTTTCAAATCAGTAGTTTGGTTCAAATCTGTGAGCATACATTGGGAGACCTCCATTGTAAGTAGAAATGTTAAAATTATGTTTTTTTCTCTTCCAAAAAAGACTATTCCGAAGTTTTACCTGGCACTTGTGCAGTTTTTCCCCTGTGTAGATTTTCTTACGACGTTTAAATTCTTCCCGGCTTGTAAAACCAGCTCCCCTATTCCTAATTTAATAAATTATTAGTTACTACAATACAAAGTTCATTGTTTCGAATAGTGATTTACCGTTCGTCATGAACAAACGAGTCCTTGCCATGCATCTTGACAAGGTGAGCTTGTAAGCTGCTTGATGATAAAACATTTTCGCCACAAGCGTCACATTTCTTTCTAAACGTCCCATCGTGACGGGTGAGGTGCATCTTGAGGTCGGAATGAACGTAATACCCCTTCCCACAAATGTGACAAATATGAGTGGCTGGTCCGGAAGGATGGGCACGTGCGATGTGATGCTGTAGGGAGTATTTATTGCCATAGACTTGGTCACAGTGAGGACATTTCACAGTTTTTTCGTTAGTGTGGCTCCTCAAGTGCCTGGAATGGTGAAAGAAAAAAATAAAGTAATTAAAAAGTAAATCATTGTATCGAAACTGCATCATAAAATGTTGGCAAGCTACGTAAACTATTTAGCTCCATGAGTCTCGCACAAAAAAGGATTCACTGACGTCATGAAATTTCTCGTTCCAACGCGTGAATCGCCGTGAATCCCTCCCTCTAAAAAAGTTTGGACCATATTTTTGGGTATACCGTGAGTGAACAAAAATTCCGTTTTCCAAAAAAACGGGATCGCACACATATCTATGATTGAACGAATTGAGAGATTAATTTGTAAAGTTACTTTACATAGCGTTCACGAATTGTGGGGAATTTACAAAATCAAATAGATCAGATAGATCGATGGGTAATTATCGATGGGATCTAAAAACACGAATACCATGATACATACATATTTCATGGTATTTGTGTTTCTTATACAGCATAGTTTCAAAATACAAATACCATCAAATAAAACTATTTATCACCTCTCCAACGCCGCCTTGGTCCTGCACTTCTGTGGACATTCAGAACACTGGAATGGGTTTGAATGAATTAGTGTTGCCAAGTGTCTCTTGAGACGTTCCTGGCTTTCAAATCGGTTGTCGCAGAGGTCACAAACGAAGGGTTTGATCCCCTCGACGTCATGCAGTGTCAAATGTCTCGCCAAGTTTTCCTCGAGGCAGAATTTCGTCCCGCATTTGACGCAGGACAATTTCTTTTCTCCTTTTTCGTGCCGCATCACCATGTGCGCAGCTAGCTCGTTTTGGGAACGGAACTTGCTTGTGCAAATTCTACACTTGTAAGGGGTCAGACCTCCATGGACAGTTTTCATGTGGGCGTCCCTCAATGTAATGGAGTGAAACGTGGCCGTGCATAACGGTGCGATGCAGGGAGTACCGTGGCAGCGGGCGGTATGCAAAATAAGGGTAGATTCCGCCTTGAAAGATTTGGCACACTGAGTGCATTTGCGGGAGCGGATGGCGTCAGAAGTCGCGATGGAGTCGACGTGCTCAATGCTGGGGGTCCAATCCGGTGTAAATTTTACATCGTCGCCTTCTACTGATAGCCAGTTTGAAATTGGATTAACCGGACGGATCTTTTTGGGGGAAGAAACAAGATTTTTGACCCCTGTGGGTGAAGCTATTCGTTTTTTGATGCGGGTTGAAAATTGCGGCGTTGACACTGCATCGGGCCGCCGTTTACTCGTAATTTTTGGTAGAGGGGGAGAATCTTCTCTTTTGCGTTTCGTAGCGCTGGAAATAAGCAAATCTGCAGTTAGTTAGTAGTCTATATCGTTAGTTAATACTCTAGTTTTCAGTATTTGCAATATGCTGACTTATACAAATATCTAAATAAATACTCGAATACTTTTGATTACATACCAGTTGAAATTTTTTTTAGGTTTTGTCAGGTTGTTTTGAGCCCAAGAAATACTATCAAAAGCAGTTTGGTCCTCATCTACAAAATCTTGCACCTCAATTTTTTCAATTTTTGTCTCCCAGGAAGAATTAACGTCGTCACAGAATAATTGGTCCACCACATCTACGAATTCGAGAGGGTCAACGTCGTCATTGTTGCTTTCATCACTTGCTTGAGAGTAGGAATCGAGGTCATCGACGTAGAATTGGTCACTCACATCGGCGAGAGGGTCAAGGTCATCTTCGCCTCCTTCTTCCTCCTCCTGCTCCACTTTGACTTGAACCTTGTCTACCTCTGATACAAAATTGTCCTCATTCTCTCCTAATGAACCCAATAGTTTAATTAGTATTTAAAGTAATTGTTAATGAATTAAAATGTCTAAAAACCCCAAACCTGCCAACCGGAGAAAGATTTCACGAAAGTGTAGAATTTTTTCCATTCCATTATTTCGTAGCTGGGGGGAGAAGGAAGTGCGAGAAATTGTGGTCTGAATTTTCTTCATTTTTGACCCAATTTCTTCCTCCAGGAGTGAAATTTTCCTCCTAATTTCTCCCATTGTGCTGAAGAGTAGATAACAATCATCGCAAAACTCGCAAATCCTGTTATTTTCAACGTCAGGTGGTAAATGAAGACCAAATTGGTAATTTTGATAGTACAGGCTCAGCAAATTGCAGATAGCTTCGAGTCTGATTTTTCGTGGGGGTTTCGCCGCCTGGTTGATAACTTGTAAACAAAGAAGGCAGAGTGGGTTGGAGGACATCTCGCTTTAATCTACAATAAGGAGGCAAAAATGCACAATAAGATTAAAACAAAATTTTGAACAATCTTTTAAACAAGTATACTGCGTGAAAAGAGGAATAATTGTTTCTTACAATTGTTCCTTACATTTGAATATTTGCAATTTTTCGTTTATTTATTTGCAAATTTGTCAGATGGGCGGTTGAAGTCAAACTCGCGCCAAAAAAGTCTCAACAATTACTCTACGAAACAAAGTAAAGTTTCATGAAAATTGAAAAACACCAAGTTGACCATTGTTTATGCAAAACTCATGAGTCTGGACATGTCGATAAAATATTTTGAATTTATTCTCAGCTTGATCAGTTTAACTGATTCAGTTACCTAAATACACTGTTGCTTTCATAAAAAAATTCACAGAATTTGCTGTACATGGGTTTGTACAAACATATGTTAAGTAAGGGGCAGGTGAGGCTAATATTTTTTAAATCTGATTACGACAGACTTTAATTATAGACAAATGTTATTAATTCTCTAAGAATCTATTTAACTTAAAGGTAACTATTTAACTGATAAAGATCGAAATTTAGCAATACTTATAAAATACCAATTTTAATTTAATCATTGGTTTAAAATCTGATTTGATTTGCTTCAAACCTTCATTCAAGTGTTAATAGAAATCAGTTTACAAAAACAGAAATCAATTTAAAAAAATCTTAATCTAATCACTGTCTTCTTCCTCTTCTTCTTCATCATCATCTTCGTCTTCTTCATGAACAGCATCCTTCTTCGATCTTGGTAACTTATCTTTCTTCTCGAAAACGACGCCATGGACCATTTTCAAATGGTTAGTCAGTGCCGATCTGACCGTGAACCCTTTTCCGCAGTTGTCGCAAACGAACGGCCGCTCCCCCGTGTGCGCTTGGCGAATGTGACACCGCAGGAAGTATGGAGTTCGACACCCTTTATCGCAGTGGGGGCATTTGTGGGGGGCGGGGGCGACGTAGCCCGGAGTGTGGATAACCTTGACATGTTTATTCATACAAGTCCTCGTCCTGAAGGCCTTGTCGCAGTGGGGGCAGGGGAATGGTCGCTCGCCCGTGTGAGTTCTCATGTGAACGTTCAGACCCCCTTTGGCGATAAAACGGGCGCCACAAGTCTACAAAAGATAAAATAAATTTTCAAAGTGAAAATGAAAGAAATAATTTCAAGAATTCCTAATTTCTGGAAATGAAACAACTGAAGAGAAACGCCAGAAACGTTTAAATTATGTGCATATTTTCATTATCCAAAAAAATTCCGAATTTTCACCTCGCATTTGTGCTTTCTTTCACCCGCGTGGCCTTTCTGGTGAAGCCTAAGTCCTCCCAGAGATGCAAAAGTAGCTCCGCTTTTGGTAAATGCATAAATTACTGATCATACTTGTTTGCATTGTATTGCAATGTATTTTCTGGAAAAATGTAGCCAAATACCATTCATTACAAACCAGCGGGTCCTTGCCATGTACCTTGATAAGGTGAACTCGTAGGCTGCTCAATCCTGAAAATGTTTCGTCACAAGTGTCACATTTCTTTTCAAACTTGCCTTCGTGACGGTCAACGTGCTTCTTGAGGTCGACGGGGTGATAAAACCCTTTCGCGCAAATGTGACACATATGTGTGGCAGGTCCGTCAGGGTGGGCGCGTATAATGTGGCGCTGCAGGGTGTCCTTGTCCCCCACGGCGAGGTCACAGTGAGGGCATTTCACAGCTTTTTCTTTAGTGTGACTCCTCAAGTGCCTGGAATAGTGAAGGAAATCAAATTAAATTAAACGTTTGTGAGATTTCAGGTCACGCAAACACTTGAATCTGTCGCGGACATTCGGAGTCCGCTCACATTTTTTGTGTGAAACCGGAAATAAAAATTCCGCATCTCAGATATTCCACCAAAGCATCGATTTGCAGGACATTTAATTAAAATACGTGACAGACCAGGGACAAATACAATAAAACAAAATACATTTGCTGATCACTACTTATGTCACAGGATCAGGATGTCTTTCTCAAATGTGTCCAAATAATGTGACTGACACGCCCGAATAATTTTATTACGTCTGGAATCGATGTTCATAAAAGCATAAATACGAAATAACAAGTAATACCTTTCCAGATCCACCCTCCCATTGCACCTCATTCCACATTCAGAACACGTGAATGGTTTTGAGTGTGTTTTTGACGCCAAATGTCTCTTGAGACGCTCCTCACTTTCGAATCGGTTATCGCACAGGTCACAAACGACGGGTTTGATCCCTTCAACTTCATGCAGTTTCACATGCCTCGCCAAGTTCTCCTCGAGGCAGAATTTCTTCTCGCATTTGTCGCAGGACAATTTCTTCTCCCCGTTTTCGTGTCGAATCACCATGTGCGTACCGAGCTCTCTTTGGTGACTGAACTTGTTTTTGCAAATTCTGCACTGAATAGAGGCCAGACCTTCGTGAGCAGTTTTCATGTGGACGTATCTCTCTTTCACCGATCGAAATGTGGAGGTACAGAACGATGAGAGGCAGGGCAGACCGTGGAAGCGGCCGGTATGGCGATTAAGGAGCCATTCGCTGGGGAAAGATTTTGCACACTCGGTGCATTTGTGGACAGCACCAGAAGTCGTGATGGGATCGACGTCTTCATTGGGAGCCCAATCTTTATCATTGCTGTCGAGTGTAGAATTTGCATCGTCGTCTTCTTCTGAAGATTCCGAGTTGGATGTTATCTTTTTAAGGGAAGCGACACGAATTTTGACACGTGTGAGTGGAGCGGTTTGTCTTTTGATACGAGGAGAGAATCGTGTCGGTGACGTTTCAGGCCTATCGGGCTGCAGCTTATTCCGTTTCGTGCTTGTTTTTGGAGGAGGGGAAGAATCCTCTCCTTTGCGTTTCGTAGTTCTAGAAATATGCAAAGTTAGTGGAGAAATTAGCTCATAATTATGAAGTGTCTAATTCTAATTTAATAATTTAAGTGTCTGCATCGGCAATATGAATTTACTCAAAGATTTAGTTATAACAATCATACCGGGACTTTTCATGCTTATTTGGCGATTTATTATCGGGAATAATACAGAAGGCGGTGTCATCTTCCTGTTCAGCACTTGTTTTAGGGTAGGAATCGAGGTCATCGTCAAAGAAATTGTCGCCGTCGACGATAATGTCAACGTCATCATCGCCTTCTTCTTCCACGTCTACTTTGACTCGACCCTCGTCTGGTACAAGCTTTTCTGCATTCTCTCCTAATTGACACCTTCATTAGTTACCATTTGTGTAAAGTAATTGAAGTAGAATTTTTTTAAAATACGCCCAACCTGCCACTTTTACAAGCATGTCACGAATTTGTAGAATTTTCTTCTTTTCCTTACTTCGCAGGTGGGAGGAGGACGACGAGTGCAAAATTGTGGTCTTAATTTGCCTAACTTTTGACCGAATTACTTCCTCCAGAAGGGAAATTTGTTTCTTAATTTCCTCCATTGTGCTCAAGAGAGGATAACAATCGTTGCAAAATTCATATATCTCGTCATCCTTAAATTCAGGTGGAGGATGAGAAGTTTTGGAATTCGGTGTCACCAATTTGAAGAGGGTTTCGAATCTGATCTTTTTTGGGGACTTTGCTCCCTTGTCGCCGATAGTTTGTAAACACAAGAGGCAAACCTGCTGGTTCGACATGTCGAATTAACCTGGCACCTAGAAATATCAAATAAATAGAAATGTAATTAATTTACGTTGACGTTAGAATTTGAAAAACAAATTAAATTTTGGCAGATTAAGAAATTTTGAACTTGTGTAATCTTTCATCCCATACCGTAAGACTATAAGGACACTTTATGCTTGAGAAGACAAATTGCAAATTAATTGTTTTTGAGTATAATTTGGTGATAAAAATCTCGAACATGCAGTTTTGTAAAGTTTGAAGTTGAAAGTTGTCAGCAAAGCAGATGATGAACTCAAACTCGTGCCAAGAAAAAGGAGAAAGCACGTCTCAAAAATGAACAAAGTGAAGTTTCATGAAAAACTCGTCTCGGGCTGAGAAGAGTTTTTCATGAAAACATGAAACTATCATTAATCTTTTAAAATTACTATTTTTCTTAAGAGACATTTTTAGGAACTTATGAATGTAAATTTGTTTAATATTTATTCATATTTATTATTTTTCTTTCGTGAATGCCAACAAAATATATTGGATTTATTCTTTGCATCAGTTATTAATCTGTCCTTATTTTATTACTATGTAATTTAATCTGTGATTTAATCAGAGCAGAGTCTCGGAGATTATGAATAAATGGTATTGATCCTTTAGTAATTTTATGGTTTCAAGTACAATAGAAAATAGAACTAACTATAGAAGTTTAACATTACCAGTAACTGCAAATTTAAGTAAGAATTTAATTAATTAATTTAATTTTACTCTTCTTGAGCATGACTTTCGATCCTTTCTCGATCCTGCCAACTTTTCCCTCGTTTTCCCCGAAACGACGCCGTGAGCCGCTTTGAAATGCGCAGTTAGGCCTGAGTTGAGCACGAACCCTTTACCGCACTGGTCGCAAACGAAGGGCCGCTCCCCCGTGTGCGCTTTGCGAATGTGAACTCTTAGCGAGAACGGATTTTGACACCGTGTATCGCAGTGGGGACATTTGTGCGGGGTAGGGGCGACGTAGCCCGGAGTGTGGATAACATTAACATGACTCTTCCTAGACGCGCTGGACTTGAACGCCTTGTCGCAATGGGGGCAGGGAAAAGGTCGCTCGCCCGAGTGGATTAGCATGTGTTTCTTCAGATTCTGCTTACTGGTTAAGAGGACCCCACAATCCTAAAGATGCAAAAATTAATGTTCCATTTCCTACATAAATTCGGAAAATTGCATACTTTCCAGAAATTGTCTCTGGAAATGAAATCATTGGGCGTACTCACGACGTCTTATTTCGCATCGCAACTCATTTAGCAAACTTGCGAACTTCAAAATATTTCTGATGTGAGGGGATTCGCAAATCTCTCCAATTTCGCAAATCTACTGAAAATACCTATTTTGGTAGTGTTTCCATGGATTTCTGTAATTTCTCTTACTGGCCATGGCCAGTAAGCCTCACCATGCATGGTGAGGATGAGTTTGAGAAATAGTTTTGCGAAATAAGAACATGACCAATTGCTGGGTAAATTTTAAAGAAATCCCAGTAAAATTTTTGCGGAATCTCTCATATCTCGCAAAACTTTGCACGTTATGTTGCAATGCACAATTTGCGAGATATGCGAAGGTTGACGTGAGTACGCTCATTATATTTCTGTCAAATCCCAGAAACGTTAAAATTATGTTTTTTCATCTTATAAAAAAATTATTCGGATTTTTACCTCGCATTTGTGCCTTTTTTCACCCGCATGGCCCTTCTGGTGAAGCCTAAGTCCTCGAAGGGATGCAAAAGTAGCTCCGCTATTCCATAAATGAGTAAAACAATTAATAAAATCATCCTTGCAAAATGTATTATCTGGAAAAATGTAGCCAAATACCATTCATTACAAACCAGCGGGTCCTTTCCATGCACTTTGATAAGGTGAACTTGTAGGCTACTGAATCCTGAAAATGTTTCGTTACAAGTGTCACATTTCTTGTCAAACTTGCCATTGTGACGGCCACTTTTTTCACCCGCATGTCGTGCCAGCTTGTGTCGTTTCAATCCTATCCGAGAGGTTAGAGTGCATCCACTATTTCATAAATAATTAAAACAATATTAGTTATCATCCGCATGGAAATTTATTGTGGGATGGACAATGTAGTTATAAAAATACCATTCATCACAAACGATCGGATCTTTGCCATGCACCTTGACAAGGTGAACCTGTAAACTGTTTAAGTCTAGAAATGTTTCGCCACAAGTGTCACATTTCCTGCCTTCATGACGGGCAAGGTGGTTCTTGAGGTCGACGGGAACATAGTACCCTTTCCCACAAATGTGGCAAATATGACTAGGAGGTCCGGCAGGGTGGGCGCGTGCAATATGAAGCTGAAGGGTGGGCTTATCGCACGCTGCGTGGTCACAGTGAGGACATTTGTCAGTTTTTTCGGTTCTGTGGGTCATCAAGTGTCTGGAATAGTAAAGTTTTATCAGACATTTATTTGTGCAATTTCTAGTCTTTCAAATCGTGAATCAAGGCCAGATTCTCCTTCAAAGATTCCCCTTAAAAACTTCGTCCTTTGGGGAAGCATGAACAAAAATTTCTCAATAAATCCCCCCCGTTGCATTTAATTAAAATCCATAATAAAAAAACTAACTATTTATCACCTTTCCAAAGACAACCTGTTCTTGCACTTTTGTGGACATTGTGTACACTCGAAACGGTTTGAATGTACTGCTGACTCCAAATGGCTTTGAAGACGCTCCTCACTTTCAAATCGCTTATCGCACAGGTCACAAACAATAGGTTTCGTGCACTCGACTTTATGCAGTTTCAAATGTCGCGCCAAATTTTCCTCGAGGCAGAATTTCTTCCCACATTTGACGCAGGACAATTTCTTTTCCCCGGTTTCGTGTCGCATCACCATGTGAGCACCGAGGGCGCCGGGAGAATAAAACTTTCTCTTGCAAATTCGACATGGATACGGTGCAAAACCTGGGTGGGCAGATTTCACGTGGGCGGATCTCTCTACTACAGAGGCAAACTTGTCGGTGCATGACGGCACGATGCAGGAGAAACTGTGGTAGCCGGCGACATGGCGAGTAAGGGCGTCTTGTGTCAAGAAAGATTTGGAACACGTGGCGCATTTGTAGATACGGGGGCGGATGGCGTCGGGAATCGAATCCTTATCATCGCTGTCGAATCCAGATTTTACATGTTCGTCTGATGATTCCAAGTTTGAGGTTGGATTAGACCTTATCTTTGCTGTGGGAGAAGAGACAAGACTTTCGACACGTGTGGTTCGTTTTTTGATACGGGTTGAGGATCGTGGCGTTGACGCTGCAAGGGTGGGTGCTTTATCGGGTTGCAGTTTACTTAATTTCGTAATTTTGTTTGGTAGAGGGAGTAAATCTTCTCTTTTTCGTTTCGTAGTGCTAGAAATATGCAAAATTAGTTAGTGTACAAATATAATTAGTGTTTGTTACTTCATATTTTTAAAATATGCTAACAAATTACAAATTGTGAGATGAATCATGAAATAGTATATTTTTTTATTCTCGTACCGTTCAGGAGCTTCTTTGGGTTTTGTCAAGATGATTTGAGAATCAGGAATAATACAAAAAGCAGTTTCGTCGTCACCATCGTCGAGAAAATCTTCCTCTTTTATTTCTGGGACGCTTATTTGAGGGTCATCATCCAAGAACTGGTCACCCACATCTGCGAGAGGGTCGACGTCAACGTCACGGCCTTCTTCCTCTTCGTCCTCTACTTTGACTTGAACCTCATCTTCGTCTGATACAAAATTGTCCATATTCTCTCCTAGTTGACAAGGTAAATAGTTATTACTTATAGTAATTGGTAATAAATTGAATTTTGCAAACCTGTCACGCGGAGAAACATGTCACGAATTTTTACAATCTTCTCATTTCCATTAATTTGCACGTGGGAGGAGGAATTGTGCAAAATCGTGTCCCGAATTTGCTTCATTTTCGACCCAATTTCTTCTTCCAGGAGTGAAATTTGCCTCCTAATTTCTTTCATTGCGCTGAAGAGGGGATAACAATCATCGCAAAACTCGCATATAAAGATATCTTCAAATTCAGGTGGTAAATGATGAGAAGATTTGTAATTATGATGACATAATGTTAACAGTTTGCAGAGAGTGGCGACTTGGTATTTTTTCCGGAATTTTTCCTCATTGCTGAAAATTTGTAAACAAAGCAGGCAGACTTGCTTCGACATGATGAACAAATCTAGACAAAAAGGACAATACAAAATTAGATTAATTCATACACTCTTGGTTTGTACATATTTGAATATTTTTTACATTTTAGATTTGATTTCAACGGGCAGACAAAATTTAGTAATTAACCAAACAATAATGTGTACGAACTGCCTGGTAAATTGTATCCATACGAGTAAATAGTCCTCACAATTTCTAGAGTTGACTAACGAATCTTAACCCCATTGCTTATTTTACATTTTTCGTGGAAGCAATTAAATTTCGGCCTGGAATAAAAAAAATGTGTATAAAGTTTACGAGAGATCATATGAAAACTCAAACTCGCACCAAAACTTGTCTCAGATTTTCGAGTGGAGACCTGAATCCTGCAAAACTCATGCAAATGTAAGTATTGCATGCAAAATACATAAATCTCAAGTGGAGTATGTTAATATGTACATAATGCAAATCTCATGTTTAAATAAGTTCATCCAACCCGGTAAGAAGTTATTATGTACCAATTTGGTACTACCAAAGCAATCCCAGTACGAATGTCGTACTAGGAAATATGTATATATATTTATGCATACATATAAACATGTGACTTAATCACATTTCAATAACGTGTACATATGTATTCATGTATGTACATACATATGGAATGAAATTTGTTAAGCTGTTGGTCATGAAGAAAGTGAGTGACATATGCAAGTAGGTATGTATGTGACTAGGTTCACATAAACCGGTACATGGTGTGTGCAGAGTTGTCGAAAAACCAAAAACGCTCTTACACGTGTTCAATAAAATCAAAAATTAGTGTACACGTGTAACAGCGTTTTTTCTCAATGTGCCCCAAATTTTTCATGTCGCCCCAAATACTGGAAAAAATGATTGCAACCTTACTAGTAAGTTAATTTCGTCCAAACTTGGCATGCTCTCCTCATTTCGGATTGGCTACATCGCCCTAGAAAATTGGCTACCTACATTGAAATTGGTAATGCCATCTACCTGAAAATTTTGACAATTTTTTTCGTTTTTTCGAAGTAATTTCGAAATTTATGAAATGGTATCTTTCTAGCTTCATATCTCTACAGAAACCCTATATTCTACGTGGAATGCCGTTTCGTTGAATCTCATAGGTCAAATATTAAGGGTACTTTGTAGGAAGATCGATTTTGATATAAGTTCTCATGAAGTACCCTGAATGCTGATTTTCTTCATTACAGTTGGTTTGATGTAACCCATTTTTGACATGTTCTACACATTTAGTACTCGAACAATTGTGAATTACACGAAACGTCTAAATCGACCTGTATGACGTTGGTTTAAGGGTCGGGGGTAAAGGGCCAGAGGTCAAGTCTCACCTAACCCCATAAGTGTGACATCGTTGAAAAGGTCTCGGTGAGGGGATTTAGAATATATATACTTTGTGGGGTCTATGATCACTCCTTGCATGTCCAGAGGCGGTTGAATAAGAATTTCTGATTCTCCAGAATTTAACACAGCATTAGATAGTAAGCTAACACGGCAAATAGATAGGCAAAAACTCAAAAATAATCATCCACTTTTGGAACACTACGGAGTGGTCATAGACCCCACAAAGTATATATATTCTGAATCCACACGCCGAGACCTTTTCAACGATGCCACACTTATGGGGGTATGTGAGACTTGACCTCCGGACTTTTACCCCCGACCCTTAGAGCAAGGTCATACAGGTCGATTTCGACGTTTCGTGTGATTCACAATTGTTCGACTACTAAATGTGTAGAACATGTCAAAATTTGGGGTACATCAAACCAACTGTAATGAAGAAAATCAGCATTCAGGGTACTTCATGAGAACTTATATCAAAATCGATCTTCCTACAAAGTACCCTTAATATTTGACCTATGAGATTCAACGAAACGGCATTCCACGTAGAATATAGGGTTTCTGTAGAGATATGAAGCTAGAAAGATACCATTTCATAAATTTCGAAATTACTTCGAAAAAACGAAAAAAATTGTCAAAATTTTCAGGTAGATGGCATTACCAATTTCAATGTAGGTAGCCAATTTTCTAGGGCGATGTAGCCAATCCGAAATGAGGAGAGCATGCCAAGTTTGGACGAAATTAACTTACTAGTAAGGTTGCAATCATTTTTTCCAGTATTTGGGGCGACATGAAAAATTTGGGGCACATTGAGAAAAAACGCTGTTACACGTGTACACTAATTTTTGATTTTATTGAACATGTGTAAGAGCGTTTTTGGTTTTTCGACAACTCTGCACACACCATGTACCGGTTTATGTGAACCTAGTCATGTATGTATGCATATGTACGTATCTACGTGAATTATAGTAAGTATACTTGCTAGTATTTTCGAAAGGGATGGCAATTAATAATTGCCACTTATCGTTGAAGGATTAATGGAAAACGCGACGTGAAAATGGGTACATTCATACGTTAGGTTATTAATATACTCAAAATAGCAGGGCAAAATGCCTACATATCTAAGCATATATTGAAGTCATTAAAGGTAACCTATATTTAAATATATATTTACACACATGTACATAATATACCCATATTATTATGCAACTTAAGTAGGTATTTGTATATGTATGTACTCATTCCCTCCCAGACCGTTATTTACATAGTTGCAAGTGTTACTTTCTTATAACTGGAAATAATAATTATTGATTTATCGTTCTTGCAACTGTTTTCGCTCCTTTTTGCTCAAAGTCACGTGAAAACAGATTGAAAGACAATATTGAAATTGTTATTGACCCTGCAAGAATAACAGCAACATTAACTTCTGTGATAAATGAAGGAATCTTAAAGATATAGCAAATTTAAAATTCATCAATATTTGGAAAAGTTTTTTCGTAACTCTACATAATTTCAGCTGAGAATAATTTGCATGTAATTTGTATGTATGTTATTTATGTAAGTTAGTAATTTTTTGATGGATAGAGTATCCTCGAACTATCTGAACTGCGTTTGTGTTTAAAATATTTTTTATCACTCCGCAATCCTAACATCTTTCAGATTTTTGCATTTCCACTTAAATCCATCCCCTGCATTGGATACTGCTGGGATACTCAATTCCTTGTGATTGCGAGAAGACTTTACCTTTGGTATCGTATTGCAAAAAAAATTCACAACAAAAGTCACACATGTAAAAGCTACCAACATAAAACAATCGGAAAATCCATAGGGAGAAACTTTTAGGACACCCTCTATGTAGCTGCAGTTACTTATTTATGTATGTAAATATGTATGTAATGCATGTGCATACTCTTTATTCACACATGAACTTTTAAAGAAATTGAGAATTCTGGGAAGCTATGCCATTCCCTAATATTATGCACTGTCACTCATTTACGTTATCATAAAAACTGATTGGTACGAAAAATTATATCTGACTAGGCTGAAGTAACCATTACGAATTTAAAATGAGATTTAAATTAAGTCTTAACTATATGTAATCACAACTTATACATAAATAAAGATTTGAGGGGGAAAAATAAGCAAGATTTATCAACATATATACTTACATATATTTGTATGTACATAGATAATACATATGTGATAATATATATATATATATATAATATATATATATATATGATAATATATCATAGCAATGTATGTGCATATACACTTCATTCACATAGAGTTCAACTTTTACAGAAATTGACTTGTACTGTACGTCAAGAAAATATTTTCAGCACAAAATCGAACAATTTTTCGGCCACTGTAGTAAATTTAGCTCATTCGTATAAAGAAATATTTAAATAGAAAGGAATACCCGTCTAATTTAACCTTAATCTAATAAACGAATGAAGGATATACAAACTTAAGAAGAAACGTTTAATCAGCTCATGCTGTCCAAGAAAGTTTTAGATAAATAATTAATTTTAATTCTTAGATATAAGAAACGTATACCTAACGTTGTAAATACGAGACTGATCGTATCTAAGAACGATCGGATAATAATCGGTTTTAAAGGTCAAACCCATATTCCTTATCTTGAACATATGAACACGATACTGTTCCATTTCCAAATTCTCCGGCCACCAGGGATATATTTTACAAAAACCCGCATTATGCCAACCCCCCTAATTTGGAAAGTCCTCCATTGGAATTTCCTCTCGAACCTGTACTTATGCAGGATACCAATCACCTTTGAGTACGATGACTCAAACTTGCGGCATAAGTTTCACTTTGAAAAAGTTTCCGGAAAAAATTATAGAGAATTTCTAATTTGGATGTTTAACGTCTTCTTTCTCTTTACTATCTTAACCGTGGGATGTTGTGGGTATGTCATTGGGCGACATGCTTATCATCCCATCCGTGCCGTGACGACGGTACATATCCTAATCTATGCCATTATCATACCGACGGCGATATCCATGTTCGTGATTACCAATGGAGAGGTTGTCACTAGGAGAATGAACTGTTTTACAAATTTCTTTGACGAAGTTAATCGCTTGGACAGTTGTGAGTAATTTGAATATAAATATATTTCCTGAATAAGATATACATACCTACTCTAAATAAAAATGAGTAACATTTTCTCAAGTTTGGGTAAAAAAGAGGATGACACAACCACAAGGTACAATTTTCTAAATCGTTGGGCAAAACGTTGGACAAATTTTACCTTTTGGTTGTGTCATCCTCTTTTTTACCCAACCTTGAGTAAATTCTACTCATTTTTATTTATACATGCATGTATAATATGAAATATGCTATGTGAAGTTCCGTTTATGGGGGGTTGACTGCATTGATGGTGGTGATGAGGCAGATGAGACGATCGTCGTCGTTGTTGTTGTGTGTGCGTAATAATTGTGAGGCGAGATGAGACTTGGTTGCACTTTTCTTAGAGAGGTTTTATTTATTACTTGTACAAACAGGCAGAACTCTGCCTCTCTCAATAATATTGGGAGAGGTAACATGCAGTAGCACAGAATACTTCCTCGACCCGTCCTCCACCGTTCCCCCGTCTGGTGGCTGCGCTTTCGCTTATATATCCTAGCAATACCTAATTGATACCTATGTGTTGACCGATTATTAACCGGTTGGCCACGCTGAATAGAGATATCTCAGATGAGGTTGTGACGAAGCTGGTTTGCAACATTGTCTCTTGTTTGTAAGAGATGATGGAGGTGAGTGGCATAGTAATTAAGGGGTTTGGCATTAATGAAGTTGACCAAACCTGCTCTTTCACAATATTCACCTCTAGTAAGCGGTGGCCCTACCGCAACAAGCGAAAAAAATGCGAGATGTAATTCAGTCAGATTCTGTGTACCTACTTGGCGTCAGCTTATTCAGAAAAGTCAGGAAAATTCGTCAAAAATCTAGGTAAGAAAATTTGTTTTTTTTCAATTAAGAATGGATAGGTATGTATTCCCCCAAGATGGTGGTGGATGGTCAATTGCATGTAAGCTTTGTTGACGTAAAGTGTGTTCGTGAATGAAATATAATGGGGAGGTATTTTAGCAGAATAAAATGCATGCATAAATGCGTGCATGGCTGGTAAAACTAAAACAAAATTTTAAAACTTATGTACGAAAGTCGGAAAATTATTAACGAAAAAATAAAAACTGAGGCAGCAGATTTTTGATGGAACAAATTAAGATACTTAGATAGGAAAATTGTTAAAATTGGGAGTTTGAAAAATTGAAAAAATTGAAATTCTTAGATAGGAAAATTGTTAAAATTGGGAGTTTGAAAAATTGTAAAAATTAAAATTCTTAGATAGGAAAATTGTTATAATTGGGAGTTTGAAAAATTGTAAAAATTAAAATTCTTAGATAGGAAAATTGTTATAATTGGGAGTTTGAAAAATTGTAAAAATTAAAATTCTTAGATAGGAAAATTGTTAAAATTGGGTGAGGAGGACTGTATGTGTGTAGTCGATTGTGGACCGGATTGGAGCTGTCTGAAAAATATATATGTGCCCGGCAGGTCGAAGCAGAGTGAGCCAAAGACAGAGGAGTGCCAGATGTGAAAACAATGGTGTGATGACGAAAATACTAAAAGTAATAGACGATGAGTTATGAGTGCCAAGAGTTATCTAAATTAGTTCATAGATCCTACAATTAAAATGTCTTAGAATGTAACAGAAATTAATGTAAAATAAAAAGTACTCTAACAATTAAAGAAAAAATTGGTAAACAATAATGGTGATTAATACTGGGCTAAAAATTACGGAAATTAATATTGTCCTTATGAGTAGTTATGGTTACCTGTTCTTAAGATGGGATTATAATGATGATAAAAAAAATTATAAGTAACATGTGTTGGTTGATGTGTTTAGACCATGGTGGTAATCGAAGAATTATCTACTGCTATTAAATTATCTAATTATCTAATTATCTATGCTTCTTGTTAGATGATGACGCCGCAGCAGTTGGTACGGTGGTAAGTGGTTATCGTAGAGATGTCTGTAGATTGGGTCTGTGTTTATTGATTTTTATTTGTTTTTTTTTGTTGTTGTTTATATTATTATTTATGTCGTTTTTTGTTTGGGGGGTGGTTGTGTTTGTGTTGGTTTATTTTTCTTCTCTCTTGCGAGTGGAGAAGTAATGGTGACATGTGTTTAGGAGGTGGGCCCCAGAACTGAGATGCAGCCGGGTAGTAGTGGTGGAAGAGGGGCAACAGGCGGCAGGAATCATCAAGTAAGGGATGAGTTGTTTGCCAATTTAATAAAGATGAAACCCCTGAGTAGATGACCTGATAAAAAGATTGACGGTCGGAAATGGTTTGTATGTAGGTCCAATATTCGGGGCCGGTGTCTTCGGAGGAGGAGAACGACTTGGAGGCGTTGTTTGTTAAGGTAAGAAGCGGGGCTAGTAGTGTGTGGATGAAGGGGTGCGTACTTGCTTGAAGAGAAAAAGTGATGGTCTGATATTGTTTGAATTTGGCAGGTGAAACGTGTCCGGAAGGAGAAGAAGTCTTCCACTGGTGCAGGTGAGGAGACCGAGAGGAGCGCCAACCAGGCCGGTGGTAGCGGGAGGGTGATGGCGGAAGGAAAAACGAGGATAAAGGACAGGTCGAAAAAAGTAAGTGAAACTGAGTAAGGGAGAACCGTTGTTGGAGGGGTTGGACAGAGGTGTAATGGCGAAGATAATAATTAATTGTCCTGATGATTTCAGTGGTTTCGGAGGAGGTGTCCATGTGGCCATGTCTTCATCGCTATGGACCGATGGAGGTATCACCTGAAGAACTGCAACGGGGGTTCTTGCAATCCAGGAAGATGTCATCTGATAGGATGCCAAGGAAATCCTAATCCAGAAGTAGATTATCGTCGTCGTAGATAAGTTTGTGTTGTGTCCAATAATTTGCACTATTTCCAATAATTTGTAGCTGTGGTAAATTGTTTGCTGTCTAATATTTCCAATAATTTGTAACTGTGGTTAACTGTTTGCTGTCTAAATAAATTTGACAAAATTTTCAATATTTCCAATAATTTGTAACCGTGGTTGATTTTTTTTGTTGTTGAAATAAAATTGACAAAATTTCCAATATTTCCAATAATTTTTGACTGTGGTGAAGTGTTGGTGTTGTGAATGAAATTGATGGTGCTGAGTGGGTAAAACGGGTGTCTGAGTTGCTTGAAAGAACGGGAAGGGTGGGGCGTGGGGTTTCAGATGGACGGCAGAGATTGGGATATAGTCGCCGGAAGTTGAGCCGCAAGCAGGGGGAGATTAGGGAGGGCATGGATGAGGAGGTCTTCGGTGTAAAGAAAAGAAATATCCGTTGTAAATTGAAGGGGGGGGGGGGTGGTCTTTGGAGGATTGAAAAATTGTTGCGCCAGGCCGGACGTGTGTAAGAGTCTATGGCGTGGTCGATATCTGATGGGACGTGTGGAGTGACGACGAGAGGCGGAATAAGATAGAATTCCGGGGCGTGTCTTAAAAGTCTGGGGTAGATTTGAGGAAGGGGCGGTCGTGGGGGTGATAACTGGTGACCCATGTGCCTCCTCAGTATATTGGGCTGAGGAGGGGAGGGTAAACAAAGCTTGATTGTGCCTGCTGCAGGTGTCGAAAGCGCCTTGGTGGGTGAGGACTGAAGGGTGGGAGATAATTTCTGGGTGTCTATTGCAAAATTCGTCGAACCACGCAATGTAAACGGTTGAAGTGGCGTGACAAAACTTGTTGGAGCGTGGGGGTTTCACTGTTGTGGCGAATACATAAAAAATTTGAGGTGAAGATGGGTGAGGTGGAGTCCCATTTTGAACAGGCGACGTAATTCGGAGACCAATAAAAGTTCTTCCTTGTCTGTCACGCTGGTTGGGTGAGGTGGAGAAGAGGGGTGAGGATTAAGTATATATTTTTTTTTATGTTATTTTTGTTTTATTGTTGAGGCGGATCAGCTGGATGAGATAGCAGTGTTGGAGAGCATGGCGTTGAATCTGGGGGTGGGGACGGCCTACTGTTAGCCGGCACAGGCCTTGAGGGAGTGGATGGAAGTGGCAGGGAAGGTTTGGAGCCGTCGGCGGGTATGTTCGGGTAGAGTGGGGGGGATTGGAGAAGTTTCCTCGGTTTCGATTGGTTGTTCGGCGTGATCTTGATACGTGGTATGACGCGGTTTAAGACGCGGGAGATAGCGGGGGGAGTGAGAACAAGAACAAAGTTGGTACGTGTATGACAGGAGGCCCCTTTTGGGAGGGCGTGGAGGAAGTAAACGTAGGTTACCTGGCACCGTTATGAGTTTTGAAGGGGGGACAATGGTGAGTTTTTCATTGTGTCGTGTGCAGAATCCATAAGCGCCATAATAGGTGAGGATATTGGGGTTGCGGAATACTTCCGGGTGTCTGGCTGTAAATTCGTTGTACCATTTTTCATCCACAGCTGTAGAGTCGGTGAAATTAAATGGGCGTGGAGGTGAAATGCTGGACGTAAATTTTCCACAATTTTGGAGGAGGTGGTTGCGGGTGAAGAAAAAGTTCGCATCAAAAAGTCGGAGAAGTTCGGAGGCCAATTGCATTTCTTCGAGATAGGTCAGCAGGAGGATTGAGCTGTTGTACGCCCGAAATTGGGTGGACGAGAAGGTGGCCTTAGGCGACTTGGGAACTTGTTGGTCCATGGCACGGGAGTATGAAATCCTCCTTTAGAGAAGTTGTGTGGTCTTGTTGAACTGCACGTCGTTCACTGTCACAAGGTGGAAGATACAAGACGGAGGAGCCAGTGTCTGGGGCGATACTGCAGGTTGCGAGGAGAAGAGAGTCGTCTGGGAGAAGAATATGGGTTGGTGGGTGATGGGTGTTATGGCCTGAGGAAGGGTCGAGTTGGATGGTCTGCAGGATGAGTATGCACAATTGAGGCAGGAGGGAGACTGGTTTTGAGGGGAGAGAATCAGGTGAGAATGAGGGCGTCCCTGAGAGGAAGGTCGTTCTTCCTCGTGGGAGATGAGATTGGCCGAGCCGTCCTGTCGATGCGGAGAACAGGTTTGGTGAGGTTCAGGTGTGTGATAAAAGGTAGAAGGTGGGTTGGAACTAGATTGTGGTCGGTGGGTCGGATCGTTGTAAGTGAGACGGCTAATTGTTTGAACAGCATGGGAGATGAGCCCTGAAGCGAGGAGAGTAATATTGTGGTCCAGTTGGTCCAAAAGGTATATGGATTGAGAATAACATCGGGGGCGAGTAAAGTGTTGAGTCAACCGGTGAAGTGAGATTGGACAAAGTGTTGTAGCAATTGAGTATATAGAGGTAGAGTAGAAGATACCGTTATACTAAACGTATTGCTGAGTCGCGTACGTGGTTCGTGAACAGACGGGGAGGTACGTAGTAGCGTTTAAGAAAGAAAACTAATGTAATTGAGCCGACAATTCGCTACTGGTTGAATGACAGATCGAAGATTGCCTAATACTGGAAAAATGTGCAGACGAAGGTGACCAGGAGGAGTTTACTAGTGTTAAATCTTAAGGTAGGGGAGTGAGGGTACTCATTAGGGGAGATGCCCATGGAAGTCTATATGCAACGTAAATGCACAGGAGAAGGAACTCTCCTGTGGATTAATGATTATCGCGTCATTAGTTCTCTTATATATTAAATGCGGCGAATGGTTGTGGGGACCATAGAGCGACCGCTGTATAATATGGTAGACTATCCGGTTTTCGCTTCTAAGTAATAGTTATGTGGTACAAAAGAATGAAGGATGTCCACGTAATCCTAGATATCGAAAATCACCTATGGAAAAGGGCAAAAAAATACACAGGAGAAAGAATTCTCTTGTGGATTTTTATATATTTTTTTTTTTGTAAATCCTATAGGTAGGTTTTAGAATACGTATATATATATATATCTGGATGACCGGTAAGTATTACTATTAATTACTATTGTATTACGGGGATAGTCAAGGGGACCATCCTGGGTTCGCCGTGATACGTATAGAATTAATACAGCTATCTGGGTGACCGGTAATTATTACCATTTATTACTATTGTACTACGGGGATAGTCAAGGGGACCATCCTGGGTTCGCCGTGATACGTATATAATTAATACAGCTAGTGTAATATGGTGCTCTAATTTAGAACTTTGCCGAGGGGCAGAGGTTGGTCAAACGCTGCCTGGTTTAAAAGTATGTGGGATAGAGAAATTCGTGTGTCGTGAGGCGACGCAATCGGGGCATGAAGGAAAAGGAATGTTGCCACCGGCGGTGTGGGGGGCGAGGCGTTGGCTAGGTGAAGAAGGTAGAGGGTTAGAATTGGAAAGTGGTCGGGAGAGGTTGGTAGGTTGATTAGGTCGAGTTAATAGATCTGGTCGCCAGGTATTTGGGATATGTGAGGAGGAGCGATTTGGATTGTAGTTAGTGTGTATAGGCAATAAGTAAGAACGTGATTGGCGGGGGTGTGCGTTAGGGGGAGAATACAACGAGTGATTATCACTACGAGGTCGGTTAGTATTGGGGTTGTAGCGTCGTCGAGAATGGACTCTCCCACCTCCACCAAAATTACGGCCGTCACCATCCTGTATGTGATGTGTGCCTCGGAAGGTGCTGTGATGTGGAATTGGCTATGTACATTCTGGCGGGTAGAGAAACCGCCACCACGGTTGATGGAATACGAAGATCTACCCCTATGGTTACGGTTACGGTTACCCTGTGAGGTGCGCTGTTGGTAGTTATTGTGTCTAAAACCACCCGTCGGTGGGGAATCTGGGAAGGTCATGTGCTGACCCGAGGAGCGAGGGCGAGGTGCATCTAACATATGAATAGAATCTGAACCTGCAGAGACTACATGAGGCCTCATGTCGGATGTACCAATCCCTTGTTGTAATTGGGAAGGAAGTTGTTGGGCTAAGAGAGAGACGAAGTGCGGGTCGTTGGTCGATCGGGAATTGACGAATGGGGGGTGTGCATTACAGTCTTGAATGGAAGTAAACCTTAAGGCTTGAATGAGGTGGGCGAAAACTGCATCGTAGGAAGAAGATGTAGCGGGTGTGGGCCACCCCGTCAAATTGTCGATGTGAGAGATGTGTGGTGGGCAGGCGCAGAAGTCGCCATCAATGGTCGAGATATGCGAGGGAGGGAAAGGTGGTCGATAGAATGCGTTGGTATGGTGTGGAGGTACAGGTTGGAAGGAAGGTAGAATGTGAGGTGGCACAAAAATGTTATCAGGGAGAGGTGCCGCGGGGGTTGGTAAAGGTTCCAACTCCGTATTAGGACAGACTTGTGGGAAAAAAGGAGGAGAGTTAGTATCTGTCAGGGGTGAACATCCTGGAGAGATGGTGATGTCGTTCATAGGTGTCCCCATTTGGAAAAGAGTGGGTGATGCAATAATGAAAGGACAAATTGGTGGTGGTTGAAGAGCGGAAGGGTGTTTTGGGCAGGGTCTCAACCACTGCTGGGAGGTGGAGTAAAAGATGTTGTGGGACCAATAAGGATGAGGGGTTGATGGGCACGGAGTCGTTGTGCAGGGGGTTTCGTAGACTACGGTGGTGGCTGGTGGAAGACGTTGGGGGCTGGCGTTTGGTTGAGGATAGAAAGTAGCGGGAGGCAAGATACTAGTTTTGAGATAAAAAGTCGCAGGGATGGATGCTGCAGGTAGTTGATTTGCACTCGAAACTGGATTTTAGCTATCGGGGTCAGAAGAGAGAGGTGATGAAGGAGAAGCAGTTTCTGGTTGGGGTGAACGTCTTGGACTCAAAAATGATATCGTGATGTGGAGCAACAACCTCGTTTTGAGGTGGAGATGTTGAAATTGGAAAGGGGCTGGCAGGTTGGAGAGATTGACCGAATGACGTGGCACCAAAAGTATGCGGAACAACCTCGATTTGGGGTCGAGATGTTGAAATTAGAAAGTTCCTCGCTGATGGGAGAGATTGGCCAATCGACGTGGCACCAAAATTATGAGGACCAAGAGTGTGAGATGATGCTGGGGTTAATTCAGATGTAAGGCCGACTCGTCCGCCGAAAAATATTGGTCTAGTGGGCGTGCCGGATGAAAATGTGGATCGTATGTGGTTATAGGTAACCGGTAAGTAGGAGGAGAACGAGGATTCGGGGAGGCCGATGTGGGGTTAGTGGTTTGGGATGTGTAATATCGATGTCGAGAAATGAAATTATCCTCAATGCGGTCGAGTTGAACGAGCTGCCGCTCTCTCTTATTACAAAGTGCTGTGTGTCAGGTATGGGAAAAAAGAGCTATAACTACCAACACGCTAAATGAAACGGAGGATGCCCTAACGGCTGGAGAGAACAACGGGGTGCGTACGACTTACTTTCACAGGGTAAATGATTTTCAAAATATATCGGCGCCCCCTCGGAGCGTGAACCGATAATTAGAAAAATACGCTTAATGGCGAAAAAATGGCTACCGTGGCCTACTAGGTGCAAAAAGGACTGAAAAACGACCTCGTCCTTGCTGTCTCCGCAGTCAAGGGAAATAAATTCATAAAGTCTTCTATGTGTACTTGAAATGTAGGGGCCCCTATGGGCAAGAAGTGTTCCCCAAACTTCTCCCCGTCCTTTTTAGTTCTGACAGGTACGTGATTCTAGGGAATTGTGGACGTATGGTCGGTGGTGGGAACTCAAAATATTTTTTTTCTGTAAAATATTGGCAGAGTACCGACCAATGGTGGATCGTGTAAAATGGTGAAGGGGGGAGAGTGTGGAGGGGGTGGTTAAAAAGTCATGGAAATTTTTTTTTTTTACTTACCTTGGTGGTCTGTCACACCGACGTCGTGAAGATGGGGGGTAGAGAGGGAATGGCGCGTTTTGTAGTGATGACACTTCGTCACACTGCAGTCGTGAAGATGGGGCGATTTTGAGAGAGGGGGTGCGGCGTCCTTCTCTCCTTCTGACAAGGAGAGGCCGCCGTGGGTACCAATGTGGTACCCACATTATGGGGGGTTGACTGCATTGATGGTGGTGATGAGGCAGATGAGACGATCGTCGTCGTTGTTGTTGTGTGTGCGTAATAATTGTGAGGCGAGATGAGACTTGGTTGCACTTTTCTTAGAGAGGTTTTATTTATTACTTGTACAAACAGGCAGAACTCTGCCTCTCTCAATAATATTGGGAGAGGTAACATGCAGTAGCACAGAATACTTCCTCGACCCGTCCTCCACCGTTCCCCCGTCTGGTGGCTGCGCTTTCGCTTATATATCCTAGCAATACCTAATTGATACCTATGTGTTGACCGATTATGAACCGGTTGGCCACGCTGAATAGAGATATCTCAGATGAGGTTGTGACGAAGCTGGTTTGCAACATTGTCTCTTGTTTGTAAGAGATGATGGAGGTGAGTGGCATACTAATTAAGGGGTTTGGCATTAATGAAGTTGATCAAACCTGCTCTTTCACAGCTATTAAATAGATATTCATTCCCATTCAAAGAACATTAAGAATTATCCAATCTGGAAAACTAGCGATGGCGATTTGGATTACTTGGGTAAGGGTTTTAACAATCCCAGTTTTGGCCTGTCGTTTTGAGGTTTTTGCAAATATGTTTTTGTTATTTATTTATAAGTAATTTGGCAAAATTTATCCCCCACTATTCAAAATTTTCGAAAAACTTAGGTCCCGTTCCAATTGGCGTGGCGAAGTCTCAAAATCCTTCAGCAGCGGAGGGCTACTGATTTTCGTACCCTATTTTCAAAAGATTGTCACTACAAATACACAAATCTGGTGTACATCCAGTACGTCCGTTTGCAACTGATCATGATTTCTGGACAGGACGAGGATGCTCAGAGTCTTTTCATTTTAATGGTTTTGGGAGCGATACTTAGCTCGTTAGCGAATTTTTGTACAATCCGCCTCCTGAATGTAAGATTACCTATATTGTTTTATTCCGTGTTTCCCATGGCATCGATAGCTATTTTGATAATAGCTCAACAAATGTTGCCTGTAGCCGTGGGTGTAAATGAAAAGGCGTCCGAAGCCCTGCAGAAGTGGATAGTGGGACTAAATAATGGGAAATTGAACAGTAGTGAGAGAAGGTTTTTGAAAATTAAGTTGCAAGCTTTAAGATCGATTCGTTATCACGGAGGGTTGAATGGCTTTTACTTTTTTGTTGCGGACAAGACTATTAAACGAGAATATTTTGGGGTAATTGTAACGACAACGTTAAATTTATTGCTGTCGTTTCCAGCGGTAAGATATAGGTATTAAAAAAATAATTTGTAGTTATATTAGTTCATGTATTTATGGTATGTTCACGAATTTACGGTACAAATAATTGTTAACAATTTTATTTTAAGTATTGACATGCACGATATTGTTTTATTCCCTGCGAGCGAAGTTTAAAAATTTAATAAGGGAAAGTCCATAAATTATGTCACGCGAGAGGGGGGGGGGTCTAAGGCTCCAATGATATCGTGCCTATGAGACACATGTTAAAAGGGGGGGGGGTTCTAGAAAATCGCGTTTTTTGCGTGACATAATTTATGGATCGCGACTAAGGTTAATGCGTTCAATCGATTGCAAGAGCGTATATGTACATAAAGACATTGTTCAGCTGGTTAGATAATCGTGTTAAACCGAGTGTTATCAGCATTCAGGAAAATGAAGTATGTAAAAAGTCATTGAATAAAATTTTAAATGATGGAACTGGTTGAGTAAAAATTATTTAGGGTTGTCGCATCTTGCTGCATTTCCTCAGTGTTTCCGGAATTTTATGTGTACTCCTCGTTTTCAACTTTCCATGAACCCAAACGAGCTTCGGGGCGAGCACGTCGACGTCAAAAAAAGGCGTCCAAGAATTATATTAGCCGAGAAGCCGAATTATCCTATTATTTAACACCAGTTTATTTTATTTTGGCGTAGAAGTCATTCAATTACCCAAAATCTTGACACCAATTGAATAATTTAAACGCCAAAATAAAATAAACTGGTGTTAAATAATAGGATAATTCGGCTTCTCGGCTAATATAATTCTTGGACGTCGTGCCTGGACGCCTTTTTTTGACGTCGACGTGCTCGCCCCGAAGCTCTTTTGGGTTCATGGAAAGTTGAAAACGAGGAGTATGTACAAGGTCAAAAAGTTTCGAGACAACCAATTATCATTTCTCCAATTTTAGACACCGAACTTTATTTAAACTGTGATTTCCCTTGGCGATTTCCTCCTACATATCTACATATGTCAATTAATTTTTTGTACTTCCTCGTCCCCTTAAAAACCAACATTTTCGTACTCTTCCGTAATGCTTGGATCCTCGAAATTTAAAAATTTGGCGTTTCTCATACAAACACTGACCCCACAGTTTGAGCGTCTCTCCCAAAAACGCAATAATTGGCAGCACCAACAAACTCATCCAAAGATGAAAAAACGTCGAAATGCTTAAATTCAAACTCACCGGAACTACCACATCGGGTCGGTCCATTCTAGAAATAATTTCCCGGGTAAAATTCAACCTCAAATTAGAACCCTTCTTCTCTGCCCTGCTTAAAAACCCGGAATACCCCGCAGATTCTATAAACGACTTGAAATAACCCGGTAACCTTGTCGTTTCCGTATTTTCGAACCGCCAAAATGAATTCCGCTCCAACATGGAGTCCTTACTAGGATAAAATTTGATCCAGTAGTAGTGCCGACGTAGATAGTCCAGCTCATCGGCAACATCCCGGTGCGTCCCGGCGTACACGATCCTGTCGCACTTCACTAGCGCCTCTTCCGTCAAAGAATCCACCGCGGAAGGCGGGAAGTCCTGGTCGAAAACGCGCCAAAGTTTGGTCTTATCCCGCTCCGGAAACCAGATCATTTTCCGAAGCTTCAAAGAAAAGAGATACTCCATCACTTTCGGTAGTTTCACGTTTCCATTTTTAAGGTGCGACACCATCGCCTCCCTTCCACGAAGCGGGACCCTCGATAACCATAAGTAAAGGGCTAGTTGAATATTATGGGACGCCAAGTAAGCATCAATTGCGGTACTGATAGTTTCTAAGAAAGCGAAACTGGATCTGTAATACAGAGGGGCCACAGCCCTGAATGAAGTGGCCCTTAACCCCTTAAGGTATGAGTGCAGCCCTTGACGATGGTTACCTAAACTATGGCCGACACCACCATTTCCGGTAAATTTGCTGGCTACCCGGAAATAGTTGGGGGCGTGGTCCCATTCGGTTCATCGGTGAACTCCATTATCGCGTTGGTCAGAGAGGAACAGTTTCTCCCGGGTTGGGAGGAGCAGTACGGGTGAGTTAGGTCGTCGAAAGAGGTTACGGACTTTCTCGGGAGTGGCGATAGCAGAGAGGAAATTAGGCGGGAAGTGTAAAATTGGGTGAAAAGGATGGATTGAAGCACCCAAACATCGATGACTAGTCGGACGGCGGATCGGTTTTGAAAACGGGGTTGAATTTCGACATTTTTTTTCGAAAAGGGAGGAAAATACAGAGATAAAGTTGAAAATGAATTGGTTTTGAAGGGAGGAGGTCTTGACGTGGGTGATCCCCGTGAAGAAAATGGAGATTGTGACGACGGTGAACATCAGCCAGATCCAAAGGTATGGGTCGAAAGGGAGGAAGTAGATTTCCCAAGAGTACGTCTCCTCAGCCCAGCAGGTCAGAAAAGTCGTCGAGCTAGTTTCCGGAATGACGACGGCCTCCATCTGGTCAAATTGCCTGAGAAGAATGGCATGAAATTATTTAAATTATGCATGTAGTTAGAACTTGTGTGACCAAATGACTTGAAATTTCAGGTAGTTTCCAACTTCAAAAGCAATCGTACCGAAGCCTTTTGTACATACTGTACAAAACTTTAAACATCATGCCTTTCATTTAATGAATACTCACATTTTCTTGGAGGGCTCGTCGTTTGAAACAATGGGAAATTTAAGGTACTCCTTTGTCTTATCGAATCGAAGAGACACATTTTTATGACAATAAACCTCCCTTAACACAGCCGCAATTAGGTTGAACTTAACTTCCTGCTCGATTAAATGCTTCGGAATTGTACAGAAGTCAGGGTATGCGGTATTGTAGGATGTCGCAACTACATGCATTACATTAAGTACCCTTTGTGGGTAGTATTTTTGAACGTTGGATGTAAGGCTGCTATCATTTAAAACCCGTATTTCCCGCCGGTCCCCGCAGATAATACAAAGTAGAAACGTCTCGTCGCTGTCCTCCGTCCAGAGAAAAAAGTAGCGCGCGACTTCGAGCCGCTCGCGCGGATTATCTAACGCGTTTTGAGCTAGGTATTTGACTTCGGTAGGATTTGGGAAAGCTGAGACCCGCATAGCAACAACTTGCCTCCTTTTGTATGGTACCGGTTTACCGAACGGGTCTACCAGAAGGGTCCGAATATTGAGCATTATGCGCGAATGGATATATATATTTGGTAAATTTTTAAGCTATATGTACACCGCGAGACAAAAGAGTCGTCCGTTGTGGAGTTTTGAGTTGAAAATTTCTATCGGAAATAAGTACCCGTTATAATTAAGGTTTGTGGATAATGAAACATCATGAATTGTGAGGGTGGATTGTGTACCTTGGAGAAATTTATGGTCAGATAAGGTTAAGAAATCGGTAACAAGGTGGATATGACAGGTTTGAAACTCGGTGAAATTTAAGGAGAACGCTGACACAAAAGGCGAGTATATTGTAATCAAATTTAGTAGTGTTAGTAGCGAAAGTCTAAAATAAGGGGACATTTCCTTTAAGTTTTTCGAAATGCGAGATGTTAAATAAAGGGTTTGCGTTGGACTACTTACTTAAAAAGTTGTTTTCCTTCTAGTGCGTGGTGAAAGAAATCGATGCGGTATCGCATTAAATAATTTGGAATATAGAAAATCATGTAAGACTCGGGAGAAAGGCATGTAGGTATATATTTAATTAAAATTAATGGATGAATACATGCATATGTAATTATTTTTTAAACCGGAGTGAATTGCGTCCATTTGTAGAAATACGAGTACGCCCGCAATACAATTTTATTTAAAGTACGGCCTTTTTTACATGTTTGATGTTGTTATTATATACGGTATTCCTCTAAGGAGGAGAGACCCTCTACATGTCATCTTCAGATCTTGATGCCCTTTGGATATGTTGGAGTACCCTATGAGTCTACTAAAACCCTCAAGTGGTTTGATGCCATGGCCCCATTTACGCCCGCCACACCCCCTCAAAGGTGTAAAAAACACGAAAAAAGCCCTGTTTTCATGTACTTCAACTGTCACCAAAAATCCAATTTTGCTCGGATTTTCATAAAATTTACATTTTTATGATCCCAGATACTTGTGTGATCATATCCAATAGCAATCTAAACTTTTTTGAGATTTTGAAAATTTTCGAATAATTCATGAGCAGTGGAATGTCCAAAAATTTCGAAAATTTCAAAAATGTTGAGATTGCTATTGGATATGATCACACAAGTATCTGGGATCACAAAAGTGTAAATTTTATCAAAATCCGAACAAAATTGGATTTTTGGTGGATTTTTAAAGTTGGTAACTTTTGTGGTTTTCATCCCTTTGAGTCGGTGTGGCGGGCGCAAATGGGGCCATGGCATCAAACTGCTTCAGGGTTTTAGTAGACTTATAGGGTACTCCAACATATCCAAAGGGCATCAAGATCTGAAGATGACATGTAGAGGGTCTCTCCTCCTAAGCTTGGACAGTCCAGCCATTTTTTTCTCGTAAGATGAGACATGGTGAGTGAACCCGGGTTCGCCTCACCACACTCACCATGTCTCATCTTACGAGAAACAAAAACCATGCACCGTACGAATGTTGGCTGGACTGTCCAAGTTTAGAGGAATACCGTAATATCTATTTAGATAATCCAGAATAGTATTGTTTATGCGAATTGAGAAGGGTGAATTTATGTGAAATTTTAGTCAAAAACACAGTTGCAGTCCACTGTGTTTCATTGTATACATATTTAAAATTCTTTTATAAAAATACATTTTTTACGTCCTTTTTTGCATTTTTATTTTTATTCTATCCAAAAACATACTGTACGCTTTTGGAAATTTTAACTATTTGAATTTCGCCGTGGCGATTTTAGACCTCAAACTGTCCCATATGAACGTATATATGTCTTGATTGTTACATTAAACATATAGTTAAATACATATGAGTGAAAAAGGGTATATGTGTAAGTAAGTACATATGTACGTAAATAGATACATACTCCCTGGAATTAAAGAAAGGGATGGAAATTGTTGTTAAAAGGTTAAGGGCATACGCATTCCTGCAAAACCGGAGTAATAATGAATACATTTTTACGTGTACACTTAACTCAAAAACAGCAGAGTAAAATACCTACCTAATTAACATTTTGAAGGATATTTCTCACAAAATACAAAATTCATCAAGATTTGGAAACATTTTTGTCGCGATTTTTTTTCCAACAAAACACTTGAATTTATTCCAATTTATCATTATCATGGTTTATAATAATCAATTACATATCAGATTTTACTAAAATGAGACGACGTCTTCTTGACAGGGCTTTACTTTTATTGGCCGTCAAGGTAGAAACTAAGCCAAGGCCTGTCTCCTATAATCTTCTTGTCTCTTAAATTTGTAAATATTTTTGCTACATAATCTTAAGTAAGTCTAAAAATAATTTGATAAAATTACAAAATTTCACTAATTAAATTAATTTATGATGCTAATATCAGTTATCCTAGTAAAAAAATACGTGAAACGCGTATTATCACATCTTATCACATTGCATAAAATGATTACTTTAACTAACTAACTTTTTGTCGCGAATAATTTCGACTGTAAATATCTCAGCTATTTTTGTAGTAGCGAATTAGAATGTTCCATAAACTAACAATATTGACTATACTGTCAACCAATCCTCAAAATTTCGAGTCGAACTTACAAATATATTCAGGCTCAGAATTTTTCAATTTTTAAGAAAATCTTCACAAGTGCCCCGTAAATTATAAGTCTGTCCAGTATCTCCAATCCGCCTGATTGACCCCGACTCACAATTCACATTTCACACATGTTTCTCACGGATCTTCTTAAAATCCAGACTAAAAAATTAAGTTGTAAGTACACTCCCAGAAATGCGTTTACGATTATAACCAGAAAGTAAACATATTTATATGACTCTACCGCCAAGGTTATAAATTTGTCACAGCTTGTTATAAATCCATCAAAATTGGTAACAAACGTAATAAAATGTAATGGTGAAAAATTGATAACCAGTTGGTGACAGAATTAATATGTCCTACACTCTGTTATTTGTGTTAAGTTGCTTAATTGTTTATTCCTGATTTTAAGAAGACCCGTGAGAAACATATGAATTGTCAAGTCACTTTCGAAAATCGACTCCAAAATTACCACATCCAGCAGTCCTTTAAAGCGTGACAAAACCGCAATGGAAAATTGCCAGACTTGCACGTGCCAAAATTGCAAAAAATCATTCCCGTCTGAACGGCGTCTTAACATCCACCTGAAACGGATGCACCCTTCCACTCCGAGACTTCGGACGTTTATGTGTGACATCTGTCCGAAAGATTTCTTCACCAGGTATGACCTCAGCCTTCACAAGAAGCACACGCATTCAGCATTGAAACCATTTAAGTGTACCGAGTGCGACAAATCTTTCAAGGTAAATAAAATAGTTAGGTAACGTAGTAATGAATTACCAAAATTAATTATTGCAAATGTCATAATATTTCATATCTAATTAGAGTAAGCTCGGGTGGAAGGTGCATATTTCGTCCCACAAAGGCAAGAAATCCTACCCCTGTCCGCACTGTCCCAAAATCCTGTAGAAAATGACGAAAAATTCAGTTTTCTGATATAAAAAGAACTTCTTAAAAAAGAAAGACTTATGATCGAAAAAAAAATTCTGATATAAATCATTGTGAGAAAGTTACAGAAATTTACAATGACTTTCGTCTTCTCTTGGGTGACCTATTTAATTCAATCACGTGTATTAAATCGCCACAGAACTTGTTTTATAGACAAAAGTAGAGAATCACACAGCCCAAAAATAAATAAAACATTGTCATGCTTATGGTCATATTGTTGGGCTTTTTAATGCCATTTTTCATTAATATTTTGAGGTTTTATCAATCATTCATATCCTACGTTTGTATATATATATTTATTTAGGGCGCAATTATAACAACAATTCAATCATTTGTTTGCATATTTACATAGGCCACACGAATATCCACATAAAATCGGATAACGACCGAAAACAGGTGTCCTGTCCTCACGATGCTTGTTCCGCCAAGTTTGTGTATCGCCACGAGCTAAAACGTCATATTTTCAGGGCTCATAGTATCCTCGAGCGTTCGCGAGACCACAAATGCTCCACATGCTTGGCCGCATTTTTTGATAAGCAGCAGCTCCGCAGGCACGAGGGCATTCACACCCGTGATCCTGCAAAGAACCAATTCATCTGTTACTTTTGTCCGAAAAGGAAACCTGATCAATGCAAGCTGTCAGACCATATGCGAATCCACACTCAAGAAAAACCATACCGTTGCGAGTTGTGCAAAACAGCGTTTAATTTTGTCGAAAACTTGAGGCGACACATTTTCACCCACACGAAGGAAAAGCCGTTCACTTGCAGCGTCTGCGAGATAGGGTTCGGAAACCAAGGATCGCTCCGAACTCACATGGCGACCCATACCGGGGAAAAGCGCTACTTTTGTGAAATGTGCGACTTTTCCAGTTTCCTCAGGGCACCAGTAACCAACCATGTGCGACGGATTCACTACAGATTGAACGAACTACAATGTCACCTATGTCCGAAGAAGTTATTTACTAGGGTTGCCCCGGGTACCGGGTAGTTACCCGGTACCCGGCATACCCGGCCTGTTTTGGGATACCCGGTACCCGGCCGGGTATACTTAAGTACCCGGTCTACCCGGCCGGGTAATATAAATATTCAATTTTCTTACTTAAAATGAAAAATCTTACAAAAAAATACAATCTGATGGATTTCATTTTTGTACTTGGTTTAATATATTTGGAAAGAATGGGTACAACCTTGGCCAACACTGATTTGGAAATTTTCATACAAATTTTAAAATTACTTTGAGCGCACTCGCGTCAGCGAATTATCAATCAGTCAATTTGCATATCTCGCACTCTCGCACATTAAGCATACCTTGCGAAGTTTTTTGAAATTTGCAACATTTCTCAATGCTTTTGCTAAAAAGCCATTTTTTGAAAGATTATTTCCTAGACTCATCCTCGCGACCACCAGCGAGAGAAATTTCAAACATCCAAGACAAATGGATCAAAATAGACGTCTTTATTGGATTTCCGAGACTTTCGAAGTGCTATCTTGCTAATTGATTCGCAGGAATATCGTCTCAGAAATAACTTTCTTAAGCCCCACAAGTTTGCTGAATGATTGCGATGATAAATGAAGCATTGTCGTAAGTATGCCTTTTGTGTGTCCCACATGATTCTTTCATTTATGCAATATCTACTTTCTAGGCCGAATCATTAGCCTGCGAAGTTAAAATTTTTACTATATGCATATGCACTGGACAAAGATATATATATACATAAAACAAGTTCAAAGATAGGCTACATCGGTCACCTAGGTGACCTATGGGGGAGCAAAGTGTAACCACAGTGAGTGTAACATAGAGAAGGCTACCCATACCTATTTTTACAAATTCATCTAAAATTTGGTATTGAGGTTAAAAATGAAGTTTGCATTGTAGAAATTTGTCTTGTAATTTTAAAACTTAAAAAAGAGTAAGAATTAAATGATTCGACAAGCAGATCCGCCGACTATTTCAAAAGTACAAATACTTAATTGGATTATGTTCCCCACATGAAACGAATTAAAACTTAGCATTTTTTCGGGCGCCAAAATTTCCTTTGGGGGGGTTATGAGAATAATGGGAGATAAATGTGGTGCACATAGGGCACAGCATATCTATGAAATGGGTTGATGAAATTTCAAAAACAAAATTTTGTTACACTCTCTGGATCAGTACCCCGATAGGTTTTTCGAACTGAGGTGGAATTCCGACTTTGAGGGGTTTTCACAGCGACGCAAAATTGACTCAGAAATTAATTTTTCGCTATAACGAAAAAGTATGACGAAATGTTCATACATTAGCTTTTCACCAATTTTTACTACATTGCAAATTATTAGTAGTAGAATAAAGGTTAAATTACCCAGAAAGTCGAAATCGACCTGCGTGACCTTTTTCGGGGATCGAAAGGTCACAATGTCAAAGGTCACATAGCCACATAAATGGGGTATCGTTGGAAAGGTATTGGCGAGAGGATTCAGAATATGTATACTTTGTGGGGTCTGAAACCACTCCCTGCAAACATAGAGCCAAAAGAATATTTTTGAGTTTTTCCCATGCATGCTTCCGTGTTAGCTCCCAATCCACTGCTGTGTTAAATTCTGGACAACTGCCGATTTTCGTTCTTTGGCCTCTAGACTTGCAGGGAGTGGTTTCAGACCCAACAAAGTATACATATTCTGAATCCCCTCGCCAATACCTTTCCAACGATACCCCATTTATGGGGTAATGTGACATTTGACATTGTGACCTTTCGATCCCCGAAAAAGGTCACGCATGTCGATTTCGACTTTCTTTGTAATTTAACCTTTATTCTACTACTAATAATTTGCAACGTAGTAAAAATTGGTGAAAAGCTAATGTATGAACATTTCGTCATACTTTTTCGTTATAGCGAAAAATTAATTTCTGAGTCAATTTTGCGTCGCTGTGAAAAACCCCTCAAAGTCGGAATTCCACCTCAGTTCGAAAAACCTATCGGGGTACTGATCCAGAGAGTGTAACAAAATTTTGTTTTTGAAATTTCATCAACCCATTTCATAGATATGCTGTGCCCTATGTGCACCACATTTATCTCCCATTATTCTCATAACCCCCCAAAGGAAATTTTGGCGCCCGAAAAAATTGCTAAGTTTTAATTCGTTTCATGTGGGGAACATAATCCAATAGAGTATTTGTACTTTTGAAATAGTCGGCGGATCTGCTTGTCGAATCATTTAATTCTTACTCAAAAGTGTTGCGAATTCTAGAAAAATTAGAAAAATTCCTGCTATTTGTAGTATATAAATGTTACCCGGTACCCGGCCGGGTAGCCGGGTACCCGGCATAAATTTTAGGCCGAGTACCGGGTAGTACCGCTACCCGGGGCAACCCTATTATTTACCAAGGCGGAATTAAGGCTGCATGTAGAAAGGCGTCTTGGATTTCCTTGTTATTTATGCAAAGTACCATTCCGAAGGGTTCGAGACATGGAGGATCATCTGAGACGGTGCACGGGAGAGAGAACGATTGAATGTTTATGGAAGTTTGGGGTGAAATAAGAATGAAGAATTGAAGGTTTAATCTTCATTAAATTTTCCACCACAGTAAACGATTGTCACGCCTTGCATCTGATATAATTATCCATATTTCTTTTTTCAAATCTGTTCATGTTTTCTCCGAGTAACTCCCTCTACCTAAATATCCAACTCTGTGCATGGCACTAGCCGTCAAATAAATGCATGTGTATGTATGTCAGTATGTGCATATATGTAGCAGAACTAAAACCAAGTACTTAACAATTTACACAAAGTTAAAATAAATGTCCACTTATTTCAAACTGTCGTCCATCCTTCTAAATTTAATTATAGTACACGTATCACATTTCCACCTAAATTACATCGAGTTTAGAACCTGTCATATACCTCGTTACCGATTTCGTCACCTTACCTGACTATAAATTTCTCCAAAGTATACACTCCACGTTAACGATTAATAAGGCTTCATCGCCAGACCTTAATGAAGACGGATACCCATTTCCGCTAAACATTTACGCCTCTAAGCTCCACAATGGTCGTCTCTTTTGTCTCGCAGGGTACATTTGCTTAAAAAATTACCACACATTAATCTGCATTCGCGTATGTACAGGGTGGTTAAAATGTCAAGCCACCATAGCTGGAAAATCTTATCTACCTACGAACCTAGTTAGTAGTACACTTGGACCCCGGGTAGTACACTTCGACCGGCCGAAGGCCGGTCGAAATATTTGTCGGACAAATATATAATGATCAGCAGAAAGTACACAAGACCAGTTGGAAGTACACTATAACTAGTACAAAATTGCTAGGAAATGCACACTAACCGTTAAAAGTAGTACACAATGTGTACAACACATCGATTACTAGAAACTAAATAGAACATACACCTGTCTTCGATAATGTAGTACACTTCGACCAACAAAATAAGGAGAAAATATATTTATACGACCTAATGGAAGTACACTTCGGCCAAGACAAAATCTGGAAAAAGTACAGGAGCGAATGGAAGTTCACTTGGTCATGAAAAAATCTGGGAAAAGTACAGGATCGAATGGAAGTACACTTCGTCCAAGAAAAAATCCGGAAAAAGTACAGGAGCGAATGCAAGTACACTTCGACCAAGCAAAAATCTGGAAAAAGTACAGGATCGAATGGAAGTACACTTCGTCCAAGAACAAATATGGAAAAAGTACAGGATCGAACGGAAGTACACTTCGTCCAAGAAAAAATCTGGAAAAAGTATAGGATCGAATTTAAGTACACTTCGTCCAAGAAAAAATACAGAAAAAGTATAAGAGCGAGTGGAAGTGCACTTCGACCAACACAAAAACTGGAAAACATATGTATACACAAGCGAATGAAAGTGCACTTCGACCAAAACAAAATCAGAGAAAACCGGGCATCCACAATTGGGAAATACGCTCAGGACACAGAAATATGTACGTGGAAAATTATATTTCAAATTCCATTCCCAAACCGTTCTACTGATTTTAGCCTCAACAATTTTCAATTGCCGTGTCCATATCAATTTTTCTTACGATCATCATTTTTCTAAGGGACATGCTTGGGGCGGCTATGGTATCTCCAAATTTAAGGCCTGGTCATATTTTACAACATAAGTCTTTATTGTGGACACTATGGCTTTCTAGAAATAGTAATTCTTTCATCCCCGAATCGGTTTTCGATTTTTTTCACGTCACTCCAGGCTGGCCAACTGATTTCACGTGATGCAACACTTTGGGGTCAATTTTAGGACACGTTTTTGGAGTTTCAGAATTGAGCAAGCAGAGACTGGTTCACCTTGAACTAATCCTAAACTTTCCAAAACACACGCAATGTTTTGTTTAGCGCTGTTGTTTCAAAAACTATGGGTAATTATCGACTAGGACTACAAAGTAGAAAGACCCTGTATCCACAAAAATTTCACAAACTGTTTGAGATTGAAACTTGACAATTTTCACAATACTAGCTAAGAAAGCTTGGCAACGATCAAATTGAGTTCGCAATCACCGTAAATTCTATTTTAAATTTTCGAGTCGAGTTGACAATTTGACTCGATTCGTGGAGTTCGAATCCTTGGGGGAGTCGAGTCTTATAAACATGAATGAAATTAAATCACAAGGAAAATTATTCCATGGGGCGTTACTGGCGCAACCTCTTCGAAAATTCTGAAAGCTAATTTCAGACTCTCATAGCCCAACTACCACATAGCTTTTCAAAAATGTATCATACATCTTGGTTTAATACCTACATCAAATACTAATTTGAAGGAGAGAAGTTGAACAAAATAATATTTAGTTTCTCAAAAGTATCCTCGCTGGTATAGTTTTCAAATTCATGGCTGATGCCAGCAAATTTGCGAAGGTATTAACCTTTTCATAAAGCTTCGAATCTGATAGTTTATAAAAATCCGAAGTCTAAAATTAGTCGCAGTTTTTTAATTTATAAACGACTCTAATTTGTGTGCCCAAACTTGATTTTGACCAGTTAACATGT